TGGGGTGTTAATTAGCCCTGAAGGATCATGTTGGTAGACCAATCACTCTACGAAAAAAGCTGAACCCCCACAATCAGGGTTTATGTAAAGCTAATGGGGATAAAAGGACCATGGTCCCTTCAAGAATTAAGCTTGTAGGTTTTCTAAAAATAGGCATATACTTGCCACCCAAAGGAGGCCACCTGGACAACAAAAATATAGATTCTAGTCTTATGAAAATTGTTATAATTTGGTGAGAATTAAGTTTCCTCTCACTTTTTAGACCTTTCAACATAAACACACTGTGACACATCGCCGACAAAAAAACTACATAATATAGAGCGTCAGTTACTTAAAGAGCGTCAATAAAGTTCAAAGTGTAAGTAATGGAAACTTTGTTTATAAGAGAACGTACGAAGTGGTCCAAAACCATCCCGGATATACATGTATGCTGATAGGGTACGTACTAGGTGAAAAAATCCCCACTTACCTTTTACTGATAGCTTATCTCCATAAAGTCATGATAATGGGTGGGTTTCTCTTCACAAATTGTTCAAGGGACCTTAGACACTGTAACACTCACTTATAAAATGACATGTACATGTATACATATATATGTATATTATTATATTCACTCAGTTTGGCAAACAAGTAAATCCGAAACAATGCAACAAAGTTTTCTTCAGTGATAACTGTACAATTTACATAGTTTGTACAATAAATATAAAAGTAACCGGTGAGATAACGAAATTAAAGATGCACACTTAAACGATACGCTGATTTTCGGCTGGTTTATACACTGTTAAAGATACGCCCCCCTCCGAGTACTTGTAAAACGTGCTCCTTCGCTTTAAATATCCACTTTTAATTTACCATATACGAACATTGTGCAAAATATAAACCGATATTTCTGTTGCATCTATTGACAACGTAAGTTAACAGTTTTATTTAACAAATAAAAACAATATAAATTATAACGTAGGATCATAATCCTTCCATTATCGGAAGTACATCCGCATTGTCTCGGACATATTCGGTTAACCTCGGTGAACATGGGAGGACAAATATGCGCGCCGTTATTTGAAACCCAGCTTCAAAAAAAAAAATACAAAATTCCGGATGAATTCTTTGTTACAAAGCTAAATATATCTTATATTGTTGTTTTACTAACAGCTGAACGTATATTTTCCCCAAAGAAAGATACATCCAGATGGACTTGATTCTACGCATTTTATTCACATTAGATATTCAAAATTTAAAAAAAATGTTTTTTTTACACTAAACTGCTGTTGGTATGGGTTTTCAATCTTTGCTGGATTTTTTTTTATTTTTTTTTCATTAGACACATTTAGACTATATACAACGGTCATTCCATATCATTTAACATTGACAAAATCATTTACGCGGAGAACCAGTATCGTGAATGTACACACTTAGACTATACACAAACGGTCATTTCATTTCATTTAACATCGGTGAAATAATTGAAGCGGAGAAACAGTATCGTGAACGGACACATTTAGACTTTATACAAAATGTCATTTCATTTCATTTAAAATTGTTGAAGTAATTGAAGCGGAGAACCAGTATCGTGAATGGACACATTTAGAATATATACAAACGGTCATTTCATTTCATTTAACATCGATGAAATAATTGACGCGGAGAACCAGTATTATGAATGGACACTTTTAGACTATATACAAACGGTCATTTCATTTCATTTAAAATTGTTGAAATAATTGAAGCGGAGAACCAGAATCGTGAATGGACACATTTAGACTATAAACGGTCATTTCATTTAACAATGACGAAACCATTGAGGCAGAGAAAAAGAATCGTGAATCTAGAAACAGAAAACAGAAGCTTTTCTCTATCGACTGAATAGTTGTGCTACCATTACATTCCGTCGTTACATATTTTATTATATTCTCAACAAAAGGTATACTAAACATCTTGAAAGGGGAACAACTCAGCACAGTTAACTAGGCATTCGTCATAATTATGTTCTCATCTCTATGATGGCAATCAACTCATGAAATTTTAATATTTGAAACAAATAGTTTTAATAACAAAACGTCAGTTTTTATCTACAACTATTCATACATACAAAAATCACATTTGTGAGACATCTCCCAACTTTAAACTTAAGAGTTTATCTAAAATGTTTACTGTATGAACAGTTTTAAAGGTCAAACTTTATATACAATGTATACTTTAAATCATTGAACGAAATGAAAGAGCAACAAAGACAAATGAATGCAGGTGGATTTCAACATTAATTATGGTACTGGCAAAGAATCGGAACTGAACTCCTTGACATTTTTCTTAGTTGTTTAAAATTATAACAATTTAGGATTGAAGCTATGTCCGAACGTGACATTTTGTTTTCAAGGAAAGCACGAATAAGGCCATTGTGCAAAAAAACGGTTAATCATTAACTCTATATTTACTTTTGTCACGAATACATTCTATTTTATAATCACGTTTTTTATTTTCTGATCGTAAGATCAGTAAATACATAGCTAACATCCACGGTCTAACACAAAATTTCCTCACAGTCCTAACAACGCAAAGTAGTTCTCACTCAAAACTGCTTAAAAACCAGCAATTTAAAAGAAAGAATAATTTTTAATGTAGGCATTTAACGAATTACAGTGCATTAAAAGTTTAGATTAGTCAAGAGAAATATGAGGTTACAATCACAACTTTCGCGGATGAATATCTTTTTTACCCAATGAAAAATGTTCGGCTATTTCCGTAAAGCTTCGGATTATCATGAATATCATTTTAATCAATGAAAATGCTATTTTTAGCTATGTCGATTACCAAATACTCCAGAGCGTAGTACACAAATAAATCTGACTGTCGAGTAGTGGAATATATACATGTCGGACTGTTTTGGCGAGAAGATTTTCGCTAATTTATTTCCATCAGTGTTAAACAACAGGTTTATCGTGAACAAAATACCTCGAAATTAATAAGGATTACAAACACGAAATGGAAATTCTCAATTTAGAATTACATAATGTATTCGTTTTTATTCAAGGTACATATGTGTAACTTTGCCGTGGTGCAGAGGTAAGCGGTCTCGATGAGGGTGTGAGAGGCCTATGGTTCAAATCCTAGTCGAGGCAATTCTATTTTTTTCATGCAAAATTCCATATGTATCAATCTCAAACTGTTATAGAAGAAAATCAAAACGCTGTCGCTGCGTAAGATGAATTATAGTATATAAAAATAAACTTATACAGGAAAGTACATACAGATAGTCAGTATGATTTAGATTGCAAAAATCAGAAAATACCATAGAGCTGCAGCCCTTTGATTTGATAATGAGGTACCGTTTAATTATTTCAATACTTCACTAGTAATAATGACTAATTGACTTGTTTTTAACTGCAATTTTAAAAGTGCAAATGAAAGACGACGGAAAAATTATGTAATTATTTATTCAACAATCTAGTTACAACTTTCTAGCTAATGATTTAAATAATCCATGCGCACTGTAAAATAAATATTTCCCCTATTTCACTTCGGCTGGCATAGGGTTACCATTTAAAGCTTCTATAATGTTTCTTGCACACAACTCTGACATTGCGTTCCTAGACTTTAGTGTCGCACTAGCAATATGTGGTAATACTACACAATTGTCCAATGACAGGAGCGGATGATCAGTTGGGAGTGGCTCAGGAGTAGTGACGTCAAGCCCCGCCCCTAAAATCTCTCCAGATTTAAGAGCTTGGTATAAGTCCTCCTGATTAACTAGTCCACCACGGCTTGTATTTATAAAAACAGCAGTTTTCTTCATTTTCTTAAATGCCGACGAGTTCATAAGACCAATATTATCTTTAGTAAGCGCGCAGCAACCAAGAACAAAATCTGACTCTTCAAGAAGCTTGTCTAAATCTGCATATTCCGCCGGAAGTTGACTTGCATAATCCTTCTCTTCGGCGTCAGCGTAAAGGATTTTCGCTACACCAAATGGTTTTAATCGCTGCGCTACTGCAAACCCAATTCTTCCAAGACCTGTTTTAAAATGGCACATGAGAAAATAATTTCACCATCTTAACAGATTGAGCTTTGGCAATTTTTTGAAGTTTTTCATCCGCAAATTTAACTGAGACTATTACTAGTAAACGTTTACATCAGTCTTAAATGTGTAAAAATACGAGATAACGATTACAAGAAATCTTATCTTTTCACCCTACATGTCATTTACATTATATACTTCATCTAATCTTCAAACGAAAACAGATATTTTAATAACTATATGTAAAAATGTGCAATCTCACAAAACCTTGCAGTCTTAAGGATTAAAATATTGTCAATTGTAGAAGTTGAACAAATTATGCCCACATACCAATGACCCCAACTGTCGCTCCGTCCAAACCTTGTCCGCAGAGCCATAATGGCTTCCAAGTACCCCAACTACCGTCTTTCACAGCCTGGATACCTTTAATGAACAAAATAGATAAAATAAATGAAAATGAACAAGTTTCGAAAATATATTAATTAATAATAATAATAGGTTATACTTCCGAAAACCATGTTCCCTCTTCTCTATGCGTGAAGAGGGGGGGGGGGGGTGAAGGAGGAGGAATCGTTTTCCCTGAAAATATTCCCCTGAAGGAGGCGGGAAGCTATTGTCTTCCTCCAACTACAAAGATGGAACGTCGCCATAATTATGACCATTTTAGTAACTATGAATGCAAAGATCAACAAGCGAGAGTCCCATTCACGGAGAGACTCATTCACGAACGCAGCTTTCAATAATCTCCAGCCAGATAAGACAAGGGCGAGGAAGAGAAGGAATCAAAAACAATAATACAATACAATGCACGCACCATGGAAGGTACGATTAAAATCGGAGGGGTGGAGGAGGATAAGGACATCAATACAGAAAGGAACAAAGAATGGCACCGCCTTAAATTGTTCAATAGCGAAACATTATTGGGGAGTTTAAATAACCGTTATTTAAACCCGAAAAGCTAACATGCATATACATGTATATTATTAGTTAGAAAGAGTTTTGACAAATTATATGGCCCTATATAAACCTTTGTATATAGTTTATAGAGTTTTGTATACACGACCGCTGTCAATTTCTGAAGAAATCACACTTTTTTCTGTAAAAAGAGGACGTTTGCTGTATAAATACGTTATAAATATTACATTTTTATGACCATTAATTTTATAAACAGCCGTTTATGTTTGTATAGGGTCATTTATTTCATGCTTTCCAGTGTTTTATTGTAATATATCAGATGATTATATTCTGATAAACCACTAGTGAAATTTATAAAATATAATTTTCACTGTAGCCGGACTATATCTGAATGCGGATGAAAAGAAAATCATAACTAAATGGAATAACAGGCAGAAATAAATGCCGATATGCGTAAATTTTGCTTCTTTAGGAAAAGAAAGTCGATGTCATCATACATCATGTTAAAAATGTAACAAAATTAGAATAATTGAACAGACCTATATTTTAAAATATTCATGATGTGACGTCATGATGACATCATGTGATGACGTCACAAAGGAGAATGCGTGACTTTACGCGGCAAAATCAGTAAAAAAATACTTAAAATCACTTAAAAAACATGAAATAAAAAGAAAATTTATTTGTTTTACATATAAGATATTCGTGAACACCAGCTATTATATTTTCACTCGTGGCTACGCCACTCGTGAAAATATTGCATCTGGTGTTCACTCAGTGAAATTATATTTCAATCTTACATGCAAAACAAACAAATATCCTCTATATAACATGTCAAAAACGACTTTAAGTTATAACTAATAATGTAAACGTGACGTCAAAGTTTGTAGCATCCTCACTCACACAAACTAATTTTAATATATGTACATGCATTATATGCAAACTGTCCAAAGATACCCTACCTTCTTTTATTCTTCTGGAAACTGTAAGTAACAATGTCACGGTCAACTCGGCTGTTGCACTGGTCAACACGTTTGGTGTAAATCCCACTGGAATACCACGTTTGTTACACTCTTTAACGTCCACGTGATCGTATCCAACTGACATTGTGCTGACGGCCCTGAGGCTTGGACCTGACAAAATATCAACCTTTGTTGATGAATTGTTATCATTAAATCTTATCATAAATCTTATCATAAATCTTATCATAAAATTCTTATCAACACTTGTCAGTAATGTAAAACTGAGAATCTAATTATAAACACTCTATTTTGGCAATCGTTATGTTGGCTATATAATTACTACAGAGCATTTTAGGAACGGCTAATTACTAAAACCTCTCGATATTTTTTGTAGAGAAAAAATGACGCACGGTTATATATTTACGATAACGATAGCTTTAAATACAATGTCACGTGTAATAATTGACGCTCAGTCCAGGGTACGTTTATGCAATCTACTTTACTTTGGTAAAGACACTGTTCCTTGATGTGTTACTGATAAGTTCAATCATAGAACTTACAGTTTTCGTCAATCAATTAAATGGGAAGACGTCAAAACACATTTGAATTGGCGTTCCATATACGCATTAGCTACAGTTACCGGGGAATGATTTGCCGTGGATTATAGATCAAAAATTAGGTAGATCTATCTGCATCTGTATACATTAGGCTATCATAAAAACAAACTGCCTAAATCATGTTAAAAGTATAAGGAAAAAATGCAATGTATTTTGTTAAAAAATATGGTTCCGCATAACTCGCATATGTCTCGCAGTAGGATAAAATATCCGAGTAGTTATTTCACCTTATCACCAAAACTTTTTTTTTCTACATATACCTGCACAATCAAGTATTTCTGCATCAACTTTCTCCGTAAGAAGGCAGAAGAGGCCATCAATCCCTTTGACCCTTTTCTTGAGTTCTTCCCTTGGTATAGCATCATCTGAATCCCATTGTGTTACCTCAGCTTTGTTCCTCAGGTAATTAATCCCATCCTCCGGAACTTTCCGGGTTACAAAAACCTTAGGCAGTTTTGTTGCAGAAGACATATTCCTTGATATGATAATGTGTGTATATAGTTGTTCATATAAATAGACGTTCCGTGTGTGAGCATAAACAGATGACACTAACTTGATAACACAATTTGACCTCATAATTAAGAAAGTGTATGCGACGGATTGTTTCAGTATTTTTACGGTTCAATTTTTTTTACATCAAGCTCCGTCGTTTACAAGTCAAAATTTAAAGATTTCATTGAATGATTTATTGAAAGTAAATGCAATTATATCCGTCCTGTCCAGGGTTCCGAACTCTTGAGTGTTTGAAAGCGCGGATGGGCCGTTATTAATAAACTTACAACACACTCCTTCCTGTTCAAGAATATCCTTGTACAGTTACTCTTCACCTTGTTCACAGTACGTTACTTTAGGCGTTACTTTATGGTAATTCCCCGTGATTTAAACTTCTTACGTTACATGAAACAAAAAGACGACCTCGTACGGAGATCTAGTTCTCTGTCATACATGTACACTACAACTTTTTCATGCCCACATATTTCCCCGTATTTGACACACTTTAAACAGCAAAGTAACTCTCAAGAGCATCATTTTTTTATTTTTTATTTATTTTTTTGGATATCCTTCTTTCGAAGGATTATAGAAATAAGTCTATAGACTCATTAATTTATTTAAAGTAAATGCAATTATATCCGTCCAGTACAGGGGTCCGCACTCTCAGTGTCTGAAAGCGCGGATGGGCCCTTACTAATAAACTTACAACATACTCCGTATCCTTGTATAGTTGCTCTTCACCTTGTTCACAGTACATGTACGTTACTTTATGATTTAAACTTCTAACGTTCCATGAAAAAAATAAAAGACGACCTCGCACGGAGATCTAGTTCTCTGTCATATACATGTACACTACAACTTATTCTTGCCCACATACTTCCCCGGTATTGGACACGCTTTTAACAGCAACGTAATTTTTAATTAAGAGTATCAAATTTTTGTTTATTTCTTTTGGATATCCTTCTTTCGAAGGATTACAGAAATAAGTCTATAGACTCATTGATTGCTCCACTGCACGGAAATCTTTAGTAAAAGGCGAAAGATTTATTCGTGTCTGTAGTGAAACCAGAGTTACCTTATCCACATTTTCAATGGTTTATATACTGTAAGATAAATGAAAAATAGCTTAGACATTGTAATATTTATTTTAAACAATAGTTCTAAATAAATGAATATAAAGTTCATACTTAATGAATCTTAAAAGAAAAATAAATAATAATTATTTGTCCTTCTTTTTAAATAATTGGAATAATTATTATTTAAGATGTTAAAGGGAGGTAATTTGACCCGCGATGTACAATTGAACGATGGTAAAAAGGCGATGGTACGATGATGAAAACACGATGGTACGATGGTGAAAACACAATGGTACGATGGTGAAAAACACAATGATACGATGGTGAAATCGCGATGACAAGTACGATGGTGAAAACGCGAATTTATATCGAGTTTTCATCATCGTAACATCGCGTTTTCACCAAATGTTACATGGTACCATCGCGTTTTCACCATCGTACGATCGCGCCATCGTGTTTTCACCATCGACGGGCATCGTACCTTCGTGTCATCACCATCGTGCCATTGCTATCGTCTTCCGGTGGTCATGCGCAATGTACAATGTATGCGTTCTCATTATTTAACCCCGCACTCCTTCTATTTTCGTCTCTTTGAGATCTATCCACCTATGAAGTTTTTCAAATTGATGTCTTAAATACTTGTATTCCTTGATTAACTAGTATTTAAAACATGAAAAATAACAAAAGGCAATCGCTCAACAAAAAAAAAGAAAAATAAATAAAGTTGTCATCCTTGTGCACTGTATTAAAATAAAATGCAATGCAAATAAAAGCATATATTGAATTGTCTGTGATATATATACAGGATATATAGGATTATGACTTATTTAAATGGAAATGCAGATTTAATAAGAGGTTGAATTATTTATAACTTAAAATAAATGGTTGGTTTTTTAAACTTGTTTTTACTATCTGCCGTATCAGAATCTGACATATTTCTGTATATGCACTGGTTTTAGTGACCAAAAGGCGATAGAACATAATTATGGCAGGATGGTGACAACGCGATGTTACGATGGTGGAATCGCGATGGCACGATGCTGAAACATCACGTTTTCATTATCGTACCACTGCGATATCGCGAGTTCACCATCGTAATTTCACTATCGTATCATCGTGTTTTCATCATCGTGTCATCGTACATCGTTTTTTCATCGTCGTGTCATCGTACATCATGCACGTTTTTACCATCGATCCATCGTGCATCGCGGGATAAGGACGAAATTTAAAAAAAAATCACGATTGTCCAAACGGAACGCGGTTGAGACATCAGAGGGTACTGTGCCCTCTTAGTTCACGGTACTTGACGGTTTGAAACAAGTAGGAGAACAAACGATGGACTAAGCTTATGGTAGATCTACAAAAAATGTCATACGCTGTAACATTTAGGTATTTTTTGCTGTATGACAAAATGTGAGCGATAGTGAAACATTGTATAATGTAGATTCTAATTAATTACATATATTTCTATGTCAACGGAGATAAACGTACGTACACTGTTTCGAGACAAATCGAAACAAAAATTAGTGCTCGCCAATTTTTTTAAGCCAATCACCGACGAGGATTAAAATAGATAAAATAGATAAACGAGATAAAATAGGCTACATGTAGCTTCATTTTTTTTTCACTTGACCGATAGCTAGATATACAGTAGTGTCCTATAGATGGATTGTACATAAACAAAGGGGAAAGCATTAAAGTGTTTGTGAGTTGTAAGTCAGTATTAATGACATTTAAAAATCTATTTGGCCCGGCGCCCCGCAAATTTCCGATCAAATTACATCCCTTTAATATTTTATCTAATAAGTATTCAAATATTTTAAGGAAAGATAAAGAATAATTAATTATATACTTTTGGAGAATTTATCAAGAATAAATTTTATATACATTTATATGAAATATTGTTTCAAATAGATATTGAAATGGGTAAACTATTTTTCATTAATTTTACAGTATATAAACCATTGAAAATGTGTATAATGTAACTCTGGTTTCACTACAGACACGAATAAATCTTTCGCCTTTTACTAAAGATTTCCGTGCAGTGGAGCAATCAATGAGTCTATAGACTTATTTCTGTAATCCTTCGAAAGAAGGATATCTATATAATAAAAATAGTAATATTAGAAGCTACGTAAGTGAGAATTACCATAGTGTCATCACGTTTTCAACATTGTACCATCGTGTTTTCACCATCGTACCATCGTGCAATCGTGTTTACATCATCGTGTCATTGTTGCATCGCGTTTTCACAATCACGATTGTCCAAACGAAACAGCGTAGAACATACTGTGCACCTCTTAGTTCAAGGCACTTGAAAGATAAAACCGTCACCTTAGTGCAAGAACTCAATATCTGCTTCTTTATCTATATGCAGTTATTGAGTTTTTGCACTAAGGTGACGAAACGTACAACAATTGTCATTTAAATTGTAACATTTAAAGGTATTTTCTGCAATATGACTAAAGTAGAAAGTGAAAGATCGTACATATGTAGATCGGACATAAACTCTATTTCGAGACGAATCCGATCAAAACCGAAATTCATGTAGCTTGATTTTTTTAGTCCTATAGATCTAGATTGATTGTTCATAAACAAAATGGCAAGCATTAAAGTTTTTGTAAGTTGTACATAGCCCGGCGCCCTAATTAATCGCAAATTTCCGGTCTTTTCACGAAATTTGCCCAACAAATTACATCCCTTTAATATCTTAAATAATAATTATTCAAATTCTTTAAGAAAAAAGAAGGAAAAATTAATTTTATTTCTTTAAAGAATTTATAAAGTATAAATTGTATATTCATTTATATAAAGTATTCTGTAAAATAAGTATTGCAATAGCTAAGCTAATTTTCATTTATCTTGCAGTATATAAACCATTGAAAATGTGTATAAGGTAACTCTGGTTTCACTACAAACACGAATAAATCTTTCGCCTTTTACTAAAGATTTCCGTGCAGTGGAACAATCAATGAGTCTATAGACTTATTTCTGTAATCCTTCGAAAGAAGGATATCCATAAAAATAATAATATCAGTACCTACAAATATGTGAGTTAATTTGCTGTTCACATGCTTGTTAAAAACGGTTAAGTAAGTTAAAAAGTTGTACAGGGAACTAATCTCCGTACGAGATCGACTTAGATCTATTTGTTTCATGTAGAAGTTTAAATCGTGGGGAATTACTATATAGATCTAGTAACATTCTATGAAACAAGGTTAAGAGTGACTATCATACAATACATAACATCAAGGATACTCCAGGACAAGACAGAGTGTGTTCTAAGTTTATTAATAATAATCCATCTGCACTTTCACGCACTAAGAGTACAGCCCACCGACAAGACGGATATAATTGTATTTTACTTTCAATGAATCATTCCTCTGACTTCCCTTCGCGGCGTGCACATCGCTCGGAGTGACCTAACCAACAGCGAAGGGTGTGGCCCTACAAAGTGCTGCTGCTTCCAGGAAGAGGTGCCTTTTCTTCTATTGTCTTCTGTGTTCAAGATACGAAGAACTTGGTCCTAGGGAAGACCTCTTATGATATATAATACCCCTTTCTAATGTTAAAGACATTTGATGATTTAACAACGTTAGTTTTATATTATTTTTGTTAATGTAAAACAGTATAATTTACATCATCGAGCTGCAACTGATCAAATTATCAATGTATATATGTTAGTGTTCATCCGTGCTGTTCTACAGAGACGGGAGCGATAGCGACAGAAGAATATTTCTAATTTCTGTAGAATACTAAAATACTTAGTGTCAATCTTTATTTGGCCACATTATCATTCACTTTATTACGTCACTATGCAGTTCTATGAAGTACAATGAAAGTTGACCATGAACGGAATTCGATATAGTATCGACTTTTGTTCTTCTATAAAAATTAAAGCATAGAATTTTAAAGAAATACAGCGTTTTCATTGGATGACAAATAAAGTTGGACACTAACGTTGGTTTGAGAAACCTAGGTATATGTTAGTGTTTATTCGTGCTGTTTTACAGAAATTAGAAACTTCGACGGGAGCGATAGCGACAGGAGAATGTTTCTAATTTCTGTAGAACAGCTACGGATGAATACTAATATACTTAGTATTTGGCCTCATTATCATTCACTTTTTTTACGTCACTATATATATGCGGTTCAATGAAGTACAATGAAAAATAGAAGTTGACCATGAACGGAATTCGATATAGTATCGACTTTTGTTCTTCTATGAAAATTAACGCACAGAATTTTAAAGAAATACAGCGTTTTCATTGGATGACAAATAAAGTTTGACACTAACGTTGGTTTGAGAAACCTAAAATCAGTTTTAGTGTCCAACTTTTTTTGTCATCCATGTTGGTTAGGTCCTGTCAGGTTAACATTAATTGTAAAAGGATTTTTGTTTTTGTGTGCATTTAATGTATCCTTTTTCTTGTTTTCAACAATTAATTTGGTCATCGTCAATTCAAGGGAAATAAGTAATTACTCTAAATACGATGCGGATTGCCTACCTTTTATTTCACATTGATTGGATTTGTGAAAATGTTATTGTGAAATGGTGTATTATTGTGTGCTTTTTTTTTCTTTTATGGTTTTCATGCCGATTTTAACACAATCTTAGTTACCTCAATTCAAGGGAGAGAAATTAGTACAAAAATAGTCTACCTTTTAAGATAATATTCCAAAATAATATTGGCTTCATCACATAAACCAGAATTATTAATTTCCCTTGCCATTTGTTTTATGTCCTGATTTCTAACTTGTATATATATATATAATATATTCAAATAAGAGTTAATGAATGGATAAATAATTTGGTTCCCTGTTTCAGTGTCTTTTTAGAATTCAGTTGAAAATATATCCATCTTTAATTTAGGACTGTAATCTGGTTATTATACTAATACAAGTACATGTACAACAAAACTGTATTTTCATTTCTCTGTTGTTTTTTTATTTGGAGCACAAATATTTACTCATAACTTTCACATACAAAATATTGTACAAAAAATTTGAACATGATTACACTGTAATGAATGAACAGGTCTTTTTTTATTTAAATAAACAAAATAACAAACATACAGTATTTACCATACACCGACTAGTAAAAACAACTTTGTGAACCAGTCTGAACCTGTCTGTGTTTAACTTGCTACTGTGAACCAGTCTCAAAATTAAACTTGCTGATGTAAACCAGTCTAAAAAAGTAACATCTAGCTGTTAAACTTGCTACAGTGAACCTGTCTCAAAAAGTAACATCTGACTGGTGAACTTGCTACAGTGAACCAGTCACAAAAAGTAACATCTGACGGATGAACTTGCTACAGTGAACCAGTCTAAAAATTAACATCTGACTGTTAAACTTGCTACAGTATACCAGTCTAAAAGATTAACATCTAACTGTTAAACTTACTAGTCTTAAAAGTTACATCTGACTGATAAATAGAGAACACCATGCCATTGTCCGACATTACAAAATTTATGAGGCAAGGCTTAGCAAAAAAACAAAACAAAACAAGGCCGAGGCTTTGCCAACCCTTCATTTTTCCAAAAACCTGCCAAGAACCTCTTGATTATATGCCGAGCGCAGTAATATGCCAAGGTTGTATCAATAAAAAATAGTCTTGAATGTTTTCAGTCAATATAAGAGAGATTTAACAACTTTTCTGTAAATGGATACTGGTCCCTCACTACACATTCATCAGTAATGAGCGTTTTCTAATGGTTAACCATTTTCAAGTGGGAGTCATTTGCATCACTGCAGTATTTTAAGTATTCCAGAATTGTATATGTACAATGTATATAAATTAATTGCAAAAACACGCAAACTGATTTTGACAAAATATAGTAAATGAAAAAAAAAAGTCTGACAAATATCTGATTCATTCAAAATTATTGTTATGTAATAATCTAGGAAATACATGAAGATTATTTTAACCTTCCAGTAAAAAAAATAATTAACTTAACAATTTTCTAATTCAAAACTTGGGAGTTTGATCTATATCGTATTATGATAAACTTAATAATACAAAACCATGTCAAAGTATATAAAGCTGTACATCTGCTGCAAAAATTATTGTTTGAACAACAGGACATTCTATGTTACAAATCTTTCAAGAATCGACCATAAGATTATGGATACAATGTATGTAATTTTACAGTTCATGATTTTTATAAAAATATTTCGTAAGATATAGCTTATGTCCTATAACAACTTGAGATTTTTATATTTATTTTAACACTTTATCTAAAAAATATTCTGATCATTTTACATTTCATTGCAAACATACAATAACATTTCAAATATAATGTTGGAACTGATCAACTAGAGTACCAAATCTTGTCACAATTTAAATAACATACTTTAGATCTAAAAAAAAAATTTAAAAAATCAACTAAAATGTAACATTTTATTTTATAATACAAATCAGACAGTTACAGAAAATACTGACGTACATATGAATAATCATGTATTTTACAAGTAAATGACAAATATAGGCCGATTGAACAAAGTGTTTTTCTAGTTATATACACTATTATGTAAGTATTAGTTTAAAATGGTTACACATTTCATTTTTAAAAATAACACATACTTAATTCAACTTCATTAAAAAGAGCAGGTCACCCCATTGATAGCAAACTCTTTCCTAAATTTAATCCTGTATCATTAGTTATAAAAATTTGAGCAAGGTATTTGGCCTACTAGTTGTAGGCTTATTAAAACTTAGATAAACAGTCAATTGTACACATCAATATAACTATAGCTGTCCTTGATTTCTGTGCAAAGCAAATCAACTATATATCAATATCAGATGATAAATATCGATGATACACCGATATACTGATAATTACTTACTTTAAGTAATAATTACTTGTCTGTATTTCTGTTTAAATGCTTTCAGTAAAAAAGTGGATTTTTCATACATGAGTCTTGTTTATAAAAGTCGATTGTGACCATTTTTTTTTGTCATCACAGCTATAACATATGATTTTGCGTATGTTTTGGGTAAATTTTCATTATTTCTAGACATTCAATTCTCAAGTCAAAATTATCAATTTTCTAAAATGGGTATTGATTATTGATTGACTGAAAAATATCAATGATACACAAATATCATTTCTATCGATGACAGCTCAACATATTACCTGTCGAAAGATTTTATAATGAATTTATAAAATAGCACAAATGCTGTCTTGACTTAAATTTTAAACAGTTCAAAAATTTACAGCAGCCATATATACAGATGATATACACATAATAAAACTGACCAATGAAAATTGATGTTACAAACATTCAGGACAATATCATGATTTATATCTTTTTGTTTCAACAAAAATGTTAATACTGGTTTATGTTAATTTTCCAGAGATATAGTTATGTATGTCTCTGCTTTTTTATAATCCATTTTGAAGAGGAAAAAATAACTCTGGTCCCTGGCAACCTGTGTTTCTTTGTCCAGTTTATCATCTGATTACGATTATGTTTGTACAATTAAGAAAGTCAATTATCTTATTGCGGTCAATTATCATAAATCATTTTTTATAATATATTTCACCATGTAATTTTACTAATCACTCATCATTGAACAAAAACTTGTAATTTTGTTTGCTGTATAAAAAATGGTCAGAAAGAAATCTGTTAGTTATAACTTCAGAAAACTCTCATGGGACTGGCATGAGCAGTCGTGAAACTTTAGTCTTGAATTAAGTTCCTAAAATCAAAAGTTTAATGAGTGTATGATTTTAATTGAAGAATTAAATATAATTACAAATTAGACAGCACTGATACACCTCACCGGTCAAATTAATGACAAAAACACAAGTTAATGTGATAGCCAATACTGTCAATAACATTATCAAAAAAATGTAATTTCTTAAAAAAAAAAAAAAAAAAAAATTGATTATAAAGAGTATAAAGAAATCACATTAAAGTAACAATAGGACTTCATGAATTTTTGTCTCAAAGATAATTACTAAAATTTATTTATAAAATTACAAAATTGTAAATTGCAATGGATAACAAAATGACTCTTCAACCTATTTTGAAATTTCAACCTATTTTGTAATTTCACAGCTACCTATTTTAATTTACACATAACAAATACATATATAATACATATTAAAGTTCTTTCACATAAAAATACTATACATAAAGATGAACCTATGAGCTCTATGCATAAAACCTATCTTCTCCTACGTCTATCATTACGCTCAGACGGTGCCATACGCTCCTCACTTCTATTTCTCCCTCTCCTTCTGTCCTCCTCGTACCCTCTATCAAAACCCCTGTCGTCGTAGTCGAACCTATCCATATCTCTTCCTCCCTTGTAAGGCAATTCTCTCCCCCTGTATGGCCCTCCACGTGGCATATCATTACCCTCCCTTGCCCTGTAATAATCCTGGAATTCTTCCCGCGCTCTAACTTGCTCTAAATTCCTTTCCCTCTCACGTTCGAACTTTTCCTCATACAAATCCATCCTTTCAAAGTTTCTCTCAACTCTAATGTTCTTATCATCGAGATCATCTTCAACAAAGTCTTTCCCTTTCTTTCCTTTACTCTTACTCCCATCTCCCCTAATACGTACACCCCTATCTTCTAAAACCCCTCTTTCACCTCTCATTAATCCTTCACCACGCCTAGCCCTTCTGTCCCCACCCCCTCTTTCATCTCTTACACCACCACGGCTACCTCTTCCCTCAAAACTACTATCAAAACTTCTATCTGCATATGCCCTAGCATCAAACTCATCCAACTCCTCTTGGAGCCTCTTCCTCTGCTCCTGCAGTCTCCCATCATTATCATCATCATCGTAAACTTCATTGTCACTTGTACGCTTTCCTTTTTTATTTTTCTTGTCCTTTCCCTTCTCCTTCTTATCTTTTTTATTTTTCTTCCTATCATCGCCACCTTTTCTCGTTTCTTGTCCGTACCTCTCATTTGCCTCAATGTCATCAATATTGCCATAATTAGCCAGTTTAGCTAGCTTCTTAAACTGTTCTTCCTGTTCACGTCTGACTTCGTCCTCACTTTTACTGTCTTTACGAATATCTCCAGCTGCCTTTCTGTTCCTCTTCTTGTCTTTCTTATTCAATTTTTCAACCTCATGTCTACCTCTTTTGTCTACAGATCCATTGGTTCTGTCCCTATTTTTCCTGCCCTCTTTCTCCACAACTTTCTCTTTTCTTCCAATGTCTTTTCCTCTTTTGCCCTTCTCTGATGCAGCCTTGGAATTCTTAGCTGCTTTCTTTTTCTTTCTCCTATTATCATCTGAGGAATCTGAATCTAAAAATAGAAACACTTTGGCTATATACAATCGGTTCAACTTGATTATTTTCACATGGTTCATAAGATACCATAAATTTATCTACTCATTGTGTACTGTTAAGTACCATGTATGACAGGAATATTGTTTACCACTCATTGTTCACAAGAGAGTTTGTATACCACTCATTGTTTCAAAAGATATATTGTATATCACTTACTGTTTCATAGAAATTTTGAACACCACTCGTTGTTTTATAGATATCTGGTATACCACTCATTATTTATTGGCATATTATAACCACTCATTGTGTCTGAGAAATATTGTATACCATGCATTGTTTCATAGATACATTTATAATACTCATTAACAAAAAATTTGTACACCACTCAATGTTTAATAGATATATTGTATACCTCTCATCTTTTAATGACATATTATAACCTATTACTGTGTCTTACCTACAGACCTATTCTAATGCAGTTTTTCCTAAATCTAGTTAATCAAGGGAAGATCAACTCTGTTTATTCATATAAATCTTTTTTTCCAGATAGTTTACTTTTTAAAGGTAAGATATCTTTTATATAATGTTCAAAAGAAAACCAATTCCAAATTCCCTTATCACAAGCAAATCTCTTCTTAATAATAATTAATACCATAAACATACCTGAGGAACTGTCAGAGCTGTCACTATCTTCGGAATCATCAGATTCATCACTCGAGTCATCAGAGTCATCATCTGAATCATCTTGTATAGCTTGTGCCTGTTCTTCTTGTTTCTGCTGCATTAACTTTTTAGATACGTCCTTAAGATGATCTCTCAGGTCATCACTGCAATATAACAGGTATTGTAGGATTAGTGTTAGAATAAGCATTTTATATCAACAAACTTGCTGAATAAATAGGTGTTCTCTTATAACCAGTTTGGCTGAATAAATAGGTGTTCTATTATAACTAGTTTGGCTGAATAAATAGATGTTCTATTATAACCAGTTTGGCTGAATAAATAGGTGTTCTATTATAACCAGTTTGGCTGAATAAATAGAAGTTCTTTTACAACCAGTTTGGCTGAATAAATAGGTGTTCTATTATAACCAGTTTGGCTGAATAAATAGGTGTTATATTATAACCAGTGTGGCTGAATAAATAGGTGTTCTATTATAACCAGTGTGGCTGAATAAATAGGTGTTCTATTATAACCAGTTTGGCTGAATAAATAGGTGTTCTATTATAACCAGTGTGGCTGAATAAATAGGTGTTCTATTATAACCAGTGTGGCTGAATAAGTAGGTGTTCTATTATAACCAGTTTGGCTGAATAAGTAGGTGTGTATTATAACCAGTTTGGCTGAATAAGTAGGTGTGTATTATAACCAGTTTGGCTGAACAGGTACTCCCTTATTACAGGTAATGTAAGATTAGAGTTGAATAAATAAGTATTTGTAATAATTTATCTTGCTGATTTGTTGTTTGTTTTTGGTTGGGTTTAACATCGCACCACCACAGATGAGGTTAAGGTATACTATAATATCTAGTCTGGCGGTATAAACATCTATTTCATTATAACAAGTTTAGCCAAACAAAAATCTGATCACATGTTAAATAGTATATATCTTTACAAAGTATACATTGTATATCCTTTAGAAAAACAACAACAAACTAAAGTAATTGCAAATTTGATGACAAATTATCAAAACTATTCATGTAATCAGTATCAAAATATTTATAAGACTTACGTTAAACCACCCAGACCTATAGTGGTGAAGAAGTTGATAGCAAATCTTGTATCTCTTGGATTGTCTCGTGGTAAAAGACCAGCGTAATATTCCTGCAACGTTCTGTAATAAATCAACAAAATAATTTATATCTATTATAGTATTTCATCCAAATTTTATCAAAATAAAGTGAAAAGGAAAATTAGTTCAGTAAATTATTATACATTCCTAACTTTTTTATGAATAAAGCACTTGTTTTGGTTAAAATTTGGCTGCATAAATGTGCCAGCTGACCTTTACAGCAGGCCTGTTTATAGTTATGCCATTTTTGCAAATATAGAAAATATAATAAGACTAGATGTATACTATACATATAACAGTAACTTATTGCAAGTTAAAAACTCATCTGCATGATTAATTTTATATTGTTTGAACTAAACTTGTTTAGATGTGATTAAGTATAATGAAACTATATAAATGTCATATGGCAACTTGCTAGCTCTACTGGTGGAGGGAGACCTTAGATGTCCTTTTATGCATTGTTTCAGGCACAGGTGGGCATCTGAGCAGAACCAACAACATTCAGATAGTTTCCTCACATGAAAATAATCTAATGATTCAAACCTATAGCTTTGAGAGTTACATCATTCGATGTTAACAACCTTAACCACTTCACCACAGTGGCCGAATGAAGACAACTGATACCAAAGAAAAAACCTTTGAGTCCAACTACAAATTAACATTTGATTACTTTTTATTTGATAGAAAAAAAAATCTTACTATCTTTTTCTATAGAATACAAAAAGAAATTCTTACGGGTCCTTGAGCCTCTCATTCAGCTTTGGTAGTCCGAGATACTCAGATAATTCTTGAAACAAAATCTTGATGAAGATTCTGCTGGCAGAGGTTGTGTCATCTTCATTCAATTTAATAGCTTGTAATACCTGAAATCAGAAACAATAATCTATATAACAAGATATGTCCGTAAAACAGTGTGTTTTGACAATTCTCAATGTTCGACAATAAGAAAAGGGACATAACTCTGTAAAAGTTAACTCATCGAGTAATTGGCAGGAGTAATGGGACCTGTGCTCATCATGTTTTATAATCATAGAGAATAAGTGTAAGAAGTTCCAACCTATTCACTTCAGTGGTTTTGGACATACCAACTTGTTCACAAAAACTTAACCAAAACGTGACGCCGATACCAGGTTGAGTACAACAGCTGCCCCTATTTTTTCGAAAAAGTCAAGCTAAAGTAATGTCCAAATTAGCTCCAAAGTTGCAGTAAACGTTTAAAACATATTTCAAAACATATAGGAGATACTGAAATAAAATATCAATGAATTCTATCAACACTGAGAAATTGGAAGAACAATACCAATTTTACCTACGCTTTCATAGCCATTTTATTAGAAAACATTCTCACCTCCTCTATTGAAACTAATTTTTTCAGTGTAAGATTAAAGAATGAATGAATAATCAATTGAATGAAAGAAAAATACCTGATAAATATCAAACTATTAAAACAATTATAACACTCCTTTACTTACAGCCCATGAAATAGAATCAGTGTGTAGAAGGTGGGCAAAGAACTTGGCCACATTCCGTAGCTTGTTTGTTTCAAGTCGATGTATGGTTTCATACTGTTCCTTAAACATCACTTGAAATGGTTCCACATATTTCTTATCAATCATACAGAACCTCTGAAAACATATTTCAATACAATTCATGCATTCTGAACAATCTTTTCAGTTTTATTAGAAAGTATATAACCCACACTATGCTAAATATCTTAAATTGATTTGTCCATCTCTTAAAATGGACTTAAACCATTCATTATGTTTAAGGAAAATTTTAGAATTTAATTTCATACTGTAGAGTTACCAAGAAGGCACTGCCTTTCCCTTTTGTCAGCTAATATGAAACTAGAAATGTATTCCTTACACAAGGATTCCTTGACATTCCACTGTTTTGTCAGGCTACAAACGGTCCAGACAGGGTGAAAGCAGGAAAGCATAACAGTGGAATGGACAAGGGCAAATCTCCCCACCCCATAGCAGCAGCATAAAATGTTCAAAATTTTTGAGTAACTTAAACCTAAACAGACAAACGGCCAAAAGTTCCAAGATATATGTTTGGCCAAGATATAGAGGATATTAAATGAGTGTAGATTCAATACTAAATTCATTGAACGAGTTGTATAAAATTATATAATGCGGGCCTCTGGCAAAAGTGGCACATGTGATAAAAAGAAATTATGTAATTAGTTTATATAGGCCTAACAGCTCCTATTTTTTTATCATCATAATTGATTAATTAAACTTTATTGCAAGTGTTACCCCTGCTAGGAGACCGAAGAATTTCTCGTAGGTCCTCATCTGTCCACAACAGTCGAGAATCATGTTACATAATTCAACCTGAAATATATACATTTCAATAATAACAAATTATGTGGACATGTATTACATGAAAAATAAATTGCATTTTACATTTTATGTCGGGTTTTTCTTTATACTGATTTTAACACTTTTTGGTCATACTAACAAATAGGCTTTCCTGGATAACTAACCAGTAATACCAATTTCTATTCAAGTAACTGACTACTTATCTCACATGATTTCTTAATCATCAGTGAGAGACAAATGGCCATTAGACTCAATGTCTGAGATAAATTGTCGTGGAAATTTTTATTCCTCACCCCTGGGTCCTGGATTACAAAAGTGGTTCAAATAAAGAAAAGCTGAACTTAATAATGTTTAAACTAACTGATAAAGATGAAGATCACCCCTTACACTGTCCACAAGTAACTTTAACACAATATAAAGCTAACTTTATCTCACCCCAGGATCAAACAGGCACCCTTGGAAGTATAAGAGTGGTTCAAATAAAGTAAAGCTGGACAAAATAATATCTAAACCAACTGATCATGATGAAAATCACCTCTTATACCATCCAAAAGTAACTTTAAAATATTAAAGATAACAACATGTACCTCTTGTCCAGGTTTGAGATCCATCTTGAGAAGTTTATGAGCACATTCCTCAAAATCAAGACTAGATTGTATTGTCAAATAGATTGTTCTCCTTAATGCCACCATGTTAGTCTCTGTCTGGTCAATAATTTTCTGTTTCGCCTCCTCATCTATATCAATAAATACAAAAATTACTTTAAAGGCCCATTATGCCTCAGAAATGCTATCATTCTTTTTCTCAAAAAAAAGAAAAATATTTTTGGTATCTTGTTACAGTTTAAAATAAACTGTAATTTATTAATCTACAACCATAGTAAGAAGGTTAATCTCATATAATTATAATCAAAATTGAGTAGCTTAACCCTTTCACTGCCATAGGGACGGCTTAAGCCGTCCCTGTTATTTTCGGCGTATTTGCCATATGGACGGCTTTAGCCGTTTCTATAATAATAATAGTAATAATAATAAATTAATAATAATAACAAGAGCGATCAGTAATCACATGTGTCGCCTCATGATGGCCAATTTCATGTTGGGACCAATTTTGTGACAGACGGACAGACAGACGGACAGTGCACAACTAGACTTGAAACTGAACATTCCTGTAAAGTTTGGATGAAATTGCACCTGTAGTTTATGAGGAGTAGTCCGGACAAGCTTTTGTGTATCTGGCAACACACAGAAAAAGAAACCTTTTTATCAAAGGGCCATAACTCGGCCAAAAATCATTCAACCGGAAAACCCTTGCAATATGCGCAAGGACTTGAGCTACAGATCAATCCTGTAAAGTTTCATTGAAATTGCATCAGTGGTATAAGAGAAGTAGTCCGGACAAACTTTAAAATTAAAAATTATTAAAGGGCCATTACTCTGACAAAAATCATTGAACCGGAAAATGCTGACAATATGCACAACTAGACTTGGTACTGATCATTCCTGTAAAGTTTGGATGAAATTGCACCAGTAGTTTATGAGGAGTAGTCCGGACAAGTTTTGTGACGGACGCACGGACAGACAGACAGACAGACAGACGGACGGACAGACGACGGAGAAGTGATCCCTATATGTCGCCACTACTCCGTAGAGGCGACACAAAAATAATAATAAATATAAAGAAAATTATATCATCGACAATAATTATTATTATACTAACAGATTTGGAAATATATATAATTATTATAATATTAATAACAAATAATAATAATTTTATTAATTAATAATATAGTAATTTCTTAGAAAATCCTCTGGCAAATAGGTGAACAATAAAACAATAACCCTCTGGCAGCGAAAGGGTTAATGCAGAAATTTTTGGAATATTTGTTTTGTACATTACCCAATTTTTAAGATAAAAACACTTCCTTCTGATATTTCAGCACTGAAGAACACAAAAAAAGTTCAAGAGCTTAAAATTTAAAAACTTTTGAATACAATTATGCTGTTTGAAGGAGAGAAAAAGTTAAAGAATGATTTGCTTACTTTTTCAAAATCAATTTTTAGGTGTTAAAATGTAAAGCAAATTTTTGGCTTAAAGACTGCCCCGATGTTCTTACCTTCCTCAGACTCCTCCTCCTCACTATCTGAGCCACTCCCACTTCCTGAACCATCTTCCTCATCTGAACTACCTTCTCCTAGTATCTCTGTAATGTAATGTTTACTAAATAAGCATGACGGGTCGTTGTTTGATTAAATACAGTTGTATATGATTATACTACACCTAGATGGGTACAGCAGTATATATCTCACACAGCCAGCTATATATATCTCACTGAAACAGCTACATGTATATATCTCACTGACAGAGCCAGCTATATATATGTCACTGAGCCAGCTATATATCTCACTGAGCCAGCTATATATTTCACAGTCTTTTATATATCTCAACTGAGTCTGTTATACATCTCACCAAGTCAGCAAAATTTTTGTTTGTTTGCGGTTTTTTCGTCACACCTACACAGTAGCCTATAGGTCATTTGGCGACATTCCAGCTTTACTGGTGAAGGAAGACCTCAGGTGACCCTCCATGCATTATTTCAGGCACGAACGGACACCTGAGTAGAACCACCGACATTCCGTAAGCTAGCTGGATAGCTTCCTCACATGAAAGAATCCAAAGTCCCTGTCAGGATTCGAACCCACAGCGGTGAAGGGCAAGTGGTTTGAAGTCAAAGACCTAAACCACTCGGCCAAGGACACCCCTAAGCCAGATATATATCTCACAGAGCCAGCTATATATCTCACAGAGCCAGCTATATATCTCACTGAACCAGATATATATCTCACAGAGCCAGCTATATATCTCACAGAGCCAGCTATATATCTCACAGAGCCAGTTATATATCTCACTGAACCAGATATATATCTCAACAGAGCCAGCTATATATCTCACTGAACCAGATATATATCTCACAGAGCCAGCTATATATCTCACAGAGCCAGCTATATATCTCACAGAGCCAGCTATATATCTCACTGAACCAGATATATATCTCACAGAGCCAGCTATATATCTCACAGAGCCAGCTATATATCTCACAGAGCCAGCTATATATCTCACTGAACCAGATATATATCTCACAGAGCCAGCTATATATCTCACAGAGCCAGCTATATAACTCAAAAAGCCAGCTATATATCTTACTGGGTCAGCTATATATATCAGCTATATATCTCACTGAGACAGCTATATATCAGCTGTATATTATATCTCACTGAGCATGTTTTATATCTCAATAAGACAGCTATATATCTCACTATGCCAGCTATATATCTCACTGAACCAGATATATATCTCACTATGCCAGCTATATATCTCACTGAGCCAGCTATATATCTCCACATACCAGTTAACTTTTTGAAAAGCAAAAATCTTAAACATTTGCATACAACAATTCCAAATTAATGAACAAAATGTTTACTTGTGACTTACATTATTTTTGGGAACATCAATATGATCATGTGGAACCACAGACCTTTTGTAAGCCAGTTTAGTAAAATATTCATTATTCTAGAAAAATCATATAATTTTATATAATAAATGTAAAATATGTATTAAAGCATTACCTTTCTTCAGTATCTTGTACTTTTCCTCATTTTCTTCAAATGCTGGATCAGGCTTGAAAACGTCTGTTGGAAAGAAATAAAAGAAACAACACAATTATGACCCCTTTCTTCAGCAGTTCAAAACAGACAGGCTTAAATGAACTAAGATTCTAATTGAAAATGTTAAATAATGTTAAAAAAGCAGGTCTGTAAGTTAATGACACATGCATACAAACATAAAATTATAAACTTCTAACAAGGCAATTTAATGTGAGAACTTCATTGAAAAAAAAAATAATACAGATTTAAACTTTAAAATATGCTTTATAAAATCATTTCCCACAATCTTTTAACCCTTGATTTGCTGATTTTGTGTTCGAATTTGCCCAGCTTTAAACTTCAAAGTTTAAGGAATTCAAGTTTCAGCAACCAAAAGTACAGAGCATGGTCAGACTGCATGAATATGTAGGATGACATTATTCTAGACTGACAATCTTCATGCTTTTGTTCTCACATTTTTAAGTCCCACTCACACTGTAAAGATCATTTGGTGACTTTGCAGCTTCACTGGTATAGGTAGAACTTTGGTAGATTTCTATGTATCATTCCAGGCCTGAACATGCCTCTGAGTAGAACCACCGACGTTCCGCAGGCTAACTAGATAGCTAATTAGCTTCCTCACATAATTTCAAAAGAAAGTCAAAAATCCTTGGTGGGATTTGAACCCACAGTTGTGAGGGGCTAGTGATTTGAAGTGCACAACTTCCAACAACTACTCTGCCATGAACACCAAATGAACAAGATATGTTTGTAAAACATGTATGCCCCCTATCAGCAGCCAATTAGTCATGTGATAAGGTTATTATGACTTCTGACCCAGTGATCAAACAATTAATAAGGGTTATCAAGTATCTACTGGTCATGACCTAACCTTTGACCCCTTGACCCAAAACTCAATAGGGGTCATCTGCTGGTCACCACCAATCATCATACAAAGTTTGAAGTTCCTAGGCCTAAGCATTTTTAGTTAATTGATCGGAAACCGTTTTAACATACAAGGTCAATGTGACCTTGACCTTTGACCCCAAAATCAATAGGTCATCTGCTGGTCATGACCAATCACCATACCATGATTGAAGTTCCTAGGCTAAAGGGTTCTTAAGTTATTGATTTGAAAGCATTTTTACCTACAAGGTCAATGTGACCTTGCCCTTTGACCCCTTAACCCCAATATCAATAGGGGTCATCTACTGGTCATGACCAATAATCATACCAAGTTTGAAGTTCCTAGGCCTAAGGGTTCTTTAGTTATTGATGGGAAACCGTTTTTACCTAAGAGGTCAATGTGACCTTGACCTTGACCCCTTGACCCCAAAATCAATAGGGGTCATCTACTGATCATGACCAATCACCATATCAAGTTTGAAGTCCCTAGGCCTAAGGTTTCTTTCGTTATTGATCGGAAACCATTTTTACCTACAAAGTCAATGTGACCTTGACCTTTGACCCCTTAACCCCAAAATCAATAGGGGTCATCTGCTGGTCATGACCAATCACCATACCAAGTTTTGAAGTTCCTAGGCCTAAGGGTTCTTTGTTATTGATCGGAAATCATTTTTACCTACAAGGTCAATGTGACCTTGACCTTTGACCCCTTAACCCCAAAATCAATAGGGGTCATCTGCTGGTCATGACCAATCACCATACCAAGTTTGAAGTTCCTAGGCCTAAGGGTTCTTTTGTTATTGATCAGAAACCGTTTTTACCCAAGAGGTCAATGTGACCTTGACCTTTGACCCCTTGACCCTAAAATCAATAGGGGTCATCTACTGATCATGACAAATCACCATACCAAGTTTGAAGTTCCTAGGCCTTAAAGTTCTTTAGTTATTGATCGGAAACCGTTATTGCTTACAAGGTCAATGTGACCTTGAACTTTGACCCCTTGACCCCAAAATCAATAGGGGTCATCTACTGATCATGACCAATCACCATACCAAGTTTGAAGTTCCTAGGCCTTAAAGTTCTTTAGTTATTGATCGGAAACCGTTTTTGCTTACAAGGTCAATGTGACCTTGACCTTTGACCCCTTGACCCCAAAATCTATAGGGATCATCTACTGATCATGACCAATCACCATATCAAGTTTGAAGTTCCTAGGCCTTAAGGTTCTTTAGTTATTGATCGGAAACCATTTTTGCTTACAAGGTCAATGTGACCTTGACCTTTGACCCCTTGACCCCAAAATCAATAGGGGTCATCTACTGGTCATGACCAATCACCATACCAAGTTTGAAGGTCCTAGACCTAAGGGTTCTTTAGTTATCACTCGGAAACCATTTGGTCTTCGAAATGGGGGCATAATAAAAAAATTTCAACAGGTTAAGTGTTTTTTTTTAACAATGACAATCATAAACATATCTTATTTTCAATCTTTGCTCTTCTTAATATTGAGCAATGAACTTGGCAAGCTTTGAACTGTTCATTAATTTAAGGGTGTCCAATACCAAAAAGCTAACACTTAAAGAAGCCAAAACTTAAATGTCTAGTCACATTGATGGGAGATGAAGGCTAGACTGGTCACTATCACTTAGAGGCTCGCATAATATGATTTTATTCAACAAGTTAAATCAGCAATATCAACAACAATATATACATGTATGACAGCTATATAAATCTTGTACTGCATGAAATTCATGTTTTAATAAGGTACATGTAGAGAAACAAGAATTCTTGTGGCACAAAAAGTTGCTGTCCTTAGTCTAATATTATATGATGATATGATTCAGATGAAACAAGAATACTTTGAAGAAAATTCCTGTAGTGACCTTGACCCAAATGACCTCAAGCCTTCCAAGAAGGATGGTAGAGGTTCCGGTAAGCTTCATAAAACATGTAATCCACCTATAATATCTAAGTGTTGTTGGCCGTATTTTAAGGTAACCTTTTTGCTTTGCAAGACCAGCTTGCTTAATTATTTGGGCATTTGATCAGTAGATAAAATAAATCTTTAGCCTCGTTAACACCAAACAACTCACTCTAGGTGTAGGATGGAGAGGAAGGTTTCTAACAAAGAGTCTAATATCAGGCTCTGATAACAAAAAAGGGCAACATTGTTGCAAATTACACCCATCACAAAAGCTTTTGACAGAGATGTCAAAGCATTATATTATGCATGCCATATAGGAAATATGCTCTGGGCAATATCCAGAAAATATCTAGATATTTTGTCATCTCTAGTGAACTTGACCTTGCAAATATTAACATAAATTACATACATGTGTCACACTTGTTGCATGAAAATTTCATTGGTTTTTCAAAACCAAACTAAAGGTCTCCCCTTTCACCAAAATCACCTCTCTATGTACTTGACTTTTTTGCAGGACCTGGATTATTTGCTCAGGTGAACATTTATGCATAGTTATATTAAAATCCCAAGATGAATGTAGAAGTTCGGCTCCAAACAAGCATTTTTCAATGACCTCTAAGTGTGACCTTAACCTTAAACCTAGAGAGCTGGTTTTTGAATGCACCTGACGTTGCTCCTCATAAAGGTGGTCATTTCTATGAAATTTCATTAGAATCCAACCATGCATGGAGGATATATGATCTGGAAATTTTTTTCTATATCTTATCATCTTTAGTGACCTTGGCCGTGCATATATAAACCTAAATTACATGTTTCAAACCAGTAGTTATGATAATGACCATTTGTGTTTCAATCCCTTAATAAATGATTACTAAATGGTCTGATTACACATTTTCATAATTTTATCTGCAATCAATGGAAAACTTTGACACATACGTGTGACCTTGACCTTGGCGACAGGGACCTAAATCCGCCTCACATTGTGAAACATTTGTGTCAAGTTATATTGAAATCCCTCTATGCATGTAGCAGCTTTCATCCGGAAAAGCTTTTTTCAATGACCTCTAAGAGTGACTTTGACATTTAACCTAGTTTATGAACATGACACTGCTTCTTATAGTGGTAAACATTTCTATGAAGTTTCATTAAAATTCCACCATGCCTGTAGGAGATATGCTCTGGACAAAATTAAACGCCAACCGCCCGTCCGCCATCTCCTAATGTTGATCATTTGTGCCAGGTTTTTTTAAATTCCACCAGATAAAGATCGATTTATGGTGCAGACAAGATGTTTGAGACCATTTCTTTGCATTTGAGCTTAAAGCAGCACGCCTCCAGATTCATGCTTATTTTCATGAAAATTTTGAAAATGTATTTGAATGTGCAATATTGTGAAGTAACCAAAAGGTAGCAAATTACACATTATCAATGGCACTTACAATCCATGTTAATTACCAAAAAGTGGTCAAAATATGCATAAATAGCCTTTACTGCGTTAGTAACGCAGTAGAAATCTAATAGTAAATACTGAAAAATCAGTCATTAATCGCACATTATATGTAAAATATTACTTGAATCTTGAAACCTTTTACTTTTCCTGACATCTTAGTACATGTTTCTCAAGTTTGATTTTATTGAAATATTTTGACTCATCTCATTCTGGAGGCATGTAGCTTTAAAGTAAGACCTTGACTGTTGACCTAGCTACACTGTTCTTGCCCATGTCACGTCATCTCATTATTGTGAACATTTGTGCTACATGTAAGTTATTTGAAATTCTGCCAACTTATGACAGTGTTACCTCCCTGATAAATAAGCATAATCAGGATGGTTGTAAAACCTCGATCTTTGACCTAACCACACATACTGTCTCATTATTGAGAACATTTGTGCTAAGTTATTTGAAATTCTGCCAACAAATGACAGAGTTACAACCTGAACAAGCATAATCAGGATGGATGCACGTACATACACCGAACCACCATTGCTTGCAGAGAGCTCTTTTAAAATGAGAATTTCTAGCTATTAGTATTGAAGTTGGGTCTGTTTACTAAACAAATCTGAACAAGGGGGAAAACACTGATAGCACAGAGATTATGTGAGTGAAATAACAAATATTTAATGCCTTCACAAACAATACTGTCAAATCTCAATAAATTGACAGTCAGTGTGCTAAATCATATGGCGACATTCCAACTTTACTGGTAGAGGAAGACCTTAAGTGCCCTTCTTTGCATTATTTCAGGCACGAAAGGGCAAATGAATAGAACCATCAACATTCCGTAAACTAGCTGGATAACTTCCTCACATATAAGAATCCATAAACCCTTGGTGGGATTCAAAACCATCAGTGGACTTTCCTTTTCAGTTAAATAAGGGCAGAGTAAAAGATCTCAGGTGAAGTTATCGCCTGACTTTGCCCCAAAAGCAGTTCCTGCATGATACAAAATATAACATTCCTCATTGGAGACAGCCTTGTCTATTTTATAACCTTACAGCCTTGCTATTCTGGCCAGAATTGTAACACCTAGACATTCAAAGTTGAAATGAAGTTACTTAGTAAATACATTGTATCTCCAAGGAAACATTTCCTTATTCCATTTCAAATCAGTTCTATATCAGTGATTTTTCTCATTTAATTGGGAAAAAGCCCTAGGGTAGTTATTACTAAAACTAATTACAAAAAATTGCTAATTTGGGAAGTAAAAAAGCTGGTGTAAGTTCAGATTTTTGGGAAAACTGCAAGATTTATCATTTTAAGAAAATTTCGATTGGAAGGCCTTTTAAAAGCTTCATTATATAATGTGAAAAATCACTGTTTTAAAATATATATCAAACTGAAACTCCATCATTTGAATTTATAACCTACTAACTTACACCTTTGCTATTAACTTACTTCTTACACTTTTGCTATTAATTCCAGTATATTAAAGGCACACTTTTGTAAGCATGAACAATTAAAATCCAGTTTTGAATCACACGATTATAATTATCATTATCAATTTTATCAAATATGATTTTCACACTTTTTTTAAATCCAAAGAATTGCAGAATATGCACTTTCAAGAGCCATCAATCAATTTATCAATTATTAATACTTTACCTTTAAATCAACACTTTAATCCATATCTATAAATATCTATTATCACGAAGCTCTAACACACACCAAACAACATAGCCTGCCGCTAAAAATATGCCACTTCTTATTGTGTAATGAATGACACTTTGTTGTTACTGCACAGTGATTTAAACTGATTAACACTTTAAAAAAAACCCATAAAACTCGAATCTTTAAGTTGAATAATACAGTACTTGAAAAAGAAAATTTTTTAGCACAAGCCATTTTAAGAACATACATCTCATTCATAATCCACGTTGGAAACAGACTGTACATATTTTCCATATAACAAAATCAATTTAAGTATTCTTTCTCCAAAATGATCCCTGCATACATCTTAACATTCTACTATTACTTGTATATTTCCTTCAGTCTTGAGCTGACATCTTTACTCAGCACTGGAAATTTTTTCAGTTTTTAAATCCGAACATCACAAGAAAAAAATAATCCAAATTATGTGACTTTTAAGCACTTTTTTTTTTACACAATTTTTTATCCAGTACATTATTAGACATTGAATCTTCTATTACAGAATCTGTAGATGATTTGTACAGACTTGATGAATGAATATATACATATAAAAAATTTTCAAATAATTATTTTACACTCCTCATTGTTGAATTCTGGTTGATTTCCCACATCTTGCATCATGTATAGTAACTGTTGGTGAATTCTGGTAATTTCATGCCAATATTTTAACTTAACACTAAAAAAATACACCTAATACTGCTTAATCTGTAAATTTATTTATAAACTCATATTATAAATCTGATTCTGGTGAATTTTGGTAGATTTATTCCAACATTGTGACTTCACTTGACTCTTTTTTTATTCTGGAGCATTCCAGTATTTTACACATATATGCTGTACATGATACTGGAGAATTCTGGTACATTTATTCCAATACATTGCACATGTATGTTACGCAAGAAACCAATGGAAAAGTCCTTGAGAATTCTGGCACTATATTCCTTATTTTATACACTTGATGCATTTATTTCTTGTAAATTCTGATTAAATTTTTCTCTCATTTTACACACATTTGATGCTGCAGAACTCTGGTAGTTGCATTCCAATACTGTAGACACTTATTCCAATATTTTTTAACTATCATGCAAATGAAAGTGGTAAATTCTGGTAGTTTTATTCCAATTCTTTACACAAACACACAAAATACTGGTAAATTCTGGTAGTTTTATTCCAATTCTTTACACAAACACACAAAATACTGGTAAATTCTGGTAGTTTTATTCCAATTCTTTACACAAACATACAAAATACTGGAAAATTCGGGTAGTTTCATTCAAACACTTCACACAAAAAATACTGGTAAATTCTGGTAGTTTCCTTCCTATACTATATACACACTATGCAAGTGGTGTTTTATTTAAATACTTTAAAGTCATTCTTCAAGTAGTACTGATATTATAAAATTATGGTAGTTTACCAGAACACCTCGTATGATATTTGAGAATTTGGTAGTTATTGTATTCCAATGCTGGTAAATTCTGGTAGCTTTGTTTCATCCGCTCAAACTTAGAGAAGAACAGTTGATTTCATTGACCAGTACAATTTCTGTAGTTTAGCCAACACAAAGCAAAAGAATATTACGATACTATTTCTAGTACAAAAAAAAAAAAAAATTCCCAATTTTAGCACAATTCTAATTTCTCATTTAATCTGTTAAACATGTTTTGTACTAACTCCATTGAACAGTAGACCTACTACACACAATTAGTTACTCAGTTGATTAATGGTTAATTCCATTTTTATCTTATCCAAACACAACTATTCCAGCATTAATTTCCAATTTTTTTGTACTTCATGTAATCTCTGCAATATAGTTGATAACGAATTCCATTTGAATTACTTACACTGTTTTAAACAAACAACATAGTAGTTAAACTCCAGAAGTTGGTATATCTTCCACTCACTTGTGATGACATTTGAATTCTGGTAGTTTAACATAATCTTTTCACATCTCAATGTGAAGATTACTCTGTTGAAATCTTACAGGTTATTTTGCTCAAAATTTTAACACCAGTTGTTGGAATCTGGACATTTTCGGCACGATGAATTTTACCATAATTGTAAGATGGTTGGTTTCTAGAAGATATACATTATAATAAAACTCCTTGTAGATGTACATTCGTCTTTCCAAATCCAATATCTTGCAATTGTAAAACAAGTTCAATTCCCATACATTTTTTAAATTCAGGTTTTTGTTTTAGCTGCAGAATTACCCGAAATCCTTAAAATATATCCAACCCCTCTGGTACATATTCATACTCCACTTTTCACTTATGAATATTAAAATGACAACAACAACAACACTAACACAAACACACACACACTTTACTAGATACGAAACTTTTAACTCTGCCATGTACAATGTACACTATATAACAATGTACACTAACAATGGACACTAACAATGTACACTAATAAATCTCAAGTAAGTTCCATAACTCATATCAATTACTCACTAACTTCCCACAGAACACTTTTCTATTTAAAACTATCATTTCAAATAGAACATTCCCAAATCTTCACTTTTTCCCCCTTAAATATGCCCCAAACCCAATCTAGCCCTCCGTAGCCCTCCTAACCCCCACAAACCACCCCACCAGCTCTACAACATACTTAGTATATCCTCTCCATTCACTGCGTCTTCCAGTGTTAGCAAATGTGTAAATTGGTCCTCTTCTTCAACTAGATCAAGGTCCTCCATAACAGCAGGAAAGTCCTGTAATATGGAAATACACTGTTTATACATATGCATGTATCCTTTATTTGTTACATTTTCCTAAAAGACACTATGTTGTTCTATGTACATATAATAATAATAAGAAGAAGAATGTTTATTTATCACAATGTACAAGTTTCAACTGATTACCTGTATACAAAATTAGCAATAGCATACTAATTCTTAAGGTGAACACTTAACACCAGACATGTGAGAGGCCTGTAAGAGCCTATCAAAAGTAAAGGGTAGGCAATAATTCAATCTAAATTGATGCAACAATAGAGAACTTGTTCCAAGAAATATTAAAGTTCATGGTAATCAAGTACAATTTCAAAATAAACTTTTTTTGCATCCATTCACAGAAATGAAAATTTGAGAAAATCACTTATTGTTTAACAAATCTAAACAAATCTTATGTAAGTAAATAAATTAGTTTTAACAATCACCTTAAAGTTCATCAGTTATACTTATAATTTAAGGGAAATTGTACTATACCTGTATATGGAAAATTGGCAAAAATGTTTCATTGCTGCAAACTTTTAAACTTTCAAACATTTAAATTAATGAACAAACATTTTTTTATGCATTCAAATATATCAATTTTCATTTTTAACTAAAAACCACTCGGCCACGGACGCCCCTGCTCTTATGTAAGCTGATGTGTATATGTTATTCTTTCAAATATAAATCATGCTTAAAAACATAACTCTTTCCTTTTTTCCAAAATTTCTACACTTTCAACATCACTTAAACCTTTATCTGCTGAAAAAAATTGACCTGCTTTGAATTTGGATCAGTCCTTTTGAAGTTTAATAAAGAATGTCAATATAAAAAGACAAAACCTGAGCTAATAACTGTATAGAACCTGGTCAGACTTCACAGCTGGCCTCTTTACTGGTGGCAAAAGTTCAATGGTGGCAAAAGTTTAATTGTGGCAAATTTAATGGTGGCAAAGTCTAATCACACTCAGTTCCAGCAAGTTAAGGGTTCAACTATATCTTACATTAGACCCCTTCCACACAAGGATTTATAGTGTATTGTTTATAAAATCTCCTATTTTCTATAATACTTTAAAAGTAGACTCTTTTAATCAAAGTTTATACTTTGAAATAGTAAGTCTATCTTAAATCCAGGAAAATATTCCTTTGTAAAAAAATCAAACATATATCTCGAAAATCAAGAAAAACCAATGTCATCAATATTATATTTCTTAACAAAGATAAGGTATGGCTAATGATTAAGTCTGTCATATTGAATGATCTGGTCAACCAGTTAAAAATTCAAAACAAAAACCTCTACCATACCTTAAAATGATCTTTTCGTACAGCAAACATCACCTCACACATGTATTGTACACGTATATCAATCTGGCCCTCGTGTAAGATATTCCTTAACCTCTCAAATATTGCTGAAATGGAAAAACATTGAAAAGTTAACATACATCTTAATTGCAACATTAAATTACATTACCATACCATGTTTCAATTTTCTTATCTAGTCAGAAAAATATAATATTTTTATGTAAATTGTAGTTTATCAAAATCACTTGAAAGCAAAAAGTGACAAGCTTATTTCTAAATAATGGCCTAGCATTTACAGTGATTCTTTTTTAGCATAAAATGGTACCTGCATATAGGGTTGTTAATTCCAGGTTTTGTCTTGAAATTTCCAAAATAGTGTAAAAATTTCCCTCACACTACTCAAATATTGATGCACATATGGTTTTGATAAAAAGCACCATCTATATATAATTCTTATCAACAAATGTGTATTAACATCCTGAAAAAGTTTTTTTTTACTAATTTGTGTAATTTTTCTACTTTTCTTCTGTTAAATATTTCCAAATTTTTAAGGCATGGGTTTGCAAAAAAAAAAAATCACTGATTTTAGGCTAGCTTCCTATTTTATAAAAATCATGTCTAATATTTCTAATCAAATTTTAAAACGCTTAATATTCATTTAAATTTCTTTGCTTTGTCAAGTGTTTTGTGTTTTTTTTTTGGTTTTTTTCTTTTGACACTTAGCTCACTTTTTTTGTAGCAGTGGTGTATAAATATGTCAGTAGTTTCAATTACAATCTTTGACAATTCAATAAAGACAGGATGAACACTTCACACCTCAAAGTCTAAGTCCAAATTTTAAACATTAACATAAGAATTATCATTGCTTTTTCATTTCATATCACAAAGCAACAATCATCTTGAAATGTTACCAGTACTTCATTAAATAGCATGGTTGTTTTAAAAAGATGCTATGCTCAAATTTGATATTAGAAAATATTGATAATTGCTACACAGTATCTTTGTAAAGATAAAACAAACATGTTTTGACTTTACACAAAGAAGATATGTTCAAAATTCTATACATTATAATTGGTTATATGCTGAATATATTGTGTCATTAAAAGAACTGCCAGTTGTTTTTTTTTTAAAGAAAAAACCAAATTTACTTGAAATGTAATAGGGAACACAGCTTCCCATACATCGTTCATTCATCTTTTTACTCAAAATAGTCATATTCAGTAACTTTTCATAAATTTCAATAAATCTATGTGATATATTTTACTCAAGGATGAGCATAGTTTATCTTTAATATTTTACAGTACAATCACTGCAAAGCGGCCACCTAGGTAGCAAGAAACATCTTACAACAGCAGTATCAATTCTACCCAAACTGTTGCAAAAGAGTGTTTCTATGAAGAGATTGTACTGTACATTATAACGTATCAAATAATGAAAGCTTCAAATGTATATATATCACAACTATACATAGCAATAATATAAAAATAAAGGTCTATATTATACTTGTTTGTACAGTGAACAGTGCAATACTTACTTCTTTCAGGTAATAGTGAAAATAGCACCAATACATGTACATGTACTTATCGAGATATCAAGTTGAAAAGCTGAGAGTTCCAGTCTTTTTACGAGTATCCTTACGTGCCTGCCTTTTCAAACAGGTTACCCTGTAAGCCAGCAAACATGACACAAAAACATGTCACAAGCTTCGTTAGTAACCTGCTTATTTCATAATCTTTGTGAACTTTTTCTCTACTTTGCTTTTGGATACAGACAAGCATGTATAGTAAAGCTTGTCATCCAAAGCAGTCATAGATCCTGGCATCCTCGTATGTTTCCACTGGTTTGGACATCATTTTCGTCAACTAAGCTTAGTATTTCCTTGTGACTAAGCCAAGTTGATATACTTTTACCATGCTTCTCACTTGACGTCGAAGATGTTGTTACCCCGGTCCCGCAAATACTCGGCATCACAAGGCAACAACTTTATGAAAGCCGTCACCAACGGTTGAAGCACGTCTACGTTTCCGTCTGCTACCTAAACCAGTCAAGTGAGAAAGTAAATCTCACTTCAACCAGTCTACTGTGTTCCTTTTTCTTGAAGACCAAACTGGACCAGTCTGGCAAGACAGATAAATCTTGCACTAAACCAGTCAATGGCGGCTGTATAACAAACATGTGGATGTGTGAATGGTTGAAATAATCCACAACAACCACAATACACACCTTGCAGCTGAAAATCTTCATTTTAAAATGTTTCACAAATCAGCGTAAAACTCACCACCTGTGTAACCTAGTGTTACAACAAAGGGGAGTTAAAACTGATCATGAAAATCTTGACCACTATATACCATTGATTCCTCTAGGTGAGACGTCCGTAAGTTTCTGTCCGCATTCCTTCAGGAATCCTATCGATACCTCCACTGAATCGTCTGTTGGTGTTTCCAGAAGAAGTGTAAGTACTTCTAGAGCTAAAACTTCATGAGCCTAGAGTAAATAGGGAAAATATAGATAAATTATGGATATATGCCAGGTCTTTTATTATTAAAACAATCTAAAACACAAATGCCTCAGTGTTTTTTATGTCAATAAATAACAAAATGAATTTCTGGAATCTTGAAAATGTGGCCAAGATGGTTAAGATCATATAGAGGTCAAATCAAACAAAAACTATATGCCATTATTGATTAATGCGAAAGGCATTAAAAAATAAAGACAAATCTGTTTTTTTCCTATGTCTGTTGATATCAAATATCAGAAAAGTTCAGTTTCAGTAGTTTACATACAAAACTTATATGAAGTATCATCAGTAGCTTACATCAAGTATCAGAAAAGTTCAGTTTTAGAACTTTACATACAAAACTTACAAAGACCATTTAAATCTTAAATGCATAAAATATATAAGCCTGAAAGAAAACATTAATTATATCATTCGGAAAGCAAAAATACAATATTGAGCATACATTTTCCTTTTGTCTGGTTCAACTGTTTAACAGCACTTTAGTTCTAGAGACTTGTAATAACTCACTTGTTATTACATATATGAAGCCTGAGGAACGATGTATAAATACTCATTTTGATCTAGTTAGGATCTAGTCACTAAGGTGGTATAACAAAATAAACAGTTCTATTTAATACGGAAAATAAACAGATCTATTTAACATGGAACTATGGTGTAGTGGATATTTACTTGGAAAAAACATGAACATTATAAAGTTATTTCATAGGTGTATGTGGAACAGTCAAAACTGTTGCCCTAAGGTATCAGTGATACATGTTCAGCTGCAATACCCAACCTCAAGATTAAAATGCTATATATCTATTAAAACGAGGGCCAAATTATGACATAGTAGAGATAAAGGATTGTAAAAACTGACGAACGTTTGCCGCAGCCTAAAAAGTTACAAAAGTTCAGAATAATTATACAATGAACAGTGTTTAGAAATTTACTTACAACTTGTTGGTTAACGAGATGTGCGATGAACCGTGTCGATGACAAGCAAATATTCTTGTCATTCCTCTTGTAGCCTCGACGGAACTGAATTATCAGACGTCGTAAAATCAGCTCTCCATTTTGTGGAAACTATAAAAGGTCAATAATATGCGATTTTTAGGTGTTCTTATAAAAGAAATAGTCTGTTAACTTCAAATAATATCTTACACAAAGTCACCTTAAGCATAAATGTTTGCTTATCTAATCAGTGTGTGTTTACATCATTTAATAATTTTAAAGCTGATGTACCAACCTTTCCACCTTAAGTACCGGTATGCTAAATAGTAAAAGTAGTGTTAAAATGTTACAAAAGAGTTTGCATAATGGAAATCATTAAGCAAAACAAAAAAGTCTTAACATTTATGAATCCAGACTGATAAATTATAGTACACTTTATAAAACTGATACTTTTACCTGACCACTTTTTTAAAACATTTTCCCTAAGTTCACAGATTTTGGTCTAGTATAAATTAAAATACAAACTTGTTATTTAAAATTACAATGAATGCAAGTTCATAAAATATCACCCAGTAATAGTTAACCATGTAGCTGGTAATATTTGATACCAAGTAGTTAACTGCATCAAAACAGCCTGTTACATGCATACACCGTCTAATTACATTAACACATTTACCGGGTTACAACCTCAACCTCCCAAATTATATTACCAACCTTCTAGACAGCACAAATAGCTGGATTCAGACTTTCTAACCTTGTAATTTGTCTCTATATAGTTGGTAACATCAACCTTCTTAATAGTATTACCAACCTTGTTGTTGTTATGCCAAAATAACTGGTAACATCAAGCCCCAAGTTGATATTACCAACCTTGTTGTAGCTATGCCAATATGTCTAGTTACTAAGAACTTAGTAATATTACCAACCTTGTTAACAAAAACCTAAATAGTTGGTTACATCAACCTATACCTACCAACCTTGTTGTACTTATACCAAAACAGCTGATAACATCAACCCAATGATAATATTACAAACCTTGTTAACAATATACCAAGTTAGCTGGTAATATGACCATCTTGTAAACATTACATGTACCTGCCTAGCTTTAAACAAAACTATCATGCTTTAATTCACCTGCTATAGCATGTTTAATGGGTTAAAAATGAAAAGCTCGCCAAAAATATTCTGTTGTACATTTACATTCATCCATATGCATTTAGGCATCTAATTCAATTTATAAATTAATAAATGTGAAAATGTAATTATTTAGATTAAGACATACCTTTGTATTAACAATAGAAACTAGAGCTGCATATACATGAGTAAATGTGGGAGATGCTGCCTGAGCCTGTATGATAGATCTTGCCATTAAACCACTGAAATATCATATAGAAAATTTACTTTTTGACACTAATCAAATTATATATATAGTATAGTTACCAAAAGTAATAGAAATGCAATAAATGATTACACCAAAATTTAGGGTGGTAATTGATTACATAATGGTAACATGTTATTGAAAGACTTTGTTTACTGATTACTGTTGAATACTTGAAAAAATCTATTTGATTACAATCGATTGCTAATACTTATTATAATTACACCATCCCTGGTATGGATTTTGCTCACTGCCTTGCTGATGTGAACATTTGAGGCAAATTTGAAGAAAATCTCTCTAGGGGTATGACTTTATAGAGCACACATGCTAGGGACGGACTGATGCACCACAACTGACCAATGCTACAAAGTGATTCCAGTATAGCTCTCTCCACATTACATGTTTGTGGTAGGGGTATATAACTTGTTTCATTTTTTTCCTATACAAGATATGCCCTAAAAATAACAATCACTTGTTTTCGTCTGTAAACTGTAAATGTAAAATATTCATACATTTCAACATAAAAATTATTAACAATCAAAGAATATAAGACCATAAGTTATAGCATACCGTCCTCTAACAATGTTTTCCTGAAACAGTTCCCTGACGATGTTTTCTATATTTCCTACATTCACCTTGTTTATCAAACCATTGATACTCTTCTTGAGGGCTTCCCATGAGATACGCTGAAACTCTACACTGTAAGGTAAAAAAATTCCAAAAAATCAATCATTAAATTAATGGTAATAAATTACATAAAATCAATCACTGTAAGGTAAACAAATTCCGTAAAATCAATCACTGTAATGTAAAAATTCCGTAAAATCAATCACTGTAAGGTAAAAAATTCCATAAAATCAATCACTGAATGGTAATAAATTACATAAAATCAATCACTGTACGTTAAAAAATTCCGTAAAATCAAACCTGTAAGGTAAAAATTCCATATAATCAATCCTTACAGGTAAAACATTCCATAAAATCAATCACTGTAAAGTGAAAAGTTCATAAAATCACTGTAAGGTAAAATATCCCACAAATAAATCACTTAGCTAAAAATTCCTTAAAATCAATCATAACTATCACCGTTAGGTAAACAATTCCATAAAATCATTCACAGCTTATGCACAGAAAAGGTATAGAAAAGATACCATAAACCTGTCAATATCATTTCATAACAAAAACACCTATATTTCAATAAATTTTGAATCAATCATAACTAATTAATCCTTAAATCAAACAATCCCCCAGTTTTTCACAAGACCATAAAAATTATTCAGACTATACATTAAACAGCTTTACCATAGCTGATTGCTCCAATTTAAAAATTCAGCAGGTCAAGAGGCAATTTTAAACAGATTTATAATTAATTTACCTTGATTTATCTGTGATCTTGGCTTGCATAGCCCTAAGACGAGCAGGGGGTATATAAGCGCCACCAGTCCTCCCAGTAAAGGCTTCCACCCCAACAGCTGCAGGTTTGGGTTTCTTTGTAGACAATTCTGATTCTTCCTTTGGTTCTGGCTCATTTGTTTCCTGTACTTTTCTGAAATATAAAATAAATCAAAAACTTCCCTAGCATTTAATTTTACATACACAACATCATTTTTGAACTGAATGAGTCTATAAAAGTAGTTGATTTGTAGTTGGTATTTCTAATTAAGATATGTTTTTTTAAATTCATGTTTTGTTTGGATTTTATGCTGATTTTAATATGTTTAGTCCCATATTGCTGGTCAGTCCACCTTACTGGACTTTCCTGGCTAACTAACCAGTAATTATCAATTTCTTGGTATTACTATTCCCACATGATTTCGGAATCAGCAATGAGAGACAAATAACCATTACACTCTATGCCAGACTCAACTGTCAAAAGATCAAATTTGCCACACTTGAGGATCTTACCAGTGATCCCTTGATTCTCATATAAAAAATATTTGTACACATTATTATGGCAACCCTTTTTCACATTTTTTAACATTTGACCCTGAAGGTTAAGTTCATTTGTCACAGCCGTATTTCAATTTGTGTAGACTAATATGTTGAAACCAATTATGAAGGCTTTAAACAAAGATTTTAACCATTTGGGACATGTTAATTATGAACCCAGTTAAAGGATAACTAACAATATTAAGTTGAATATCAAAATGCAGTTTTACAATGACATAATCACAAAGGTTTGAAACAATATACAGTAACATCTTAATATCTACTAATAACTAAAAAAAAAAACATATTAATATCAAACTATGATAATTATGATTCTAAATTCAAAATTAAGTGTTTAAAGAACTTTCGAGGCAGTTCAACGAGCATAATTATATGGTGCTTTTTTTTTTCAAAGTACCTTTTACTTCCTTTTTCTTTGACACGTTCCTTCTCTCCTGCATTTTGGTCTCCATCATTTCTTCCCTTCATTCTTGAAGCCTTTTTTCTCTGATTGAGAAATCTCTCATCTTCTACAGTTTGTTGGTCATCTTCCCCAGAAGGCTTCTGAAAATTTGTACAATACGTAATTAAGATGACCTAATATTTCATAATCATGATAACCATATATTGTCCAATACTATATTATTATGATGACCCAATATTTCACAATGATAATGACATAATTGATGATACAATATTTCATTATCATATTATATCATAGTCATATGATGACCTAATATTCCATAATCATATAATGTCCAACATTTCAATATCATATAATGATGCTCCAAATACCAATAATACCAATAATAAAATTAATATTCTATAATCATATATATGTAATGATATTTTATGATTTATAGTCATATTAATATTACAGTGATCCACTATTTCATACATGTACATAACTCATAAAGTTCAGAGTTGAAATAACTTACGATAAAATATGGTGGTCTAACTTATTCTAATTAAATTTTCCTGTCATTCTGTATTTAATTCATGAGAATACTTGAATTTCAACTAAATTGGATATTTTAATATCTTACAAACTCTTTCAATATGGAGTTCAATCAAAAATGTAATCAAGAGTAAATAATATTATCGTGTTTTTAAGTTTTAAAATCTAAACATTCTGCCCACTCTACGATAAATAAAAAGTTCTGTACATTGTATATACTTACATTTATAAAACTTTTCATAGATTGTCTGGCTTTCTCTGCTTCTTCCTCACTGTCTGTGATCTCACCACTTTCTGGCTCACTCTCAAACTGGGTCATATCATGATTCCGTCCAAATGACCTTTCAGATGACCTTGACCTATTTTTATCAGATGATTTTGACCTATATCGATCAGACCTTTCATGAGGACTAGGAGATCTTGACATTTTCTTCTTAGATTTCTTTTGAGTTTTTTTACTAACAGTTTTAGAATCATCAAGGTCATTTTTTGTCTTTCGACTCTTCTTTGATGAAATCACCTGATCAGATTCAGAATATTCTCGTCGACGTTTTGATCGCATTTTTTGGCGACCCTTTGTTGGACTTTGCTCCTGAGCCGAATCTTCCGACTCAGGAATGTCAAATTCTTTGGAATGTGAGTTTTCTTCAAGGAGCTGTTTACTACGTTCAAAACTTCTTTCCAGTGAGTCATCTTTCTCAGCGTCTTTTTTCTTTTTCTTATTTTTACTTTTCTTAGAACTTTTTGGCGATTTTTCTAAATCCTCCTCAGACTCTTTAAAATCTTTATCTATACTCTTGTCTTTAATCTTCTTTGTTTTATTTCCACCTTTAGCTTTAGATTTTAAAGGTGAATTAACAGGAGTATTCTTCTTTTTCTCTGATAGTTTTCTTTGTTTACTTCCTCTCTCTGTCCTGTCTGGTGATACTGACCTCTGGCCCATATTTGACCTTACTGGTGAAACAGACCTTTGACCCTTATTTGACCTTATCTCTTTAGGGGACATGGCCTTTTGTTCAAAGCTAACATCTGAATCATTTCTAGTCCTACTAGTATTTCTCATAGGTGACCTTGATCTGCCTCTATTTTGCCTATTTCTGTCCTGACTTCTATCCCGTCGGTCAAATGACCTTGACTGTTGATCATTTCTATAACCTTGACCTCTACTATCATCAAGCCTTCCTCTTCCTTGCTGGTCTCTCCAACCTGGAGCTCTTCCTGGTGATCGCTGACCTCTTCCAAGACTCTGATAATCATTTCTTCTTTGTCCAAACCTGGTATTTCTTTCAGGTGAGAAAGATCTTCTAAGTTCATTTCTGACATCATTTCTACCAGGACTAGGCGATCTGTTTGATCTGTCTTGTCTCCTTGGTAACCTGGTTTCTAAGCGCTGTCTTTCTGGAGAAGAAGAAACTCTTCTTTGTCTTCTTTCAGGTGACATTCTACCACCTGGCATTTCGTTTCTTCTACCATATGCATCCTGTGAATCATCCTGTCGACTTGACCTTTGGCCTTGGCTTGCACCCCGTGAACTCCACCTATCGTCACCCCTGTCTCTGCTTCTATTATCAAACTCCCTGGAGTCCTGATCACCTCTTCCTAACTGTGCACTGGTTTTCTCAACTTTAGATACAACAGATCGCTTCACTGGACTTGTATCTGAATCTGATGAAAACTGCTGCCTTTCTCTGCTCCTGTTTTGTGCAACCTCAAAACTTGAATCTTTCTCCGAGTCCATTCTTTTTCTGGCTTTCTGGTTTCCACTGGACCTTTTAGGAGGACTAGAATTATCATAACGCTGATTTCTGCCGGCAGTCCCCCGTTGATCTTTCTTCCGAGGTCTTACCTCTTCTTCACTACTGTCTGAATCATCAGAAGATGTGTCATGTCTCTTCCTGTTATAAAGAAGTAAATATTTATTGTCAGTGTATTGTCATGTCTCTTTGTAATTCAGTAAAATATAAACAGTGTTCTTTTTCTCTCATTTAAAAGTAAAATTATATAAAAGGGCCATCTGTCCATGACCTTGCATCACTAACAGACTTCCCGAAATACGTCGGTCCGACGGACATGTCCGATAAATTTTAATCAGGTCCAACGATTTTTTATTCCGGATCGGTCCGAATGTCCGGCTTTTATCCAAGCAGCATGTATACAAAATGGCGTCGCTTAAGCTGCCAAACCTGGGAAAAACGAAAATCTTCGTCAGAGGAGCGCGCAGAACAGCAATAAAAGGATGAAAAGAATAGACCCGAGACAAAATTTAATGAAAAATGGAAGGAGGACCATGAATTGTTGGTGTATAACAGGGAGGAGATGAAAATGCACTGTACGGAATGTGCCGATTTTTACGGCGAAAAAATTAAAAACAAAAAGTGTCTTAGAAATACAAACACAAGTTTTTCTTTGATTTTGATCAATTTTATTTGGTCTGACAGATTTCGCTTCGGTCCGACAGATTTTCATGGTTTGTCAGACCGAATGTCTGACATTTTTTTTTAACTTTCGGGAAGTCTGCACTAAACAGGATAATATTTTATGCTGGAATATAATAGTTGCATATTTGTAATATGTAGTGCAAAGTTTATGGATAATCAGAACATGTATTCAAATGTGGTTGTTAGTGGTGACATTTTAAAGGGCTTTTTCCCAAAATTTGATTTTTAAGTTAATTTACCTTTTCTGACAGATGGATTCAATCACAGTCGGGAAATCTATCCTTATTTTATTAAATCTATATATATAATATAAACAAGGGATACAAGTCGTGGACTCACATTACCAGCACAGGTTTGTAAAATGCATTCACACGTGTAAACTGTATAAAATATCCTCCATTCAATCAAAGTTATTGTAGAAGTTAATTTATGAACAAGTCATTACACAAGTTGAAGTTCTACAAACTCTTCATTAAAACCTGTAAAATTGCAGGAAATAACTAACATTTCAATATTTACATTGGCTGTAAAACTGCCGTCCATTATGCAGGTTTGTTTATGTTCCGAGCATTTTCATGGGCTGATAAAAAAAAATGCTATCCATATAAGCTGTCATTATCCGGATTATTATTATTCATTAGCCAATGAAATTGACAGTCACAAAGAGAAGTTGGGTCTACGTATGAAACATACTGGCACATTCAAAATGGAAGCAGAGGATAGAAATTATCAAAACAAACAAAAATTGTTACAATAATTTGTACCAGAAGTAAATAAATTTTTTTAAATTATCGTTTCCTGTCCAACAATCAAAAGAAAAAAGCTGTTGTATACTGCGTTCTATTTACTTTTTCATGAATTGAGCAATTTTGGGTTGTATCCCTTGTTATATTAAATATATAGTGGAAAAAGAAAAAAAATGACAAGCCCCCTTTGGATTTAGATATCATAATTATAATACATGAAACATTGTTAAATGGCCGTATTTCGAAAACAAAAAATATTGTGTGGTAGAGGTATTTATAATTGTTATTTAAATCTGAATGTTAAAATCTGATTACTACCAAGCTTAAATCTTGAAAAACACATGTCTGTGAGATGGGATCATTGGGTCGAAACGTTATCGGGCCGAAATGGCTTTAAATCGATTAAAACTTATGAACATATCTTTATTCCAGTCGGCTAATTAAAGTTGTATAGAATACAGAGACAACTTAGTAAATTACCTAGGCATTACTCTTCCAAATAAATCTTTTTCCTTGTTAAATGTATTGACAACTTTAAAACGTTTTCCTTTTTTCTCGCTACGAATAAACTCAAAGAAAGCAAAAGAGCGAAAAGTAAATATAAAAACCGAACGCAAACAAAGACTCAAAAACGTTATATCGTTGGCACTTTCACCATTTCTAGTTATGTTTAATATCCGTGGAGAAAGAAATTATTGGATATTTAAAATTCATCAATGTAATTTTTCAAAGTTGGATACTTTTTACATTGATTAATTACTGTAATTTCAGTCGTGTAGATCTAATAAGAAAAGATTTTTTTTCTGACCGGCTTTACTGGAAGTCGCACCAGGAGATGGAAATCGCCAATGAAGAGGACTGCCACATTTTACAGGATGACCTGAAGAAGCTGACATTGTGGGAGAAACGCTGGGGCATGAGTTTCCATAATCAGGGTCCACAGGAAGAGGAACCCCATCATATACCCGTACTCCTTGAAGGGCCACACTCGAGATAGACTCGACAACCAAGTACCTCGGAGTCCATATGTCTGGAAACCTCTCCTGGAACCAACACGTTGACAAGATTGTGAAGAAGGACAACAGCACACTCGGCTTCCTTCGACGCAACCTGCGCATCAGCAACGAACAGGTCAAGAGCACAGCCTTCATATCACTCGTGCGACCAGGCCTTGAATATTGCTCCACCGTCTGGAACCCTTAAACCAAGGACCTTACACGCAAGCTCGAGATGGTCCAGAGGAGAGCTGCAAGATATGTGACGAACCGTTACCACAACACCAGCAGCGTATCCTCCATGATCCAACACTTGGGGTGGGAGACATTAGAGTCACGATCGACGGACCAAAGCCCAGCTGACCATGATATTCAAGATCACCAATGACCTTGTGGACATACCAGTCAGCGATTACCTCACCCCTGCCCCGAGCCGCACTAGAAGTGACCACTCCAAGAAGTTCCATCTACCATCCACATCTACATCGTACTACAAGAACTCCTTCTTCCCTCGTACAGCTACAACCTGGAACAGCCTTCCTGCCCCCGTTGCAGAGGCCCCTGACTTGGTATCCTTCAAGCAGGGGTTATCACCCCTCACATTCTAATCCGCCATTAGGGGCCCAGCTACCAGTACCCACTAGTGATATCCAAAGGCTGTGCCGGCCGCGGCCACTGTAATCGGAGAGGTTTGGGTTGAAATTAAGAGGCGAAATATAGCTGGCCAGACTTTTTGTCTATATCTCTTTCTTTTGACCTATCCAATCTCTTCTAACTTTCTATCATTTCTTGTATATTTCTTTTTCTTGACCTAGCACCACCCGTCGCGTTATAATCAAGTGTGATTGCGCCGACGTACGATGTAGATGTAGATGAGTATGAATAGAGGATAAAGAAACTAACCTCGTCTGAGCAATAACCAACGACTCTGGACTTGGAACTTTCGTGCTTTAACTTACACCACTCTTCCACCACAAGCATCAAACTACTTCAGAAATATGAGTTTTTTTTACTGAGGTTATGCATAATTATGACACTATGACTTGAATATTTTTTAAGTAGTTTAATCGATATTTGTAATCTAAATTTACAAACCTTTTATCTAGAAAACTGTCAGTCAGACGTGATAATAGCTACAATTCCACCTCATTGAAATAAACATTTTTGCAAGTAATTAATTACCCAAGATATGCAAAAGAAAATCCATGTTTCAAAGATGACTATGTGAACGACTGATATTTTTGTGCATTTTAAAAGCTCCAGACAAACAAAATTATATAATTATGCGTTAAAAATTAAATCTACGTGTTGTAAGGCATTGTTCATATTTTTCACAACTTATTCATATATCTTTAATTTTAATTTAAAGTTTTTTTTAGATGCTCCACACATGAGCACTGCGCATGGCTTTATTTGTTGGAAAGGTTCTGTCAAAAGTGGATATGCGTTTATAATAAACAATTTCTAGAAAGGAATAATTCTGACGAAAAGCTGATGGCTATCGATTCCAATAAGGGTCTAATTAAAAAATTTCAGCAGAAAACCTTTTTTTACTTTTTTATTTTACATTATTTGCCAAAACCAAACTGAATCTTATCTTATGGTTAGCAAAGAGGAATGCGAATAAGAAAAAGAATGACAAGAGAAGATAAGATAAGAGAAGAGAAGAACTTTTATTTCCAATCAAGGGTCAAAAATAAAAAAAAAATATAATGATATCAGCAATAAAATAAGGATGTAAAGAAAATAAAGCTTGATTCATATTAGTAATAATGTTCAATGAATAACCTGTATATTGCTATCTTAACTATGAAACATCATTAAAACTGATATATGCAATAACTTTATTATTGTATCTTATAATACATTTTCTTTTAAATTCCACCCTTTAAAGGTCTTTTCAAAAAGTTAAGATTATATCTCTACACAGTGTGGTTCTACAGTAGAAAAAAAGCATTCTCAAAATATATAGGCCTAGAAAAGGTGGTCAATATTTAAATTCAAGGAAAACTAAACTGCAAAAAAAACAAACAAACAAAAAACGTCTCTTAAAAACATTTGGAAAATATGAAGAATGCTAGCTGAGTTACATCAATTTAAATTTTCTCAGTATTATTTCTGAGTTTATAACTATTAAAAATAAAATATTTTTAATATTTTTTTAATAATTATTTCATCCTCATTGCCCATTAACCAAATAAACTTGTTATCTCAGACATTTTAAGTTCTAATTTTTATCTTTTATCTCTTAATGGAGCCTTAATTTACTGAATTGGATCTCTGATTTCATTATAAATAAAATACTGCATTGAATAGTAAAAGTAATATGTACACATAGTTACAAAGTGAAGCTGGTCTTCATTATTATTTGAGTTGCACACTTGACAAAATCTTGATTTGATTTGTCCAGACTATATTTTTTATAATATTTTCCAATTTTAACTGCAATTTGTGAGAACTTATCCTTATCTTTGTAAATAGGGCCTACTTTTATCACAGAATCATTGGTTCAGCCGAAATTTGGTACGGATTTTACAGACTTTAATAAAGTGCTTTCTACTGTATGGTATAGACAAATCAACGAAATTATTCAAGCGTCTACTTTGTTGACGGCAGACGAACGAAAATGGAAATGTCAATATGTTTTCAAATTTGAGTTATCTTTTTCAGCAGTTTCTGCCGCAAACATAACTGGAAAGTTTAGGTGAATTCACTTTAATTGGTTGTAAGCTTATTGCAGATCAGCTCAAGTTATCGTTTGTTTTTCAACATTTTTGTGACCTTGTTATCAGCAGTTTTCAGAATCAACACATCAATTATCAATAACAAAATAGTAAATATATCAGATAATATCAATTGCTCCCCCTTTTTCTGTCAAAACAATAGCGAGGACATAGTCAGTACTCTTTCTCAAGGTTACGGCGCCAAGGTTACTATGTTTTCTTGTTGTTTTTTTCAATGAATTGTGGACAAACCAGTTCTCAAACCTGAGATCGAAGCATGCAACGCATGCAAGAGGTCTTTTAATTTAGTACACATAAGAATATATCTTTATGACAATTCTTTACTTATGTACAATTTAATCTTTATGTAACATTTCGGTAAAATTTGACTGAAATTCAACAATTCAAAAAGCTCTATTTCAATCTTGGAAAAGCACAACCCTCTTTTGTAAAACTGACATTCACGCCTCTTAAAAGAAAGAACCTTAAATCTCAAACCCCTTCAAGTATCTCTGAAATTCTACTGTTTAGTTTAGCCAATGAAGTGATTGTCATATGAATATCACATGACAACGAAGTACCGTTCAGGATGCACGTACCTGCTTTAAGATATTTTTGTCTCTAATATTCATTTTTACAAATAGATAATTGGTGTATTTACTGGACTTACAAAGGTATACTGTGCTCCTCTTAGTTCACGGTACTTAACACTTTAAAACAGTAAAGAACACAAACAATAAACTTACACTACAAAAACTGTCATAAACTGTATCATTTAGTCATTTTTCTGCTATATGACACAAGGAAACAACAATATATTCAATCAAAATTAGTTTTAATTTGTCAGATGTAAACCGTGTGTCGGCCATTTTGAAAACAGTATGTCATCATTTACCTCGCGGTAATGGTGTTTTATTTCAGATTTTTCATGTTTCAGTTAAAATTTCTTTAAGTTATTTTGCATAATTTTAAATATTAAAAGTATTTTTACATTGTAACTCACAATTTATTTTTCCAACAAACAAGAACATTTAGAAATGATGATTGTTTCAGACGTATGCACAAATTTAATGGACTATTGTTGTTTTTTGCAGAATTTTGTAAAACGTTGTTCAGTTTTACGTACAAATCTATAGATTTAAATTATTTTGCACAAAAAATTTGTTGTTAAGGTGTTTGAATAAAATATGTCAATTCTGACCAATTATAACAATGGTCACATGAAAATATGCCATTACCGTGAGATAAATGATGACGCGGAATTAGTGATGTTGAGTATAATAGCAATTTGTATGAAATAATGCTAGGTTATAAGATATTTCATGTAAATATTCCTTGCTATGCACTGTTTTAATTTAACAGCAGCAGACATGTCTGTCAGAATCGAAGCTTTAATGCACAAGTTCAGGACATCATAGTCACTTCTATTAAATAAATAACAGCTCATGTAAAAGTATAGATTGGAAAAGATAATTCGGCTACTGTATAGGTATACAGGAAAGGTTTATAGGACTGTTTTGACAATAGTAATAATAAGGGGAATAAAAAATAAAAACAACACGCATGATTTATTCAATTATTTATCTATTTAATTTATTTATAAACTCAAACACATAACTCTTTTATTTTACAATTCGCCCTACGACAAATGAAAGGTTTGAGAATAGGTTGGGTGTGAGGTTAGGTACTTATACAGTCTCAGAGATCTGCCGAGGACGCGATTTTGCGCCATTGGCGCTAAAAAAATGAGAATGGCGCAGGAAAATCGGCAGCAAAGGGCCATGGGGGCATCTAAAATCTGTGCCAGACTTATAAGAAAACAAAACTGTCTGCTGGGTTATTTAGTCATCCAGTCAAAACTGGTACCAACAGCAACATGTTACCCATGCTCCTGTAATTACGCATATTCTTGAGTTTATCCATTCCCCTATAGCTTTTATCCATGTTATCTACTTACCGCATTTCTTCTCATAATCCCTTTCCCACACAGATACTCATTTCTACTACCATAAATTTAATCCAATAAAACAAACAAACAAAGTATACAACTACTTATATTTAAAATGATTATCGGTAACTGAAAAAAAGTGTTGCTATTTCTAAGAAATGCTGTAAGTCACAGTATAATCTGACAGGTGTTCAACTTGATCAACCCTAAGGTCACTGGCTGATGAAGTGTAAAAAAGATGTATATTTCGTCATCAGAATGTTTGACAGGGTGATTAACCAATCAGAGAAACATTGTGCATGACTTTTTTCATGATCAAAAGGTCTGTCGGCAAATGTCTTTGATGTATGCTGTCTACACAGAGGCATACAAGGGGCAATAAAATTCGTCAATATACAGTGGTAAGGGACATTTGGTGCAAAGTAGGAACAATTAAATGGATAATGCACAATATAAGACATTACAAGTGAGAACCAGCAATTATGTGAATAAATTTGCATATCAAATTTTTGAGCAGCCATTTAAAAAATATTTTCATTTTTGCCTGCAATTAATATTAGTACTGTTAGAAAGTTACCATGTAGGCATAATTTTTAATTATTGGTAAAGTACTGAATTATAAGTGAACCACTTGTCATAAAATATGATTTAAGTTTAATTACCGGGGCAATTCAATTATCTACAAACTTTTTAACAGTTATTTTGGTCAATGTTTACTTATTTTCCCAAGGCCCATACTTTGGTAAAAATGGCCCATCATTTTCAGACCAAGTGGGCCCAGGGCCCAGTACTTTCAAATTCTTGGCAGATCTTTGCAGTCTTCACGAAAAAATTTAAAAAGCACAGGACATTCGGGCCAGTAAAATATGAAATCTTACTGGACCTGGTGATTTTTAGCCGGACCAAATACATAGATAGGTAATAAATTGATGGGAACAGGAAAACACTTTATCATGCTTCCCTTGGTAATTTTGAAAGAAGCATAATACGTCTTGTATTCTGGGCCATATGTTGACAGCTTTGAAAAATCTTTAAGGACTAAATGTTTAGGCAAAATTGACTGAATTGAACATGAACAACGCAATTTGCTTCAAACAAATCACTTTCACACAAAATATTTACTTAACTCAATAATCACAAAATCATAGCTAAATATTAAATGACCATAATAAACAATGGTTTAATTTCCGTAACTGTACGGTGCGGTACGGAAAATATCCAAGAAAAAAAATGGCGACCTCCATTACTGGATACAATTTAGACATCTCTCGCTGTGTTTTGAACATTTAGGACAGAATTGATGGGTTTCATTTGCAAAAAAAGGCAAAAAGATCAATCTTTTAGAGAACCCTGCTTCATTATTTTGATGAATTTTACTTACAATATGTTTTCATGACAAAAAATCTACTGGTCCGTCGGACCACCGACCTTGCAATAATCACTGGACCGATGTTAAATTTAGTGGCCTCGGTCCTCGGACTGGCGTTAATTTCGAAGACTGCTTATACGAAACATCTTAACCCCTTCCAATGTGACCACAGAGAACTATGAGTCTGATAGGAGATTTTGGTAAAGAGTCAACTCGGCCCTATACCAACTCGGCACGGGTCAACTCGGCCCTCTTTAAAAAAACAACATTAAACGTATTAACTTTTTTTCGATTACTTGCATGTTGTCAAGGCCAAAAAATGTTATCAATGACAAGATAAGAGATTGGTTTATTATTATATAATTGTACATTGTACTTCTGCAGAATTAAAGTATATTTTGAAGAAATTCATTATGTTTTTCTTGCAGATTCGTTAAAAATTGATATAATACAAATGTGTTTCCTTTGATGCTTTTTGTTTGTTAAGTAATCTTCAATAAAATATGAAATAAAAAATGTGTTTATTTATTATCATAAGCTTCTAATTAGTTGCAGGTGGTTATTTATCAAATTTGAATGACTGCGTCAAACATAATTATCACCTGATTAATCGGTACCCTTCCCTGAACATAAGCGTGGTTGATTGGTAATAATAGCGTATGTTAATAACTTAAGAAAACATCTTTTCACGTTTGTGAATAAGTCCATATATTAATTATTCGACAATATTGAGTGATTAAAGAAACCAATATATTAATATATACAATTGAAAAATTGGCAGAATTGACCCGTGCCAAGTTGGAAAATGGCCAAGCTGATTCGGGGGCAGAGTACGTTTTAGGGCCGAGCTGACCCCGATTCGGAGATTTTTATACGCTTTATAATTATTCTAATGGATTTGTGACTTCCAATCAATTTTGAGTTTGCCAAGGCAGGAAACAAATGGAAAGAATCTTAGGAAAGACATCTTTTCTATGGCAAAATGTCATGTGCATTGAAAACAGCAATTTGTAGCAAATAAAGCCATTCAGGCTTTTTCCATCAAAAAATAGCCTAGAGCAATTCCAGCCATTCCCATCATTATTGCTTTGGAAACCTGGTTGTCCGAAGTAAAAACTGGTTGTCCAAATATTTTCATCAGAACATCTCCAAGCAATTATTGATCAAATCTGCAAACTTATCTTCAGTAAGAAACAGTCATAAATGTATTCGAACAAAATGTATTTGATATCTTGCATTTTATCACTATTCGTTGACATTTTGATAAATACTTTCTGCAAATTTTTACTTGTCCATCGGGCAAGTAAACTTTTAAAAATTAGTTGTCTGGGCCAAAAAATGGTTGTCTGGGGCAATAGGACAACTGCTTATTTCGCAGACTGGAGGGGCAAGAATTGACAGCTTTAGTTTGCATCACAAGAATATAAGGAATTATAAGTGTCATTAGCATGCAAATTAGTCCTTGAACATATATAATGAAAAAAATATAAAATGGTTTTAGTTTTCAAAATGGTTTAATTTGATGTAAACCAGCAGTTCAGTAATGCCATTTCGATGAAAATAAACAAATAGGTTGCTGTATTTTACTACCTTGATATTTTCAGCATCTAAGAAAAATGGATGCAGGGTATGGATCAGTGAAACCTGATGGATTTAACCATTTACGTAAGTTAAAACTTGCTTGATTATTTAAGTGTTTGAAGTAGACTATGGATTTGAAATATAATTCAATGTTAAATTATAACATTATAAGAATGATATAATATATGTATGTTAATCTTGTCATGGTCATTGTTGTCATCATGCAAATAACTTTAATGTAGCCCATTATTCAAATATTTAAAAAATTATCAACATGAAACTGGGAATCCTTGCTTATAATGAAAAGGTGCAGTTTTTAGACAAGAGGCATAATTCTTCTGAAAGCAATACTTTTGGAGTTATGCCCCTTTTTTACTTATTGATAATTTTTGACCTCTTGCATGGTGCTCTTGCATGTGAATTACGCTGAATTTTAAGGCCTCTTTCCAATACACAAAACTGTTAAAAATTCCCAATTTTGTAAGGAATAAAAATCACCAAAAATTGAGAGGATTTTCCCCAATCAGTAGGGTTGCAATAATTCACCAAATGTTAGATTAAAAAAACTAAATTGTTGAACTTCTACCATTCCACAGTCATTGAATTTAAGATTTTGAATTTACTGGCTTGAATTCCAATTTAGAATTTATTCTACTATATATTTAACTTAATTTTCTTAAAATTTACACTGGCCCTAAACTAATTTTCACTGACCCAAACTAATTTTCACTGGCCATGGGCCACCGGGCCAGTGCTAAATTCGATGACTGTACCAATCAGGTCTATTATTTTGGGCACATTTGAATTTTTATGAAAGCAAAATGAACATTTTAATTATCACCTTGATTAAAAGTAAATGTTCTAAAAAATTATTTATTCCCAAAGAGAACAGGAGTATTTTACAGAAATTGAAAAAGTCTTTGCTGTCAAAAATTTGCATTTTTAAAATTTGTTACTAAATGGACATAAGACATTATACTCTTATAAAATTATGATTTTAAGCTTTTATATTTAACAGAGGCAGATTCAGAAACAGATCTGATAGCTGACCAGAAAACCAAGGTTAGAGCAAAGGTATGCTTGATAATTTAAAGTTCTTTGATATGTTTGGTGATTAAAGAGTATAAAGCTATATCTGATAAAGAAAAAAATAAATATTTTAAATCAATTGGGGGCCTCAATCAAATGGGGAGGTGGGTTGCTACCCACAGCAGAGGGAATTTCAGTGTATGGGGGATTTTCTTTCCCATTTCCTTTTTGGTCAAATATCAATAAACAACCACTTGTATATCAGTGATTCTTTTTTTCGATACAACTTGCTATTGTTGAAACATTTTGAGGACAAAAGTCTTCCCAGTGCAGGGACTACCTTGGACTGAAAATTTAGTGACAAGTTACTAATCTCCCTTCAGGAAAAATAGGGAGAAGTTTTGAAATGTAGGGAGAAGTGATCATCAAATCGAGTTATATCATTGGATTTTTTTCTAATTTTATTTCACAAAATATACATGTACACCTTTATATGTACATTCATATAAAATATACATGTATATGGCACGGAAAATAAATAAATGTGTATTTGAAAATCGCTATGATGATATTTAATGAAGTACTAGTTGCTTAATAAAGTTTATTTAAGCATTTGATTTATATCAACACAACATTACATCAACACAATATTTTTAATTTTTAGCTCACCTGTCACAAAGTGACAGGGTGAGCTTTTGTGATCGCTTTTCGTCCGGCGTCCGTCCGTCCGTAAACTTTTACTTTAAATGACATCTCCTCATAAACCACTAAGCCAATTTCATCCAAACTTCACAGGAATGTTCCTTTGATGGTCACCTTTAAAAATTGTTCAAAGAATTTAATTCCATGCAGAACTCTGGTTGCCATGGCAACGGAAAGAAAAAACTTTAAATATCTTCTTTTAAAAAACCCTAAGAGCTAGAGCTTAGATATTTGGCATGAAACATCTTCTAATAAGTGTCTACCAAGTTTGTTCAAATAAAAGCCCAGGGGTCAAAATTGGCCCGCCCCAGGGGTTCTTTGATTTTCCCTATATGCATATAGTAAAAACTTAAAAATCTTCTTTTAAAGAACCCAAAGAGCTAGAGCTAAGATATTTAGCATGAAACATGTTCTAATGAGTGTCTACGAAGTTTGTTCAAATAAAAGCCCTAGGGTCAAAATTGGCCCCGCCCCAGGGGGTCATTGATTTTCCCTATATGCATATAGTAAAATCTTAAAAAATCTTCTTTTAAAGAACTCAAAGAGCTAAAGCTAAGACCTTTAGCATGAAACATGTTCTAATGGGTGTCTACCAAGTTTGTTCAAATAAAAGCCCCGGGGTCAAAATTGGCATCGCCCCGGGGGTCATTGATTTTCCTAATATGTGTATAGCAAAAACTTTAAAAATCTTCTTAGAAAAAACCCAAATAGCTGGAGTTTAGATATTAAGCATGAAACATCTTCTAGTGAGTGTCTACAAAGTTTGTTCAAATAAAAGCCCTGGGGTCAAAATTGGCCCCGCCCCGGGTGTCATTTATTTTCCTTATATGTGTATAGCAAAAACTTAAAAATCTTCTTTGATTAAAAACCCAAATAGCTAGGGTTTAGATATTAAGCATGAAACATCTTCTAGTAAGTGTCTACAAAGTTTGTTCAAATAAAAGCCCTTGGATTAAATTGGGGGGGGGGGGGGGGGTAGATCGTTGTTTTTCATTATATGTGTGTAGTAAAAACTTAACATCGTGAAACATCTTCTAATGGGTGTCTTTCAAGTTTGTTCAAATAAAAGCCCTGGGGTTTAAACAGCCCAGCTCTGGGTGCCTTTATACAGGTGAGCGACCTCAGGGCAATCATGGCCCTCTTGTTTTTTTTAGGTTCAACAGTTTCTGACTCTAACTTTTAAATGCAATTAATTAAGAAGAAAAGTTCTTTAATTCATAATAATTATCCAAATAATGAAATTCTATCAATTTACATCAGTTTTAATGATGAATATTACTATCATAAATCAGGTATATATATTAACATATACGTTAACCTGCATAAATGTAATGGTGATAACAAGAATGGACCGGAAACGTATATGGGATATTGTAAATCAAACAAAACATATAGGAGTAATTGTAAATCAAACAAAACGTATAGGGGATATTGTAAATCAAACAAGACATATACATGATATAGGGGAAATTGTAAATCAAACAAAACGTTAAGGGAATATTGTAAATCAAACAAAACGTACAGGGGATATTGTAAATAAGACACAAATATACGTTTTAGGTAACTTAATTTAAATTATCAATTAGCTAGCTTTTTATCATCTGCTGCATTCATATCAGGGTCTTTCACAGCTTTTATTTACCTGAAAATTTAATGTATAATCAATGCGCTATATTTAGCGATGTAGATTTCCAAGTGTGAATTCCAAATGTCGCTATGGCCACGCTTCAGCGCGTGTGCTAATTACGTCAGATTACACAATTAAATCTGCCTCCAGGCAGTATTACCGAGTGGAGTAATATACATGTAAGACATTTCATAGAGATTTTAGGGGGACTAGAATTTTGCTTTTCCGATCATATAGGGCGAAGTGAAAATATTTACGACTTTGCCCTGAATGCAGTCCCTGCCAGTGCATCTATACAAATATCAAATCAACAAACAGCAAATATATAGCTTTATACACTTTAATATGTGTCCTTTTATGAGGAGTGGTTCTTACTATAAATTGTCATATCAATAATCATATGTTAGCATGGTAGCAGTTTTGAACGAAAATGTTTTTTTCCCTATTATTTCAGAAAGACTTTTTTTATTATTTCAGCAAGACTACCCATATTCTGTATTTTTCATCCTGTCAAATGAGTTCTGCGAACGTTTCTCCTACTATGGCATGCGAGGTATGATCCATTGTTCCCTTTATTGTTTTATAGGGATAGTTGTATAGTAATTGTCATTTTGTTCATAAATATCTTGTGTAAATTGCCTTGGTACCAATTTAGAGCTTTTTGCTTGTTTAAATAAAGAAATGAAGAGAAAGGGTTTACAAATACCTAGTACCAGTGAACAAGGTTGTATTTTAAAATCTGAAGGGAGTTTTTAAAGATTTCACTGATGATATTGATGAATATTATTCAAGTTATTCATTTTTGAAATTTTTCGTATACTGTGACAATTTATGTAATTATGTTTAAGAAATAACATCGGCCTGAGAGGTGTATATCGGCTATTTAACACCGGTTTGGAGTTTTGATGCGTAGGAATTGACCACGAAGGCCGTAGGCCTGAGTGGTTAATTTTGTCGCATCAAAACGACAAAACCGGTGTTAAATAGCCGATATACACCTCTCAGGCCGATGTTATTTCGATTCTAACACGATAAAATAAGGAAAATCACTAATGTTATTTTTCAAGCGGAAATAACTTCCGGTGCCGATTTTCGTATAACGCTGTTCGATTTTCGCACCCTACTGTTGCGAAGATATAGAAATTATCAAACAAAAGAAATAATAAGAAAAAAACGTTATTTTATCAAGTTTTCAACAATAAAAACTTACGTCGTATTGTGTTTACATCAGTGCCCCATTTATCATTCTTGTATGTATGAAATAACGTCAGCTTGTTTATGAATGAGTTGTTTACTTAGGATGACGTCATTACGCTGCTTACGGATTGGCGCCGTTTTGTCAAAATATTTATTAACTGATATGGATTTAATATGTGGCGTTAGTGTATGTGAGATATTATTTCGGTTTTGTATGAAAAGAAAACATTATATGAACTGAAAATATAAATAAAAATGCTTTTTATTGTTGCTTTAAAATGCTTTCTAAACTATACAATCGAGGGTGAAAACATAACAGCGCATATACAAGTAGTCCTCAACCGGTGTTTATTGGCAGTTTAACACCAGTTTTTTTCCTTCTTTGTCTATAGTGACAAAATCACTTGAGTGTTAGAATATAACATAGAACTTGAATCAGAGTTTGAATTTAACTTTGCAAAGGTATGCAAACACAAAAATTTTAAGAAGCAAAATACTAATCGTAGCTTGCAATTGTATGTTGAAAGCAATTATCTACACATGTAAAAAGCCTTTATTGATGTTAATATTCTTTATAATGGAAAAAAATAATGGTAATTTGATGTGAAATTACAAGAAAATGCTGAATTACCCCTCAAGATAGTAATAACACAGAATGTCTTCAGAAGAAAATCACACTTATTTCACTACAATATAGCACTTTGCTACTTAACAAAAAAAACAACAAAAACAAAAAACAACAAAAAACTACTGGACATTTTCAGTTTCACTGGCTTTTTGTAAGTTTTAGTGTAGTATATTCAAGCAGTGAATAAAGTACTATAAATTCTTATTTCATTCCACAGCTGTTCTTGTTCTGTACCTGACCAGATGGTTATCATTTGAGGAGAATCAAGCTACTTCCATCTTCCATGCTTTCTCAATGATGTGCTATGCCATGCCATTGCTTGGTGCTGTTATAGCTGATGGTTACCTTGGCAGATACAGGTTTGCATAAAAAAAATTCTTAAAAATTGAAAGAGATATTTTGTTTAATTAGCTTTTGTTTTTTAAAAAAAATGTTCCATGTTATCACAATGTAAAGATGTTTCATTCACAGTGAATTAAGTCATTTTGTTGTTGATCAGGAATTAATTAATAATTATCTTACTTTACGTTTAACGTCTTTGCATGTAGTGAATGAGATAATACAAGTATGGTCTTGATCTATAAATAATTGCAACTGTCAAGTTCAAATTTGAAAATTTTAATTCAATTCTATAAAATGTTAAATGTTTCTTTCAGATAATTTTCACTTTAATGCTGTTTGCCTATGAAAATAAGTGAAGTCAAGCATCATGGCATCCTGCTCTTGTACAGAACTAAATTTATTGTTCTAGAAACACTGATTGAGTGAATGATCTGAAATTTTGCATACAAGTTACTGGTCCAGATCTACATTAAATGGAACTTAAATCTTGAAAAAAATGATTCCAGACCTCTCATGTCAAAAATCTCAGTGGTCCTGGAGTCCCATTCAATTTATGCTGTCATGTCATATTTCTTGTACTTCTTTTTTCTAGGACTATCTTATACCTGTCATGTGTGTACCTGGTGGGAAACCTTGTTTTGTCACTTACAGCTCTTCCACCTGCTGAATGGTTAGATTTTATATTTGTCTTTAGATTTTGAAAGCTCTGAATGGGTGTAAAGCTATATACCTAATGAAGTACTTTTATGAAAAATATAAACAGTAAAATAATGTTGTTTCTCTCATATTTCGTTCAATTCTTGATTTTCATTTAACAGTAACTGTTGTAAAAAAAGATACTTTTTGTCCTAACAAATGGTCCGTATTTTGTCCCTACAGCTGTAAAAACAATGTGGAGGTTGGAACTTCTTAAATGTTTTGTTTTCTGTCTTCATAGGTATGGTCCAGCAGTTGGTTTGTTTCTTATTGCCATAGGTACAGGAGGAATCAAGGCCTCTGTTGCTCCATTTGGTGCTGATCAGTTTTTACCTGGACAAGTAAGTTAATACTTAAAAGCTGCATGCTTCCAGATGAGCTTAAATATTTCAATAAAATCAAACTTGAGAAAAATTTACTACAACTTTAAGAAAAGTAAAAAGATTCATGAATAAGCGATTAATTGCTGATTATCCAGCATTTATCACCATATTTCTACTGTGTTGTGTGACTAACGCAGTAAGGCTTTTTTCCGCACATTTTGACCTCCTTTTGGGAATAAATATGGGTTGTAAATGCTGTTTCCAATGAGTGAATTACTTCCTCTCTGCACAATACTAGTATTTTACTTTTAAATAGATATATATCGAAATGTTCATGAAATTTAGCCTGGATCTAGAGCGTGCTGCTTTAAATTCACTCAGGAGTAGTGATCTACCTCGGGTTAGTCTAAGTTTAATCTTAATTTTAACTGGCTTATTCAGAATCAATTTAGAGCAAAGAATGAGGACCTTTTGTGTTATTTTTTACCCCTCTTTGGCTTTAATGGCTAAACTAAGTAAAGTTACTTTTTCATTGTAAGTAAAGCAAATTAGGGATTCCTAGCAGTGTTAAGTTATCTGAAGATTAAAATATTTCTGTATATCCTATTCCAGAATTTAGATATATATTAATCATTTATTTACAGGAGAAATGGCAGAATTCATTTTTCTCAGCATTTTACTTCATGATTAATCTTGGCAGCATGCTTTCAATTATCATCACACCAATACTCAGAGGTAAGCAAGTGAACTGTTGCACCTAGTTAATGTGTGTACAGTAGAGAAAGAAATGTTGTCCTCTAATAATATCTAACTGCAACCACTGCAAGTTAAAAATAAAATACTTTGCTTTGTTGCATTTTATTTGAGCATTGTGGTTATCACCCAGCAAGTATCATCACAATGAAATTTTAACTTCTTTTATTTACAACCGTTCTCACAGAAATTCCAGATATTACACCACTACGGTTGTTTAAAGACATTCATTTACCTATCATTTTCATTCAAAAAAATTGTGAACATCAAAACAATAATGGCCATTGTTGGCTGATACATCTTTGAAATTGAGTGGGCATGACATTTGATTTGAAACCTTGATTAACTGTGTTTAAGATGCATAGGCAAACATCAATTGATTTAATTGATATTTTGTTTTATAAAGACTTAAAAATGATGAGTAAATAAGTGTGCAAAAACTGCTTATAGAGAGGAGCTAGGTTTGAATATATTTTGTATATAAAGTGGAGGTTGAAAACTTTGTGGAGTTGATAATTATTAATTAACTGTTTCCAGAATGATTTTGAATATATTTTCACTTTGATAGAAGTCCTGAAGCCTTGGATGTGTTGATTTATATTTACTTTTTTTTGTTATCACTTCAGCTGATGTGCAGTGTTTTGGCAATGATTGTTACATCCTAGCTTTTGGTGTACCAGCAGTCCTAATGTTCTTATCTGTTGGTATGTAAAAAAGAAATTTTTACTTTTAATGTTAAAAACATACAGATATTTTTTGCAGGTAGTTTAGTGTATATGTATATGATAATTTCAGTTTGTGAGAATTGTAAGCAAACCAACATGTCTCGAATTTGATATGAAATGATGTAAAAACAGTGTATTCTTCTATAAAGAAAATCAAATATATGTGTTTTCGCACATTAATTATTTTGATTTATGTCTGTTTACGATTGAACAATAGAATGACACAAATACATAAACAAAGTTATGTGCATTGCTAGAATAATATACAGACATATAATTGTTAGTTCTAAATTCTTACTGCAAATCTTTTTTCAAGCATTATTTTTCTTGGGACGCCATCAGTATCAGAAGGTTCCACCTGCTGGAAATATCGTTGGAAAGACATTCAAGTGCATTTTTGTGAGTAATCTTCTATTTTTTGTACTTTGAAGCTGTATAAATTGGAGTGGTCTAATTTGAATGTGAATATACTGCCACCCTTTCATACAGCTAACCTCATTAAAATGTTCATAGGTCTTAGCTCCCTTAGAAGAATTAATTTTTTCACAGCAAGGAAGCTATCCAGCTAGCCTATGGAATGTCAGTGGTTATACTCAGATGCTGGTTTGTGTCTGAAGTAATGCCAGGAAAGGCAATTGTGGTCTTCCTCCACCTGCAAAGCTGCAAAGTCGCTACTATATGAACTGTTTTTCTATGTTGGTGCAACACAAAACCCAACCTCAAAAAAGAGTATAAAATGTATAATTCATAAAATTGTTTAGTTGTTTTATTGTTGCAGTATGGTTTGAAAGAGAGAATAAAGAACAGCAAGTATGAAGAACCCAGAGAGCACTGGCTGTACTATGCTGACAAAAAATATGACGTAAGTTCATCATATTTATCTATGGACCATTTTATGAAATAAATTCTAGCAACTGTCTGAATTGTGTAGACACTTTTGTTAAACATTTTTTTATTTCCTCAATAAAGTATACTTATGTGGCCAATATTCAAGATTCACATAATGGAAAACCTATAATATAACATTTCAATATGAAGACTGATAACAATATTTCAAGTAAGTAATCACTAATCAACAAAGAAAATCCCACATGGTCTAACTTTTCATTGCATTGTTGCTACAGAATGCATTCATAGGAGATGTCCGCCAGCTGCTTAAAGTTTTGACAATGTTTTTGCCACTGCCTTTGTTCTGGGCACTGAGTGATCAACAAGGATCAAGATGGACACTGCAGGCTGAACACATGGATGGAGATATTGTAATTCTTTATATTCTTGAAATTTATTCAAATTCTGTACACTTTAGTATTTTACTTTCCAATCTAATATTGTGACTTTATCCATTTAAAAAAAAAAAATTGGCATGAATGAAATATAAGCATGATATTTATTATTATGCCCTACTTCAAAGAAGTGGGGGTGTATTGCTTTGCATTTGTCTGTCGGTCGGTTTGTAGACCAAATGATTTCCGATCAATAACTAAAGAACGCTTATGCCTCGGAACTTCAAACTGGGTATGATGAGTGTTCATGACCATTAGATGACCCCTATTGATTTTTAGGTCAAGGGGTTATAGGTCAAGGTCACATTGACCTTGTAGGTAAAAACGGTTTCCGATCAATAACTAAAAAATGCTAAGGCCTAGGAACTTCAAACATTGTATGATGATTTTTCATGACCAGTAGATGACCCCTATTGATTCTGGGGTCAAGGGGTGATGACAGCAATTTTATGACAAAATTATCACAAATCTTACCAAATAATATTTGCAAAAATTTTATGAATCATGAAGGCCTCCTTAATGACAGCCAATTTGTTATATTACATAAGACCTTGAAATATGTAAATGGCGTGACAACACATTTCTAGTTCTTTATTTGTTCTACCTCGGTACACTTTTGCATGAAAAACCTGAGCAGTGCATGTGTGACATGATTCAAAGTTTTATTAAAAATAGTACACTTTATGTAATGAGAAAATGACATCTTCAATTTTCTTTTATGCTGCTTGAATAGGAAATTGTAGAATCATAACAGGTATGTTGTGTTGTTTTAACATGTAAGATATGTTGTATTAATAACCTGTGTGTTTTATTTTGTAGACTTCTTAATGAATTATTTACAGATCTCATAATGCTCATATACAGTCACTTTAGTGCAGGAGTGAGTTAACTCCTTAAATAATTTAATAGGAGTTAACTGGTTACTGCACTAAGGTTAAAATATATTTAATCTTATCTTTGCATTAATCTGATTTCCTGTAGCAATGACATTTTACAGGTGTCTGACTTCATAATCAACTTCACAGTATTGGTGCAGTCTTACTAATGAAAAGTGGATACAATTTCAGAAATAATGGCCCCAATTTTATCTGATTGATTTTAAAGCAAATCACACATGATATAATTGGACCATAACCATATAAAAATAATGTTTACCTTAAGTATCTTACACCACATAAATTATTGTTCTTTAAAATAGTATAGCCTGAATTTTCACTTTAAATGTAAAAAGTAATATTTCCACTTATTGATTACTTTTTCATAGTTCCACTTAATCATTATTTCCTATACTGGTAAAGTGTTTTATTTCATTTTTAATAAGTCAATAGGTTAATGTTATCCATTTGCTTGGATAAAACTTAGATGTTGAGGAACATTAAATTTGAAATTGATACCTTAAATCTGTTTATTAGCCTGATTTGAGATGTAAGCATTTAACGCTTTTCATTTTGGGGGTCATTCTGAAAAAAAAAAGAAGTTTATTCAGAAGAGAAAAAAAATGGATCAAGAAAATGATCTGAAATTTTGCTCACAGTTTATTGGTCCAGATTAATATCAGATGGTACACAAATCTAAAAAAATTCAGTTCTGTTATGTCAAAACCCTCAACTCATTAGAGTCCCCTATGTTAAGATATATTAAAGATAAAATGTGAGTGGCGGCATGGCCAAGTGGTTATCTAGTTATCTAAGGGTTGCTGGCTGCATGGGTTCAAACCCAGTCAAGGGCAAGACATTGTTTCTTTGAGTAAGAAACATATTGTTAAGTACTGGTTGGTTTCGGTAAACCAATTTGAGAGTGTTTCAATAAGAAATGCTTCCAGCACATTCAAACTAGAATAAATAAGTATAAACTAAACTTTCATAAACTAAAGAGAAAAAAAAAAAAAAATATTACTAAATTACTAAATATTACAATATTTCTAAAAGTTCGGTACCTTTTCTTGATGTTTCTGTATCTAAAGACGTAACAGGAAAAATTGTTACCGATATATTTTGCAATCCTACAAATATGCATTTGTATTTAGATTTTACATCCTCTCATCCTTTATCATGTAAGCGTGGTATCCCGTTTAGTCAAGCTAAACGTTATAGACGTGTCATTTCCGATGACGGTACTTTTAAGCAGTCTTTAGATACGTTAAATAGATATTTTTCTGATAGAAATTATCCTAAATCTATTATTGAGAAAGCGTTTTATAAAATTGAAGGCATGTCCCAAAATGATGCTCTAAGTCCTGTCGTTAAAAATACTAGTTCAATAATACCTTTTACTGTATGTTTTAATGCATCTCTGCCTAATATTGGTGAAATCTTAAATAAATATTGGGATCTATTACTTTTGTTTGATAAGGAAAGCGTTAAAAGTATACATACCAAGTTCAAACCTATTTTAGCATATAGACGTCCTAAAACATTCGAGATTATCTTATGAGAAGTACTTTACTTCATCGTACATCTTTATCTAGCCAATGTTTACGAATTAGATGTTCACATTGTAACAATATAAGTGTTGGTTCACAATTTAATAGCAGCATAACAGGTCGTTCTTTTGATTTACACAATGATGTTAACTGTACTACGCGTAATATAATTTACCTCATTACATGTAAAGGCTGTAAAAAGCAATTCGTAGGTCAAACTAATCAAAATGTATCATGCAGAATGAATAAACATAGATTTGATATAAGAAATTGTGACGTTAATCCAGTTTCACATGTTGCGATCCATTTCGGATCAAACGATAATAAGTGTTCATTGTCAGATTTTTCATTTTTACCTATAGAAATTATAGACAACAACATGGACCGGTTATGTAAAGAATCTTTTTGGATCCATATATTAAATACTAGGGGTGTAACAATACAGCAAAAACCGTATTGCAATATATTGCCATTTTGCTGAAGCGTATTGCAATATATTGCAATACGTATTGTCGTGTATATGGTTTGATGTAAAGATGGAGTAACATTTATATATTATTATTATATGTATATATTTTTAGTAGAAACTTAATAAAAATGTAAGGAATAAATAGAAAGTAGTGTCACACAATTTGATAAACAAAACTAGTCGCGTGTGACCTTTCAAATCTGGGCCGCTTATGCAAATTATGCGGCCGCTTATTGACTTTTAAGTGTACTAGTTGTCGGATACTTTTATCTTACGTTGGCGCCAACAAAATTTGCCAATTAAAGATTTTATGTGAAATTTGTACAAAATTAGAAGGCAATTAATTGAAAATGATGATTTTTATAAAATACCGGTTTTCCAAAAATCGTACCGCGGTTCGAAATTTATTTTTTCATATTGCAATATATCGGTATACCGGTAAACCGTTACACCCTTATTAAATACTATGATTCCAAATGGACTAAATAATAAAGTATTGTTTAATTTATAATAGGTTACATGAATATTAATATGTTTGTCTATTATCTTATTTTTATTAACACTGTCTAATAGACATCTGTATCACTGTTGATCCATTTTAATTCATGTACCAGCTTTATTTATAGCATAAATATTTGTTTCTACATGTTATCATAGTTTTGCCGCTAAACGCCATAACGTTTTTCGCGCGTTTAACGCGTGTTCCGTTATGACGTCGCTTCCGGTAATTTTATTATGTTTTGCACTGATGAAGGCATATAGCCGAAACGTTTGCAATTAAATTAAATTACTAAATGTTCGTGTTTGTGTGGCTTGTCTGATTATTATAAACTAAAGATGAAATATAAAAAATTTGAATAGAGATTTTTTCCATTTTGTAAACACTTCAGTTTAACAGCTTCAACTTACTTTGTAGGGAATATTTGGAACAGTGAAACCTGATCAGATGCAAGCATTAAACCCTTTGTTGATTTTAGCCTTAATTCCATTATTTGATAAGGTGGTTTATCCGTTTCTGGACCTCTGCAAAGTATCAAACAGGTAAGCTTAATGTAGCTTTAACCCTTGACCTGCTGAAACTGATTGTGATTAACCTTTACCACCAGTATAGACCAAGGTCAGCCTGCACACCTTAGCAAAAAAGTAAAAGTGGTACTGCGATCTTAAATAGTTTGTTACGGTTAGGAAAAGTGATAACGGTTTTAACAGCAATCTAATAACCGTGTTAAAACGTTTAACTTGCGGTCCTTACTTGCAACATTAACTGATCTTTATGACAAGATATGACATTTTTTCGTAACTTCTTTTACTCAAAATGATTACAATACATATCCGAATATGGAGTAACTACTTTCAGTTAGGGTAATACTGTAGTCGATCAGATGGGAAAAAATACATTATTGAGTACAACTAAAATACAAACAAATTGTAACATCTTGTTACATAAAGAGTAATAAAATATTTAAAATCAATTTAAAACTTTTTCGACTCTTTGCCAAGTACTAACCTTGGTTACTGGTTATCGAATTTTCAACCAGCAAAAAAACCGACCATACTGATTTAAACGTGACACCCCCTCATTTAAAATGATATATGAGGTAGGGGGACACATACCACAAGAAAAGAAAAAGAAGAGAAAAGATCTTTAAAACCTAACAAAGGTATTTGACATTGGTCAACATGCATTTATAACGAAATTTTATCATAGAATGAAATTACAGTGTACCTCTTTGTATAATATCTTTATGATTTAATGTAATGCTTGATTGTTATAAATTTTGTTTTGAAGTGTATATTTGAGCCGCGTCACGACAAAACCAACATAATGGGTTTGCGACCAGCATGGATCCAGACCAGCCTGCGCATCCGCGCAGTCTGATCAGGATCCATGCTGTTTGCTATCAGTTTCTCTACTTGTAGATTTGGTAAGCGAACAGCATGGATCCTGATCAGACTGCGCGGATGCGCAGGCTGGTCTGGATCCATGCTGGTCGCAAACCAACTATGTTGGTTTTGTCCTGACGCGGCTCATTTATTCTCCACATTTTATTTCAGACCCTTACAGAGAATGGTTGTTGGACTGTATATAACTGCAGGTGCCTTTGTGTGTGCTGGGTTGGTACAACTTAAAATTGATGTAAGCATATATTATACTTCTTTTGTTTTTTATACATTGAATCAAATTAGTAATATGATGCCAATATGTAACATATATCCCCCATATTATCCTCTGGATATATTGGGATTGTCTGTTGGTCTTTCAGTCTAGAAATGGGAACAAAAATTTACTATCAATTTCCTTTTATGCTATTTATCAGTAAGTTCTTTTGCGGTAATTTCTTTCTTCTATATGGCTTTAAAAAAATGGGGAGAACAAAAATGTAGCCACTGAAGTACCATTTTGAGGACTCCCATATTTCTGTCTGGAGCACATAAACTTGAAAAAAAATTTAATTTTGTAACATCTAATTGAGAAGTGCAGTACCCAAGAAGCAATCCTCTCTTGCAAAAATTACTAAATTTCTTTATCATTTGAATTTCTGTATTTACATTATCTATTATCTTCAGGGCTGCCGATTTTCCGCGGATCCGCGGAAATCCGCGGATTTCGTGAGCTCCTGGGTCATTTTTGAGATCGATGTAAATTCAACAAAGACAATAAATTTATTCGTCATATTTTATACAGTACCCAAAAACCGGCACGCTTCGGCTTTTATCGTTACGCTAGCCGCCTATGGTACGTCTGTAAGCGCTTTTCTCATTGGTCATATCGAGTATTTTCCGGCATTCTATTTTAGAATAACCAATCAAATTATAGTTTACATTGTCGCTCTTGTCTGTTGTAAAAATGAGTCAAAATGTCAGATATTTGTCAAATTTAGAGTCCAGGAAATTGATTTGAGGGCATACCAAATCATCAGAATCCAGGAGCTTCCGGGGGCTTCGCCCCCTGGTCCCCCACCAGGGCTCTGCCCTGGACCCGCAAAGGGGGCTTGCGCAGCCGCCTTGACCCCCGGGGTATTTTCCGCTGATTTTGCAATTTGCTGTTGGCAGCCCTGTATCTTGCAAATTGACATTCTTGCGAGATTTTCTGAGACCATATTTAACACGAGAAAATTAACTGAAATGTCCGCTGCCATATTATCAAAAATGTGTTGTGGTAATCAAAAGAAGTAACAAAAAACAAGTGCAAAAATGTTAAAAAAAAAGACAAAGTTTAAGAAGATGTAAATTATTATCAGTAATGGATGAAAATGTCAACACATTTGGTAATTACAAACAAGAGGGTGGAAAATGATAAACTCCAAGAGCCAATGAATCTCGCGGCAAATAGGATTGTGGGTCAGGATTGGAAATTTTAGACCTTTTTATCCCTCTGTAATATAGGTCTTGCAAAATGATATCAAAATGTTTCTTATAGTTTTTACTATTTTATAGTGTTGAATCTGAAGTAACAAGCAATTATTGTAATGGTTTCATAAAGAAATTACCTCTATTGATAAAACTAGGATTTTCATTGTAATAATGCTGTATGTTTATATTACAGATGGCAGAGGATACAAATCTCACTGATGGACAAACTGGTTTCCTTTTTCTCAATACTCTACCATGCAGTGTCGATATTAAATCTTCTTTATATGAAGATAAAATTAGCGGTTTATCGGTAAGTAATTGTGTTGTCTTGAAATGATTAAGCTCAGATAATTTAATGTTGAATTATTGGCTGTTAGGATGGGTCCGATAATTGCGTGGATTTGTAAATTTGTAAAACCAGTACAGTTGTCAGAATGATTCTTCTTGCATAGTAGACTGGCATTTCCATGAGTTTTAGCCATGCCAGTATCGCGTTAAATTGACGTCGTTTTAGAAGGGAAATATGTGCTTAGGATGACGTCATTTCACCGTTGTTATTTAAGTTGTAAGTTCTTACGCTATTGTAAGAAAATAGTTATGGATAAAATGACTTTAATTTTCATGAACATATATCATATTGAGGTAAACCATTTTAAATATGAAATAATGGTGAAGAATATGCAAGAAAAAATATCTGACATGTTTGCGGTTCGGATCGGAACATCCGTCCCTCGGGAACCCGCCCATGGGTGGTAACTCGGCAAGCCTCTTTACCACCCAGTGGGCGGGTCCCCTCGGGACGGTTATTCCTGTCTGAACAGCAACATATGACAGATATTATTATTATTCTGGCATTTCTGATTCATTAATTTATAAATAGCAAATTTTGTTAGATCAATGAAATTATTTTTTTATAAACGCATAAAATGACATTTCATACATCCCTGTAACTTTGTCTTTTGGTCTCTTAGTGATTTATTGTCTGTTGAATTTTTTTTTAACCTCTTAAAATACAATTTTTAAACTTTGGTGAGCATTAAAAGGGCCACTTTGGACGTCTGGTGTGATACAGTATTTTGATCAGTGTCTTCGAAACTTTTTAAATGTGTTTATTGTCATAATAGTCTGAGGTCATGTGTAAGTAATAGTTATAGTACATGAAACGAGTTAGTTACGAGGATATAACACTGGCTGGGGCGACATCAAGGGGTGTTTCTGCTAAAAAATGGCAAGGCCGTTAGGCCGAGACACATTTTTTTGCAGAAACATCCCAAGATGTCGCCCCAGCCAGTGTTATACCCCCTTAACAAACGAGTTTCATATACTATAACTGTTTTATCGCAATGACATAATGTTTTCTTTTTGATCCCCCTCCGAAAATTTTCGGCGGAGGATATAGAAATAGTCTCCGTCCGTCCGACCTTCCGTCTGTCCTTCCGTCCGTCCGTCTGTCCTTCCGTCCGACATTTTTGTCCGGAGCATATCTCTAAAAGTATTTGAGTTATCAACTTGAAACTTCATAGGTGGATAGACCTCATTGAGGAGGAGTGCACTGCACAATAATGATAAATCTACCTTGCATAATTTTTGAGTTATTGCCCTTTGTTATTTTTCAAAATTGATTTTTGTCCAGAGCATAACTCCAAAGGCCTATGAGATATTAACATGAAACTTAATAGGATCTCACTCAGGAGGTGTGCAGTGCACAAGAATGATAACTCTACCTTTCATAATTTTTGAGTTATTGCCCTTTGTTATTTTTCATACCTAATTTTTCACCTGAGTGGAGCATAACTCAAAAAGTGTTTGAGATATCAACATGAAATGTCATAGGTGGATAGATCTTATTGAGGAGGAATGTTGTGCGCAAGAATGATAACTCTTCCCTATACAATTTTTGAGTTATTGCCCTTTGTTTTTTTTCATGCTATTTTGTCCAGAGCTTGTCTCAAAAAGTATTTGAGGTATCAACTTGAAACTTCAAAGGTGAATGGATCTCATTGAGGAGGAGTGCAGTGCTTAAGAATGATAACTCTACCCTGCATTATTTTTGAGTTATTGCCCTTTGTTATTTTTCAAAATTAATTTTTGTCCAGAGCATAACTCAAAAAGCCTTTGAGATATCAAAATGAAACTTCATAGGTGCATAGATCTCGCTCAGGAGGTGTGCACTGCACAAGAATGATAACTCTACCTTTTATAATTTTTGAGTTATTGCCCTTTGTTCTTTTTCATACTTAATTTTTCAATTCAATTTTTTCTCAAAAAGTATTTGAGGTATCAACTTGAAACTTCATAGGTGGATAGATTTTACTGAGGAGGGATGCAGCACACAAGAATGATAACCTACCCTGCATTATTTTTCAGTAATTGCCCTTTGTTATTTTCAGCCATCAGTATTCACATAGGTTTCAAATCTGTAATCACTATAGCCATCAGTTTTCATTACCAAAAGACCTCTTAAAATGGAATTATTCCGCTCTACTACATATACATTCTTCCAATGAGCAAACACATTCGGCGGGGGATGGCCATGTTGACATGGCTCTTGTTGTAATAGAAACAAATAAATAAATGAATCGTTAGCTACATTACAGATATTTATGATAAGGCAGTTTTTAGCTCACCTGTCACAAAGTGACAGGGTGAGCTTTTGTGATCGCTTTTCGTCCGGCGTCCGTCCGGCGTCCGTCCGTCCGTAAACTTTTACTTTAAATGACATCTCCTCATAAACCACTAAGCCAATTTCATCCAAACTTCACAGGAATGTTCCTTTGGTGGTCACCTTTAAAAATTGTTCAAAGAATTTAATTCCATGCAGAACTCTGGTTGCCATGGCAACCGAAAGAAAAAACTTTAAATATCTTCTTTTAAAAAACCCTGAGAGCTAGAGCTTAGATATTTGGCATGAAACATGTTCTAGTGAGTGTCTACCAAGTTTGTTCAAATAAAATCCCTGGGGTCAAAATTGGCCCCGCCCCAGGGGGTCATTGATTTTCCCTATATGCATATAGTAAAAACTTAAAAATTCTTCTTTTAAAGAACCCAAAGAGCTAGAGCTAAGATATTCAGCATGAAACATCTTCTAATGAGTGTGTACCAAGTTTGTTCAAATAAAAGCCCTGGGGTCAAAAATGGCCCCGCCCCAGGGTGTCATTGATTTTCCCTATATGCATATAGTAAAAACTTACAAAATCTTCTTTGAAAGAACTCAAAGAGCTAGAGCTAAGATATTCAGCATGAAACATCTTCTAATAGGTGTCTACCAAGTTTGTTCAAATAAAAGCCCTGGGATCAAAATTGATTTTCCCTATATGCATATAGTAAAAACTTAAAAAATCTTCTTTGAAAAAACCTAAATAGCTAGAGTTTAGATATTAAGCATGAAACATCTTCTAGTGAGTGTCTACCAAGTTTGTTCAAATAAAATCCCTGGGGTCAAAATTGGCCCCGCCCCAGGGGGTCATTGATTTTCCCTATATGCATATAGTAAAAACTTACAAAATCTTCTTTGAAAGAACTCAGAGCTAGAGCTAAGATATTCAGCATGAAACATCTTCTAATGAGTGTGTACCAAGTTTGTTCAAATAAAAGCCCTGGGGTCAAAATTGGCCCCGCCCCAGGGGGTCATTGATTTTCCCTATATGCATATAGTAAAAACTTACAAAATCTTCTTTGAAAGAACTCAAAGAGCTAGAGCTAAGATATTCAGCATGAAACATCTTCTAATGGGTGTCTACCAAGTTTGTTCAAATAAAAGCCCTGGGGTCAAAATTGGCCCCGCCCCGGGGGTCATTGATTTTCCTTATATGTGTATAGCAAAAACTTAAATAATCTTCTTTGAAAAAACCCAAATAGCTAGAGTTTAGATATTAAGCATGAAACATCTTCTTGTGATCGCTACAAAGTTTGTTCAAATAAAAGCCGGACGGGGGCGGGTGAGATCATTGTTTTTCATTACATGTGTGTAGTAAAAACTTATTATTGTGAAAAATCTTCTAATGAGTGTCTTCCAAGTTTGTTCAAATAAAAGCCCTGGGGTTTAACCTGGCCCCGCTCCGGGGGCCTATATACAGGTGAGCGACCTCAGGGCCATCATGGCCCTCTTGTTTCAAGTTTTTTTCGCTATCCAATGTTAGAGGCGGATTGTAAACTGTTACCAAGATTGATTCAAGATTAAAGGGCTTATTTTCAGTGGAAATAATTCATTCAGCGGATGTACCTTTTGATTAAATGAGAGTAAATTTCATTTCATTAATTATCTTTGTTAATATTTTTCATTATTTATATATTTATTTTATTTTATTTTACTGATTCCATTTTTTTTTTGCTACTGGGAATGGTTGTTACCACTGCCCCATTGGAGCCTCTATGAAAAAAAACTGCATTGATATATACAAGGTGCAAAAAAAACTCAACCGATATATAACAGTCGAGTTTTTTCCTATATGAATAAATGAAAAAACTGTACTGTTATCTATCAATACAGTTTTCAAATGCTCATTGAAGTGTACTGAGTAAAATGGGCTAGTAAGAACAAAGGAAAAGTTCCAAACCATGCGATAATTACAAAATATTTGTATTTTTGGAAATATGTATTGATCAACATCTGTCAAAATTATCCCCTGTCCATTTCTTTGCTTTAAATTTCAGTCTTAGTTTTATATATGTTTTATTTGCAGATGAGCAGGTTCCTTATGGCTGACAGTGGCATTTACAAAATGTCAGCCAAATCTCACTGCAATGGTCAGAATTATACATTTGAGCAGATTTTTGAAAGTAAAGACTCTGAAGCATATAGAATGATACTGTACTTGAATGATGGAAAAATGAAAATGGGACAAGTAAGTTGTTCTTCAAAGCTGCAAGATATGATTAAATGATTATGGTTTTCTTGCAAGAAAAAAAATACAAAAATTTAAAGGTTGGCAAATTCAAGTGTTGTATATATGATTGCAGGGTTTTTATTGTTATCTGATGCAGATGTGACAACGAAAACAAAGGTTTTGTCAAGGGTCAAATGGGATATTTTAATCTACAGACTGATAATACAACCAATTTTCTCAGCATTTTAACAGATGATCTGGATCGCCAATCTGTTTATAATGATAACCCTGCGATTGTAGGAATAGGTTAGATACAAGTGAAAGATGTATCTTATTCCGAGATATATGATAAGATAGTTTAGGAACTCCTATGTGGGTAAATGTATTGTGCAAATATCTCCAGTGGTCTTGAGTTGTTCTGAATCAGTCTCTTTAAATCACTTTGAGAATACAATTTATCATACTTGAATGTTTCATCTAATTTAATTTTTTTTTCAGTTTCCAGATGAAAGAGAAAAACCAAAACATGGTAATGCAGCATTAAGGTAAGAAAATAAATGTCTTTATTACTGAATAGATATAGATGCATTTTGTCAGGGCCGGCAAAATCTGATTATCTGTTTTTATATGCCCGAAAGAATTTTGGGCATATTATGTTATACCCCTTGGCGTCTGTCCCTCCGTCCGTTAGCAATTTGGTTTCCGGAGCATAACTTAAGTTCCATTTGGCCCACAGTCTTTAAACTTCATAGGATTATTGTCCATATTGGGCAGAAGACCCCTATTGATTTTGGGGTCAGAAGGTCAAAGGTCAAGGTCACTATTACCTTAAAACTGAAAACAGTTTCCGGAGCATAACTTAAGTGCCATTTGGCCCACATTGTTCAAACTTCATAGGATGATCGTCCATATTGGGTGAAACACCCCTATTGATTTGGGGTCACAAGGTCAAAGGTCAATGTTACTATTACTTTAAAACTGAAAGCAGTTTCCAGAACATTACTTAAGTTCCATTTGGCCCACATTGTTTACACTTCATAGGATGATTGGCCATATTGGGTAGAACACCCCTATTGATTTTGGGGTCACAAGGTCAAATGTCAATGTCACTATTACTTTAAAACTGAAAGCAGTTTCCAGAACATAACTTAAGTTCCATTTGGCCCACATTGTTTACACTTCATAGGATGATTGGCCATATTGGGTAGAACACCCCTATTGATTTTGGGGTCAAAAGGTCAAAGTTCAAGGTCACTATTACTTTAAAACTGAAAACAGTTACGGAGCATAACTTGAGTTCCATTTGGCCCACAATATTCAAACTTCATAGGTGGATTGCTATTTAAAGGAGGTAATACTTTATTTCATTTCCATGTGTTACAAATGCTTCATCCTTACTATAAAAAAAAAAACACTTTCGGGCATATAATGCTCCGCCTGGCGGTGCTCTTGTTTATTTGAAGCATTTCTTAACTTGTCCGTATGATATTTATAGAGTTAATTATTGAAAATTTTCATTTGTCTGTACAGGCTGTGGGACAACCTATGCAATACAGACAATTGATTTTTGCCCTTCTGATATTGCAACATTCAGTACAAAGAATGGTGTATTTTCTGTGAAACTATACTATTTTGATGTGTATTGTAGGAAGCTATAAGTTTGTTAACACACAAATCCATTCATGGAGCTAAGAGAAAAAAAGTTTCTTGCTTGTTTTTTTTGAAAGAAATATTTACATACTTTTAAAACATATTGAAAAATATTCATTCAGTGACCATGTGTGTGTACTGCAACTGAAAGTAAAAATTGAAAAGAGAAAAATGCCTCTGAAATAAACTTGTTATGCCCCCGCCATATAATGGCAGGGGCATATAGTGTTACCCTGTTCCGTCATTCCGTCCTTCCGTCATCATCAGTTTCCGTTCATTATCTTAATAACCCTTGCACATATTGAACTCAAATTTGACATATGGATATGTCATGAGAAAATACAGGTCAAGTTCGAAATTGGTCATGGTTCGATGATTTTTGGCAGAGTTATGCTCCTTTTACATTGAAAATAATATGAAATTTTCAGTTTCCATTCAATATCTCCCAAACGGTTCAAAACATTCAATTCAAAATTGACATATGGATATGTCATGAGAAAATACAGGTGAAGTTCGAAATTGGTCATGGTTCGATGATTTTTGGCAGAGTTATGCCCCTTTTACTTTGAAAATAATAATGAAAATTTTCAGTTTCCGTTCATTATCTCCCAACGGTACAACACATCCAACTCAAACTTGACATATTGATATGTCATGAGAAAATACAGGTCAAGTTCAAATTTGGTCATGGTTCGATGATTTTTGGCAGAGTTCTGCCCCTTTTACTTTGAAAATAATATGAAATTTTCAGTTTCCATTCATTAACTCCCTAATGGTACAACACATTCAACTCAAACTTGACATATGGATACGTCAAAGGAATGCGCAGGTCAAGTTCAAATTTGGTCATGGTTCAATGATTTTTGGCAGAGTTATGCCCCTTTCACTTTGAAAATAATATGAAATTTTCAGTTTCCGTTCATTATCTCCCCAATCGTACAACACATTTAGCTCAAACTTGACATATCGATATGTCAAAGGAATGCGCAGGCCAAGTTCAAATTTGGTCATGGTTCCATGATTTTTGGCAGAGTTATGCCCCTTTTACTTTGAAAATAATATGAAATTTTCAGTTTCTGTTTATTATCTCCCCAACAGTATTAAACATTCAACTCAAATTTGACATATTGATACGTCAAAGGAATGCGCAGGTCAATTTCAAATTTGGTCATGGTTCGATGATTTTTGGCAGAGTTATGCCCCTTTCACTTTAAAAATAATATGAAATTTTCAGTTTCCGTTTATTATCTCCCCAACAATATTACACATTCAACTCAAATTAGACATATAGATATGTTTTTGGAATGCGCAGACCAAGTTCGAATCTGGTCATGGTTCAATGATTTTTGGCAGAGTAATGCCCCTTTCACTTTGAAAATGATATGAAATTTACAGTTTCTGTTCATTATCAACCCAACAGTGTTACATATTCAACTCAAAATTGACATATGGATATGTCAAAGGAATGCGCAGGTCAAGTTGGAATTTGGTCATGGTTCGATGTTTTTTTGGCAGAGTTATGTCCCTTTCACTTTGAAAAATAATATAGATACATCTTAGGAATAAGCAGTTTAAGTTTGAATTTGGTCGTGGTTCAATGATTTTAGACAAACTTATCTTTCCTGAATGTTGGAAAAATTTTGAACTTTCAGTTTCAGCACTCATACTTTTGTGGAAATGTATATAGCCATTATGTTGGCTACAAATATGCAATATGCTATTTTTAAAAGGTTAAGACTGAATAATTTCAGTGCCTTGAACATTGTATAAAAATGGTTAAGACTGAATAATTTCAGTGCCTTGAACATTGTATAAAAATGGTTTGTGTTAACATTGAAAAGTTTTAAGGGCTTTGAACTTAGAATGAAAAAAATAATTTGTGCAAACAAATTTGGAACTAAATATTATAACATTTGAAATTTTGGCTGCATGCGGGGGCATCCGTGGCATGATGACACATTTCTAGTTTTCTATGTTTTCAGTATATTTTGTACAGACAAACTAGCAGATAGCCTAACTATTGTATCAATGGGTACGGACACCTCCGCCTCAACAGACATTGGTACGCATATCAATGTGAAACCTTTCACAGTAACTAACTTTATAGAGATGGAACCCCTCTCGTAAGTTAAAACAAAAGTTTATTTATATTGCAAGTTCTTATTGTAAATACAATTATTATTGATATTGAGTAGTAAATTATAAAATACACAAAGACAGAATCCCTGTAGAAAGTCCAACACGGCAAAGTTGAAAATGTTAAATCTTGAAACAAAATGTGGTATAAGCTAAACTTTTTACGTTATAAGTGCATGTTTGATGTAAGATTTTAATTAAATTTAAGAATTGTTGTAGAGTGAAAAGTTTTACTTATATTTACATTATAGCTTTCAGGTTGAATGTGCTAAAGAATATATGGAAAATGTTATTATATTGTAGTGTTTCAGAGGGTCTTAAAACAACTGTCCTACACATTTTAGTGTGAGCGTTTTTTTGAATAAAATGTCATCAAAAGATAAAATTTCATCACATGCTCGTATATCTTATTGTTGAGAGGCATAGCCAATCGCATTCCTGCTACAGACCTTTGTTCCTGTCTTGGGAGGAAGTTGCCCAGCTAGTTTATGGAAGGCCAGTGGTTCTACTCAGGTGTCAACATGTGCCAAAGATAATGTATAGACAGGGTTCGCACAGGCCATGAAAAGTCCTTGAATTTGGTGGTTAGTCCTTGAAAACTCCTTGAATTTTGTCCAGGGAAAAAGTCCTTGAAAACTCCTTGAATTTTACAGGAAACTTGGGAATTTTGTTCAGTAATCCATAAATTCCTTATTAAGTACCACAAAACGACTAAAATGAGTAAAACAGCGGCCAAAAAACAAAAGAAAACTCAAATATACATCAATTTAAAAAAAAAAACGACTTCGTAACGAGATAGTAAGACGGTACGGAACGGGTATTGGCTTTAATACACGATTGAAATATTCATGACGTGTAAATTTCACGGACTGGTTTGGGTAATTCATCAAAAAATGAAGAAGTGTAATTTCTCGCCAAAATGTGTAGAAAAATGTCTTTTCATTAAAGAATTCAAGGGTGATTAAAGAAAGGCGGTGTGAAGCGCTTGTGATAAGGTTATAGACGTTTCAGGAATGGGTGAAAGCGCTATAAAATCGCACATTAAAGTGAGAAACACAAACAATTCACAACAGCGAGAGAATGTAATCAGGATATAACTAGCTTCTTCAGTTTAGGTGCAAGTACTATCTTGAATAAAGATGACAATAACAATAATCTGACAATACCACTCCCACCCTCTGAAGCAACTACTGCAAAATCTTGCACACTTAGAAAAAACTTAATAAATTTGGTAGTACTTCAACTGGTATTTGCATGTAAAACACAAATTTCATACATTGTCGCCCTTTTACACATATTTGTCTTTAGTGTTTCACTTATTTTAGTCCTTGAAATACTTGAAAAAGTCCTTGAAAACTCCTTGAATTTTGTCCTGGATGGTCTGTATGAACCCTGTATAATAGAGGGACACAAGGTCTTTATCCACCACTGTAATTAATAAACCTGGAAAAATCCTTATTGACTTGAAAAGTGACGGTGATTTTCAAATACCAACAAACGGCAACCATTTCAGTTATGTTATATTGCAAATTAATTTGTAAATTATATCAGTAACATTAGAACAGCATTGAACTTTTTATTTTAGATACAAGATCTATGAACTGAGTGAAGATCTATCTATTTTGATAGACACACTACCGCAAAGTTTACTCTTAAAATGGGAGGAGTGTATACAGCATTAGTATATGGCAATGGTTCTAAGGTAATTATATACTTATATAGTAAGTAGTGTTTCAGCTATGTGTTTGACGTATATAGAAAAATTATTGAAATTAAGACAGATATAGATGATAATTGAAAATATCTCACAGCTGTGCAGATTTAAATGTACCTGTGACTTGAAAAAATCAAATCATGTTAAGAACACAGGGACCTTGAAAATTGCATGACTGAATTTTCGTCATTTTAGGTCAAAGCATTTAATCATGGTAGCAGATTTACATACCCTGCCTTTCTTTCTCCTGTGGTTGGTTGTATTTTAATATAACTAGCCCTGTCTAAAACTTTATGCTTTACATAAATGATACAAACATTATGCATTCATCACTCTTAATTATCCTATCTTGAAGACAGAATTAAAATATACCAAAAAAATATTAATGCCTTTAAAGTATTGGGTTTCAGTGCCGATCAAGTATGAATGTGCAGTCCTCTTATTTGCAAAAATTCTGCACTGAAAGTGATCTCTATAACAGTTTATAATTCCAACAGCTGTTCCCCTAATATATATTGTTTAGAAATACAGCTCGACATGTTATGTATGCAACTTATTACATGTATATAATTTATATATGACCAGTTGGTATTTCAAATATTATCATTGTTCTATTTTTAGAACATTAACTACATGTATGTACTAGAACTTTCTTAACTGTTGTAGAAAACTCATGCATTATATTTAGATAGAAACTTCTGGAATGTTCTTTATTGTTGAAGTTGCTAGATTATGATTACTTGAGAACAATTAATAGACCTTTCTGGAATTTTCTTAGTTAATATATATAAATTGACATTTTTCATTACCTTTACCTTTTAAGTCATCAGTGATGTTTTAAGTCATCAGTTACTTTTTAAGTCATCAATATATTTGGAGTATTATTCAAATTGGGTATTAAGTGAATTATTGGAGCTTGGATTTTAAATAAATTATTCTTGTGGATTTTATTGTGGGAATTTATTCTAAAGTGTTCTTGGATTTAACTTGGATTTAACTGGATTGTGTTATTCAAAAAGGATCATTCCAGGATCAGACTAAACATTTAAGATTTTCACTTTTATTTGAACTTCAGGTATTTGTAAACATAATTTGTTATTTTATTTTTCTTTGATAATTTTTCTGTAATAAATTTGTTATTGTTACAAGTTTGTTGCTGGTTTTTCTTTCTCGTTACGCCTGGCTCGTAACAGACAGTTGACCTCAATTCAAAAAGCTGTTCCCCTCATATTGTATAGAAATGAAGCTTGACAGTTGACCTGGTGTTGTTTATTTCAGTCTGGTGTTCATTTATATGTGGATGTCACAGAAAACACTGTCTCAATGGCATGGATGATACCTCAGTATGTTCTCGTCACACTTGGGGAAGTTCTTTTCTCAATTAGTGGGCTTTCATTTGCTTATTCTCAGGTAAAAATATGCTACTATGTGAGTATTTGTGTTTCAAATATACTTATAGATTGAGATTATAATGCAATATCAAAGCAGAATGTCCTTAGAAATAATGTATGATAAAATAACAAAAACACAAAAAATAAATATATATATATATTATTTTTTTTGTTAATGGCTTTAACATGTCACAGAGATTGTCTTCTATCAAATAAGATTAGAAATTTAGTTCTAGACTTGTAGTTCAGTGATGGGACTTGACATTTATAAGCTATCCAAATTATCTACGCTCCCTATCTGATAAATTGAATAATTGATTGATTGACATGGTAAATTTTCATTTTCAAACCAGGCCCCCATGTCGCTGAAGTCTGTTGTACAAGCTGTGTGGTTACTAACTGTATCATTTGGAGATTTGATGGTGATAATTGTGGCAAACATACATTCCATTCCTTCCCAGGTAAGTCATAGACTTAAATTAATTCTCGAGTTGTTTTGGAAAAGAATATAGCAAGAATAGTTCAGCAGTTTGTAGTGCCACTGTCAATAAATACAGTATACACTGTATTTTTGAGCAGTATCCTTTGAATATGTTAAGATTTGTTTTTTATGGTTGCCTAAAGTTATGCATTCAATAGCACAATGGAAAGGAAGCTACTTAAGACTGACGTAATAGATGTCTTGGTTCTTTGATTCAAGCCCCTAAATTGAAATTAATACATTATTCAATTATTGTTGGAAATAACTTGTAAATATCTCAATTTATTTTCTTCTTCTTCGTTTCAGATGTATGAATTCTTCCTATTTGCTGTGCTGATGTTTTTAGATACATTCATCTTCATGATAATGTCCATGTTCTACAAATACAAAGCTAACTCTCTAGATTATGCTGAATTAGGTGAAGAATCTGAAGAAACAAATAGTTCAAAAAGACATGGGGACGAAGAATTTCCACTGAAAAGCTTTACTACATCTGCTCCTAGGCACAGTATTTCAATTTCTTCTCAAAATTAATTGTTACACACTGTATTATACTGTTTTAACAGGTTTTACAGTACCTCTGCAGATGTATTTTAAACTGAACTAGATTTTACCTTTTTTTAACAATAAAAAAAAAAAGTTTTGAAAAGTACTTGAGCTCTGTATGCTTCAATTATATGTGCTTGTACATGGCATTTTTTTCTGAAAGAGCAATTGAATCATACCAAAAAGATTAATTAAATTCCATCTTGCTTTTGTTTACATATTGTTTATACTACTTAATGAATATTTCTCAGTTACAAATAGAGACACTAAACTCTGCTTGTAAAGATATATAGGGGACTGCCAAATTTATATCAATATATTTCGGATATTGTTCTGTCCAAGAAGCCACCAATTTGAAAACGAGGGTCGGGACTTTGGCACCGGCAACATTGTAAGCGGTATATTGTTATAAGCAATATCTTTATAAGTGGAGTTTACTGTATGTGTTTGAAATCCATGATTGATGATCATCTGTGATATATTGAAAACAGCGGGACTGTTATGTTGCAATAGTAAAAACATGATACTAGACTCAATATTAAAGTCCCTAAATTGCTGGTGTTCTCTGGTGAAATATTATATATCAGGGAGTCATCTTAAGAGCAGAATTGTTAAGTTACAGCTTGGTAAAGATCAAATGTTACCTATTCACACATACATGTGCAATGAGTCTTAAAAGGGAGGTAAAAAGTGATTTAAAAAAGTGCATTTTTTCTTCTGCTATTTTAATGCAATATTCAAGTATCAGGTATAATAACTTATTCTTGATCATAAATAAAGATGCTACAAAACAAAATATATTCTAGAACTTTTAGGCGTATCTGAGTTTATAACCTTCATTTTTCATGAAAATAATTATTTTTGAAAAGCAGATTGATGGATTGGTTTGAAAATCTGCACAAGTTATTAATTAAATCAAATTGTAAGGTCAGAAAAATAACTTAAATTAAAGATTGGGTTGAAAAACATGTGTTAATGAGTTGTGTATGGAAGTAATGGACTTGAATGATAAGTTTATTATATGTGATTTTTACTATGGCTTAGTTTAGTATGAGAATGTGACTATTATGTGAGATTGAAGTTGTATTTTTCATGATAAAATTGTGTTGATTTGGTTATTTTACACTATATTTATTTACTTATGTACCTATTTCATTGTGTTTTTCTTTACTTAAGATTTGACATGATTTTCACTGAAAATGTTGTACAAAGTCACAAAATTGATATTGCTGCTTATGATGATTATTTTCTTGTGAGAACGGGTTATTTCGCTTGATTTTACTATTGATTGTAACAGAAGTTTCAAGTTTCTTCTGCTGTTCTACATAAGTCTTATGTTTTTGTTTATGAAAATCTACCAGCGTGTGTAATAGCATTGTGTTAAGGTGTCTGCTTCTTAAACAACGGAGATCAGGTACAAGCTCTACCTGGGTCACAACCATGTTTCCTCAAATGACACCAGTACTGATTAGTAAATGTCACCATTAGTTTGAGGGAGCAGACTTTAGAGTGGTTAAATAAGTTTAAAGATTTAGCTTAAGTAAGTATGATTAAAAATAAATCCACCAGAGATTGATGTCCATCTGTGATCATTATATATAGTTTTATTAGCCTATGTCGAAAAGTGACACAGGTTTAAAAATCTGGACTATTTTCTATGTATTTTTATACTAGTTTAATGGAATCTAGAGAATATTTGTTTTTAGTGAATATGCTAATTATCATACTGAGAGGTGAGAAAATTGCAGGTGTTATCATTCTTTAATTAAGTTTTTGCGCGCAAGTTGGTACCTCCAAAAACTACTGAAAGGAATGATTGAAACTTCACACAATTATTTGAGAGCATAAAAGGAGCTCTCTGTCCAAGGCCCATAACTTTTAACAAGGATTTTTTTTTCAAAATATTATGGCCCTTTTTGAACTTACAAAATTCTACATTATGCTGGCTCTTCATTTCCTTTCAAGCACTGAGAGCAGTTGTTTACATAATTCTAAACACCTAGGCAATGTCAGGTAACATGTCTGTGGTTACCTGACTGTGGAGTATGTTAGTATTGTTGTGAAAAATGTTCTACAAATGCAAATGATACATGTTTAATTCACAAAATCACACATCTTGTGGTCTTAAATTGTTGTGAACCATTGAATACTCTATTTATTTATAATTGTTAAATTTGACTTTAATGGCAAGAAATTGTTAGCTGTTGACTATTGTTAACTATTGATTGTTGTAAATGGTTGTGGATATCTATGTATACTTATTTTAATTTTAGTGCATAAGATATAAAAGATGAATTTATACTTTGTGAAATTCAAGATTTTTTTTTACATTTTAGACTGTATAATTTTCTTTTATGTCTCTTAATTTTTTTCTCATTGAGTATTTTCAATAAAAGCCTTATTTTTCTAATTTGACTGTCTAGTGTATTGATAATATGACTTTGTTCATGCAAATTTGTTTTCCTTCCTAGTCTTAATTTCATTTTGTTCTCTGTTTTGTTTGATGCATGAATCTCATTTGTTTGCTGTTGAAATAGCTTTCTGTTATACATTTACTATGTTATATACATGTAGTATAGTGTAGTTGGTATTTTATATATTTTTTTCTTGTTTATGTTATAGTATTTTATTTTCAATTCATATGCACAGATAGATGTTACTTTTGCAAACTTGTAACTTTTTGTGTTATTTTTCTTATATATACATTCCAGCTTATGTATTTGTGTACCTAAACTTGCAACCAGGAATTATTTAATTTTGCAATATAAAAAAATCAATATTTTTAACAAATCAAAATTTGTTATAGGCTTATTTAGCCTCAAAAATCGTAAAATTTTCATTTTTAAAAGCCTTGCAGTTCATGTTTTAAGTCCTATTGCAGTTTCCAAAATGTTTCTAACTTGCCAGATAGCAGCTGATCAACCTTTCGTTTCCTTTTTGTTTTAGTGCATTCATTCAATGTTATAGTGATTTAGTAATTTGTAAGAATCAATTATTACTTCATTGTCCATTCTACAGAAAGAAAAACTATTTATTTCTATGGTGTAATGTTCCCTTATCGTGTTTATGATTTTAATGTGTATATTTTGAGCTTTATTTGATGGTAAAAATTGTTTTTACACTACGCAAAACAGTACATAAAACTCTTTACCTCACTACATATATGTATATGCTGGAAATCACCTTAACCAAGGGTATAGGATAGATTGGCTACCTTTAACACCATTTGCTTCAAACTATTTGAAAATATTTTTATTTTAAAAGTCATTTTGTTGATTTCTTGACTTAAAACAGCCAAAATATTGTCATGGTTCTTTCATAAATAAAAAAAAAACATCTTTTATTTTGTTTATTCTATTTTGTTTATTCCTTTCCTTGATATTTTATTCCTTGACTTGATACAGCAAAATTGCAACATGAAAGTTTTTTCATTTAAATAATCGTTGATTCTTTATTTCATTTTGGTCTATAAGTATAGAGACTGATGTATATTTCTGTGATCATTATGTTTTAATTGTTTAACTGTAAAAGTGGGATGGTTAGTTTGCCACTGGACTTTTCTTGACACAAATTATACATTAACTATAACAGCTCTTTAGTGGGGAGTTACATGCTCTGACAACTTTGGAGTCCCCAACAGGTTTCAGGTTTCACCAAGTGCGGCCTTAAGATTACTCTCAGTGAATCGTTCCATCTTGACCTATAAAGAGCACCTTGATGAGAATACTTGGTACATTGATTTAGGGCCCTATTCACAATTTTAGCTCAACTGTCACAAAGTGACATGGTGAGCTTTTGTGATCACTTTTCGTCCGTCCGTCCGTAAACTTTTACTTGAAACGGAATCTCCTCATATACCACAAAGCCAATTTCATCCAAACTTCACAGAAATGTTCCTTTGGTAGTCAACTTTAAAAATTATTCAAAGAATTTAATTCCAAGCAGAACTGTGGTTGCCATGGCAACCAAAAGAAAAAACTTAAAATATCTTCTTTTGGAAAACCGTAAGAGCTAGAGCTTAAATATTTGGCATGAAACATCATCTAGTCAGTGTCTACCAAGTTTGTTCAAATAAATGCCCTGGGGTCAAAATTGGCCCCGCCCGGGGGTGGGGTCATTGATTTTCCTTATTTGTATTATACAGTATATAGTAAAAACTTAAAAAATCTTCTTTTAAAAAACCCAAATAGCTAGAGCTTAGCTATTAAGCATGAAACATCTTCTAGTGGGTGTCTACCAAGTTTGTTCAAATAAAAGCCCTGGGGTCAAAATTGGCCCCACCCCAGGGGGTCATTGTTTTTCCCTTTATGTATAAAGTAAAAACTTAAAAAATTCTCTTTTAAAAAATCTTTAGAGCTAGAGCTAAGATATTTAGCATGAAACATCTTCTAATGGGTGTCTACCATTTTGTTCAAATAAGGGCCCTGGGGTAAAAATTTCCCCGCCCCAGGGATAATTGATTTTCCTTATATGTATATAGTAAAAACTTCTGTTTAAAAAACCCAAAGAGCTAGAGTTTAGATATTAAGCATGAATTATCTTCCAGTGAGTGTTTACCAAGTTTGTTCAAATAAAAGCCCTGGGGACAAAATTGGCCCCGCCCAGAGGGGGGAGGGGGTCATAGTTTTTCCCTATATGTGTAAAGTAAAAACTTAAAAAATCTTCTTAGAGCTAGAGCTTAGATATTTATCATGAAACATCTTCAAATAGGTGACTACCAAGTTTGTTCAAATAAAAGCCCCAGGGTTAAAATTGGCCCTGCCCCGGGGACCTATACAGGTGAGCGATTTCAGGGCCATCATGGCCCTCTTGTTTTATTAATAACTTGTCTGTGATTCTGTTGTTTTCTTTTTAAAAATAAATCTAGATCCTGCAATATTTCATAACTAGATTGTTATATGTTTGTCAATTTTTTTTTGTGTGTAAATCACGTACATATGATTAAGAATTGCTATATTGATAAAAGAAGCATGATTGGTTGAAAGTCTCATTATCATCAAACTATTCTCTTGCTTTCTAAGTCACATCACATGAGATTTTATTATTTTACAATGGAAAAAGAAGTATAAGCTAAATAGATACAGGTACTCATATTTGCTAGGAGTTGTAAGTTTTTTTTTAAAATCAAAACTGTTCTGTCAAAGGACATTTAAAATTTAGAGAATTTTTAGTGAAATAAAATAAGGGTTATGGTGAGAAACATCACCTTTTTTAACTGCCATCTTTATTTCTCGTAATTTAACGTGTTCTCAATGCATGATTGAAAAATTATTTGATTTCCGAGGCACATTTATTATGGTTCTATAGACACCGAAGGAATTCTTTTTCAATGGAGTTTTTTTTGGAATGCCCACTCTTTTTAATACCTAATAAATTGAATTTTGTTATTCTTTTTGTCTCAAAAGGATGCACATAGTCGATAAATTGTAGTGTCATCACTTTCTCAAGGAACAAGCGCTTCTTCTGAACGAACGACTTTTTACTTGATTCGGTAATCTCTAAGTGGGTCTGACAGAACTGATCATGGTACACGCACCTGCCATATATGGAGGTCGATGGCAACAAATGTCATGATGAAGGTTTTAACAATTAACAACATTTTAACAGACAGACTAGTAGCTAGATTGTCCGTTTAATATAAGTAAAATTAATCAGTATCTTGAGTTAACTGAACAGTACATTCAGTGTTCTTGAATTAAAAGTATAATGGTTTAGTACCTCAATTGTTCATAAGTTTAATTTTATGCGGCCAGTGCGGTCCATATGATGATCTTATATTGATTTTGCAGAAAGTCTTGCCATCCAAAGAGATAAATTGCCTTACAAGCGAATGGCGCATACACAAAATCATTTCTGAACAAATAAAACCCTACTTTAAATGGACATATTATTCTGTTTACGTTCTTTATTTTTTGTATGTCAAATATATGGATCGATCATAAGACTATTGAAACAAAATTGTTTTTACTGTTAATATTTTTGTGCCCCCACATTAGTGGCGGGCATTTAGATTTACCCTTGTCCGTCTGTCGTCCGTCCTTCCGTCTGTCCGTCCGTCCGTCCGTTCACTTTTGTGTCGCATGTAACTCAAAAAGTATTTGACCTAGAGTCATGAAACTTTACAGGAATGTTGATCAGCATGTGTAGTTGTGCACCTGGGTATTTTCATCTGGATATTTTTAGTATTTTCAGAGTTATTGCCCTTGACTTAGTAAAATTTTGCAATTTTCAACTTGTGTCACACGTAACTCAAAAAGTATTTGACCTAGAGTCATGAAACTTTACAGGAATGTTGATCAGCATGTGTTGTTGTGCACCTGGGTATTTTCATCTGGATATTTTTAGTATTTTTAGAGTTATTGCCCTTGACTTAGTAAAATTTTGCAATTTTCAACTTGTGTCGCACGTAACTCAAAAAGTATTTGACCTAGAGTCATGAAACTTTACAGGTATGTTGATCAGCATGTGTAGTTGTGCACCTGGGTATTTTCGTCTGGATATATTTAGTATTTTCAGAGTTATTGCCCTTGACTTAGTAAAATTTTGCAATTTTCAACTTGTGTCACACGTAACTCAAAAAGTATTTGACCTAGAGTCATGAAACTTTACAGGAATATTGATTAGCATGTGTAGTTGTGCACCTGGGTATTTTCGTGTGGATATTTTTAGTATTTTCAGAGTTATTGCCCTTGACTTAGTAAAATTTTGCAATTTTCAACTTGTGTCGCACGTAACTCAAAAAGTATTTGACCTAGAGTCATGAAACTTTACAGGAATATTGATCAGCATGTGTAGTTGTGCACCTGGGTATTTTCGTCTGGATATTTTTAGTATTTTCAGAGTTATTGCCCTTGACTTAGTAAAATTTTGCAATTTTCAACTTGTGTCGCAAGTTACTCAAAAAGGATTTGACATAGTCATTAAACCTTATGGGCAGGTTGCTCAACATATTTAGATTTGCACCTGGGGTTTCGCTTGTGGATTTATCAAGTATTTGTAGAGTTATTTCCCTTGACTTAGTAAAAAGATTGACAGAACAGTGGCGCGGTGGGGGCACCCGTGTCCTATGGACACATTTCTAGTTTTTACATATTTCATAAGACTTTAAATGTTATGGACCAATTAAATTCCAAGCAGGTTTATAAAAGCATTGTTTTCTGGAAAGCGAACACATTTTCACAAAGCCTTGGACGAGCGCCTGGACAAGTATGTGATCAGAGGTAACATTTTTGTTATACCAGTAAGCTTACCTGCTATTTTATAACTCCTTCCCGAAATTATTCAGAGGTTTCTTACAGTATTCTGCATACATATTGTTTGTTACTGCGCATGACCGCCGGAATATAACTAGCAGATGAGGGATTGTCTTTAACGACTGACGCATCAGAATTGTTTTCAGCCAAAAAACAACAACATTTTTTCCTGTTTCGGCGTCATATGACCATAATTGTGTTGTATTGTGCGCCGTTAAACCAAACAAACCAATCTTACTAGCAGAAAAAATGTAGTTACGTCAGTTTCTGTAGCATATCTGGGAGGAATTTTCGGTTTTAACTTAATGACAAATGTTGATTTATTCCTAAAAAAAACAACAAATATGATTTCACTATTGTTATAACATACATTAATGATTGGTCACAATACAAAAGCTTGGGATTAAAAATTCCACTAATCACAAGCACATCATAGACGACGAGTAGTATATCACGTTTCAAAATTTGATTTTTCAAATTATCACTGATAAAGAAAAAGAACACTATAAATGAGGACAGTTTATTCTGATTAAAAGCACAGCATTTTCAAAGCATACAATCATATCAAATTAAAAGTGCAGATTTTAAACACAAAACATTGTTTGCTATTGCAATGCCTTTGAAACATTAACTAAATTGTAAGTTAAAGGGACTCCACTGAGATTTTGACAAAACTGAAAATATTTACTGACATTTGAGTATCATTAGATGTAACGTATGCACAATATTTCAGATAATTCATTTACTACGTTATCTTAATTGTGTAAAATGAACAAAAACTCGAAAGCGTTTAAACGTTTCAATTCAATTCTGTGTATATTTTTTTTCTCTCTTACTTTTTCTATTTAAAGTGACACTATGTCCATCCAATGGTATACAATGCATGAATAGGTGAAAGTTAAAATAAAGCTCCGTTTTGCATAATTCCTTTCAATTTTATTATATAATTAACTTCCCAAGAATGTCAATATAACTCATGTAGCCAACATGGCCAAAGGATTTGCAATGCTCATTTAATAAAGAGAGTTGGGCAATCCATTTATATTTTAGGCATACTTACGAGTATATCTTATCTTAAACATTTTCAAGTATCAATTGTTGTTCAATCACAATTAGAACAGCCAATCTGTTTTAAACATGTAGTCAATTCAGTTCAAGTGACATTATGCTCATTTTTTCATTGTCAAATTGACTTTAATTGACTACACATTTCAATAAACTGGTCATTATAATGGTGACCGACCAACACATGATATTTGAAAATGTTTAGGGTGCAAAACACATCTACCTAAATACATAAAAAGACTGTCCCACTTTTTTTTATAAATTGAAAGTTACGGATAATTACACACATTTCACAGGGCCTAGTGAGTTAAGTATCGTTCATATGAACAAAAATATAAAATTGAAAGGAATTATGAGAAAATGTTAACTTATTTTGACTTTCACCTGTTCACTCTATATCTAGCCATGGATGGACATAATGTCACTTTCAGCTTGACACCGAAAACATGAACCCAATGTCACTTTAAATTACCCTTCATTATCTCGCTAAGGATTTCAAATATATTTAGACTTTTGGACCTCAGTGGAGTTCCTTTAGGTATTAATGCTATACATTGGCATTAATAATCAATGCTTTCTCATAAAACAACTAGATCTACTTATATTTTTCTAACAATATTTTAAAACTTTCATTTCATCATATGTTTTTAATAAATCTTAAAATGTTTGAAAATATTTTTTTTTGGTATAGATAATATTACATAATCTTGAAATGTTTGAAAATAATTTGGTAATAATATTGTATTATCTTAAAATGTTAGAAAATAATATTACAATAGCTTTGATATTTTGATTAATACAAATGCTAGTTAATTCAATACAAGCATGCAATTGACTAAATATATGGATAAAACAGCATTTAATGTATAAAGTATATAGGATTCCTGCGCGAATAGCTCAGCGTGGCAGTTTCTTTCTTTTATAAAATTAACATTCAAATAGAGAAAATTTATTCATACATGCTTCATCACTATATTTACATGTACACAATATCATTCATAATAAAAGAAAAGAGAGTAATGTAATCCAAATACGGATTTGCTTAATGAGCGCTCATCATTAACAAGTTGTGTATTATCAATTATAGTGTAAACATTCCCTTTATGAAAATATTAATACAGTTTAAACTACATTATTTAAAAAATTTATGGGATTCGGCAATATAAAAATCACAAAATAATCAATATGTATTTGGACAAGACAATGAGTGAAGGTAATCATGTTAATAAGACTCTATTAAACAACAATCACTTTTATTAGAAGCCACGTCGTCCAAAAGTGACAATATGCCTAACGTAAAATAAAGTTTGGGCTCCATGGCACTTATTATTTAATACAAAATCATACTTTAAACGTACTTTTCAATACATGGATACATATGTTATATTGTCAATATTGTCAACAATCCCTGCAATGTAGTTTGTTTTGTTTTTTTAAAAATTAATAATACATGTGTGTCATAAAAATATGTATGTATATATCGAAAACAACGGGTTAGTGCGTGTACTTATGATTTAAAAAATGCAAGCATAAAATAAGTGAATATAGAAACTTAATCCACTGTAAATATCTCAAGGTATAAGATGTATAATTAACACTTTTTCAAAAGTCATTCAAAACTTTATATTAACAAACTGTCCTATATTCTGGACAAAAATACAAAAAAAGAAATAAAAAGGTTTACCATCTTTTTTGAAAAATATTGACAATTGAAGTATTACTTTTGTATTAGTTTTATACAACAACATCAAAGAATATGTTATCATTACCTGGAGAAAAGGTTTGCTAGTTTCATTTTTTTAGTTATAAAGTACTTATAAAGAACCATAGTTTTTTGTTTAATAACTACAAATAAAACCAATTACAAAATAATGTCTATGAAAAGATTGTGTTGGTTTATTGAGACAAATACTTGTTATTTTACATCAAATAAGAAGAGGATGGGGTTAGAAACTTGTTAGATTTTATGATATAAAATAGGGACATCAAAATATTATTTAATAATAATTATTTATCTTGATACAAATCGAAACATTTGTGAAATACATAAAGCAAGTTTACCATGCCGATTTCAAATTATAATCATTTTTAGTTGTTACCCAATCCAATTTCACACAATTCACAGTAAAATCATGGATAAAAATTTAATTTTTACTTAATTTCAGATTTTATATAAAAAATAAGAAAGAAAAAAAAATCTTGTTAAACAAAAAGAAGAGAAAAAAAGACAAATATCTAGAACAAAAACCTCTTCTGGGATATGAACCCACGCCCTATCGAAACTGTGTCCACACTGAAAATGAATACTCTTCAGAAATGAGATTCTGCATAAGGCATCCAATACCTTAAAGGTACTTGTTGCGAAATGATTATTTTTTCCTTCTTTAGAAAGGGCGAACATGAGCTTTATAAAGTTTAACTAATGCTTTAATAGCCTGTTAGAAGCTTGTCACATGAGGACTTTTACGCTGAATGCATGGTCATTAAAGTAGCAAAATTGAAAACAAAGTGGTCTTTTGACTTCTTTACAAAGTACTACATCACTATGATAACTAATTGCAAAAAGCAACAAAAAATGAGAAGATATAACATGACAACAAAATTAAGAAACGTTGGAAAATGAAAATAAAATCATAACTGAAATTTTCCTGTAACAACTCAACCTGAATTGAATATGGATCATGCAAATGATTGCGACACATTCCGAAAAGTGTTTACATAAAAAGACTCAAATAAAGTTATTATAAAAGACAAGTCATAAAGTCAAAAATAAAGTCAATGTTAGCGTTAAAGTGTAAGAATAAAAATACGAGGATAACAAGTATGAAAATATATAACACATGTATTTATTATTCAAGTTAAATGTATCAAAGCACTAAGATCACTATTTACAGGAAAACATACAAAATAAAATCAGTTTAAAATGTAACTGCGTTCACATTAACAAGTCATTGATGTATTTGGTGTGTAAACTAGCGCAGATTGACATAAAACTAGTTTACATTGCAATCCAGTCCGGTTTATATTATATATTTCGTTATTATGAGTGTTACAAAACTAGTCATATTTTATCTGGTATTTTTTCTTCTTCAAATATTGTAGATTGAACTAGTTTTCAATAGCACGATTCGTATCGTTTACATAACTGAACATGCGAGTTTTTCCTTGACAGATTTACTCAGTTCCGCATAATTAGCTCTTAGCTCTTCTAGTTCTTTCTCCAGATATTGATTTCTTTTTTTTTGCTCTCCGTCAAGTATACGTTTTAATTGATCTTCCATCCGCTTGTTTATTTCATTGTGACTTTCATCTGAAGATTAGTAAACAAAACAGCGTTGTAAAAATGATAAAAAGCACACATGATGTGGGGATGATACTTTGTATTTTCTTTAATTATGTTATCATCCTAAATTCTTTGGAGATTATTGTCTCTGTTAAGATGTTGAAAGGCATTAACTCTGACGGTTAGTTTGACAGAATTATGCTCCTTTTTAACCAAGAAAAAAAATAGCCAAAAAATGTACCAAATTAAGTGGCTATAACTTCGTTATTCATAAATTAATTGTCTTCATACTTGTACACAACAACCATCTGGAATGTTCCTTCAAGTTGGTCAAATTGACCTTGACAATGAGTCATAAATAACATTGACCTTCAAAATCAATTATTGAATTTTACTGTTTTTGGAGTAATTGTCTATAACATTGTCATTTATAAATAGACTGTCTTCATATCTAAATACAACATCCCAAATGACAAGACCTTAAATAAACTCAATTTAAATTTGACCTTGACATAAATGACATTGACCTTGAAGTTTCAATTATTGAATTTTGACTGTTTAAGGTAGAAGAGCAAAGCCTAAAGCTCAGATATTTTGTGTGTAGCATCATCTAATAAAACTCTACAAAAACTCTTCAAATTTTAACACTAGGTCAATATTGGCCTCACCATAGGGGGTCATTGCTCTTTCTTATATGTATATAGTAAAAACTATAAATAAATCATCTTCTGAGATTTGACATAGGCTAGAGGTTAGATATTTGGCATGAAACATTCTGTAGAAGTCCTTTACCAAGATTATTCAAATCATAGTCCTTGCCGCCCGGAGGTCATTGTATTTTATTATGTTACTAATAATTAACACTTAAAACTCTCTTTTGTGAAGATACAAGGCTTAGAGCTTTGATATTTTGTAAATAATATCATTTATAGGTCCTCAAAGTTTGCTAATTTTTGTCAAAATTGGCTCCTACCCGGGTGACATAGGTTTCCAAATATGGAAAAAAAACTTGTTAACACTCTAGAGACTACTGTTTCAGTCCAGATATCATGGAATTTGGTCAGACAGATTGTTATCAGGTTCGAATAAGGGTCACAGCCCAAATTTGGAAAAACCTTGTTAACACACTTGAGGCTACTTTTTAATCCAAATAATTTGGAAATCGGTCAGAAAGCTTGTTTTGTTGATTTCTAGATCAGGTTCGAATAGGTGTCATCTGTGGTCAAAAACAACGTCACGAAACCCAAATATGGAAAAGCCTTGTTAACACAATTGGGGCTACTGTTTCTGTCCATTTTTGTTGGAAATTGGTCAGAAAGGTTGTAATGATGATTCAGATATGGAAAAACTAGTCACACAGACCCAATAAGAAAATATTTTGTAAACACTTTAGGGGATATTGTTCTTGTCCAAATATCCTTGAAATTGATATTTAACCTTCATAATCAGGTGAGCGAAAAATGCCCACTTGTTTTGTAATGTCTTCATATTTCGATATGTCATCATTAATGGCAGGACCTTGATGAAAATCAAACTAATCTTGTCCTGTACGTAATGATCTAGACCTTGAAAGTATAATTTTTGAATATTTGCTCCCTTTTCCTACTTTGTTTTAAGCGTATATGATATGTTTTCATATTTGGACTTAAATACCCTTTTCTTAAAGTTGAGCTGACCTTGAATTTTACTAAGATCAGATTATTGAACTTGAATTGAATACTTTTTTTATTTGTACAATGTTGACTTTTTTATACAAGACAATTTCTTTTAATATGTTTCTTTTTTTCAATAAAAGTCATTCCAAAAGTTATTTCTGTCAAGGACATTGGTGGGGTATGAATCGCGTTCAGCAATAATTCTAGTTTCTGAAGGGACCAACTGCTAACAGGACTAGAGTGAAACGATGAAAAGAATAAAACATTTTAATAATTACTTTCTTTGGTTTTTATATTTTTAGGATATAATATATGAAAAAATAAACGCTACTCGGCATTTAATGCTAGTTATCAAAGAGCATAGTGTAAAGCTAAGCTGTTTGGTGTAAAACAAAATAAGATCACTGTGGTGGGGTCCTAAGTGTAATAGGATCAAAACAAATGGTTCGTACACCCATTATCATATTGAAACCTGAGTCCCATTAAAATAATGCTTGCCTTATCATGATTTACGCTTTGAATTATTAGTTTATTTATTGATGAGGAATTCTAACTACGAAATATAGTACCATATTCGTCTTTGTACTTTTGTCCAGTTGCATCGCGGTACCGTGCCGTCTTTTCATCATTTTTGCTCTTCATAAACTCGTCAAAGCACTGAAAAAGCTGTTACAAACAAAAATTCGTTTGCATGAAAATTTTTAAATGTATCAAAGGTATGAAAAATCAAATATCCATAAAGCAAATTATCAGAGAATAAAACGACTGTTTCTAGAAGAAGTAGGTTATACATGCACTCATTTCTGTGATACTTTATTGGAGTCGTTGCTAGACAGTAAGATTAAAGGAGGTTGGTAGACTAAAGGTTAAAAAACTGCACAATAAAACTTTTGGGAACAGACGTATTGTGAAGAGTTCCTTAATATCTCAAGGTAGAATATAATTTTGATAAAAACAAAAATAACATTTTTACTCCCCCCTTCTACATACTCCTCAATTTTAAGATGAAAAGAAGAAAGTTACCGAACAAAAACAAGATCTGATATATTTTCGCATGTATGTCTGCATGGCGAAGGTTCACCCAAAGTATGTAAAAGAAATAAAAAATATAATTTATAAGAAGCAACTTAGTCTTACAACATCTTTGTCATATAGCTTCTTCGCTTCGAAAAAATCTTGTTTTAGTTTTTCCATGTCAGCTTCATAGTTACTGTGGCTTGTCTTATCTGTCTGGTATCTACTTTTGTTTGATTTTTGCATATCTTCATACATCTTCGACAGTTCCTTCGTACCTTTTTCCATGCATGATTTGTTTATTTTATGTTTCATCATATTTAAATAGGCTTTCATTTCCGCCTGTAAAAATATATAGAAAATAACAGAAGATTTCTGTTATATAAAGATATATAAACTGTACATTTTATTGTCGAATTCAAAATAATTTCCCGTAAAAAATCATCATCTTTGAAGTGTTTATTGTAAAAGCAAATTTCAAATGATGGACAACATAAAAAGAATCCATTAAAATATGTCCATATTATTCTATTATAAATGTCTTTAATATATCAACATGTCATGCAATGAAGACTGCCAAGAGAGCATCAATTTTCTAATCTTTGCATGAAATAAAAGTCGTTACAGCAGAAAAATACGATTTTTTAAAATTATTTCATTTATAGTAAGCCATCGCGCCCTTAGGAGGAGATGTGATTTGTTCAAAACTTTATAACTTCATTTCAAAATTATAATGTGTTTTTTTTTATCAGACTAGCTTCTCAATTGTTTCCTAATGATGCTTATGCTGAGGGACAATACTTGCCAACATCTTTGAGCATACATTGTATATAGAATTTAGGCAATGTTTGGCATATTGGCAAGTATTGAAGTTGCTCACTGTGATCATTTTGTCCTTAATTTTCATTGAATGAAAGATACTGGAAAAATGTAGTGAGTGTTTCTTCTAAAAATATGTATTCAATTTGATAGCTTTAATATGGTAGGGGATTAGGAATCTTTATCTTATAACAGATAATTTAAGAAAAACTAACGGTGTGTTTAGGCTTCAGTGTGCCAATTATTAGTTATATAACCATTAAAGATGTGTTGCATCCAAAGTTTACTTAACAGGCTTTTTGCTTTCTATCTTTAAATATATATATATATATAATATGGCATAAATACTCATCTCTACCTTGGAATTATCTGAGACCTACTTACATTTCTCTCAAGTGTCATTAAATTTCTTTTTAAATTCCATTTAACTAACAATTTATTATTTCAAGTCCATTAATTTATAAAAATTAACTTCACAATGCCATATGGGCTCACAAAATTTAATTGTACGACCAAAGCAATATCAGTGAAACTTTACAGGATTGATCTATAGCTCAAGTCCTTGCGCATATTACATGATTTTTTTTTTTTGGTTGAATGATTTTTTGCGGAATTATTGCCCTTTAAAAAAGGTAAAGGTCTTGTTTATTATAGTGTCACCCCTACTGAACCTTCGACCTCCCGATCCGAAGGCGGAAGCCTTAACCACTAGTTCAGCGGTTTTAATTTTTTTATTATTAAAGTTTGTCTGGACTTCTCTACCTTAAAAAATTATAGTACTAAATTAAATGCAATCTCATTGAAATTTACGGGATTGATTTGTAGCTCAAGCACTTGCGCATACATGTATTACACAGGATTTCTGCGTGAATGGTTTTTGGCAGAGTTATGGCCCTTGATTAAAAAGGTGTTAATAACGTTTGTCGGCAATACTCCTCTTATACCACCAATGTAATTTCCTTGAAACTGTACAGGATGGATATATAGCTAAAGTACTTGCACATTTACCACATGTTTCCACTTGAATGATTTTTGGAAGGCAGAGTTATGGCCTTTTAATAAAAAAACATGTTTTTGTGTTGCCAGCTACTTGTTTGGACTACTCTTCCGGAACTACTGGTGCGTTTTCATACAAAATTTACAAGAATGATCAATACTATGTTAAGTTTTGTTTCTGATCAACATTTTTCGATTTAATGATTATTTTGTCAGAGCAATGTCCCTTTAATGATTTGATTTTTTGTCCGGACTACTTCTCTTTTCTATTTGAAAGACCCTGCCTAAAATGAGATTCATATGTTAATTTACCGTAGGCCACCAGACAATAACACCTAGAAAATTTATTTGTTTTCAACTAGAGTGATTTTTCGGTCTTAAATATCTTTTGATTGATTTGTTAAAATCAAACATCCGTATTGGCAAGTATTAGCATTTTCAAAAATACTTGGAATCGCCGTTCAGCCATGAATATTTTATTTAGTGCCAAATACTTTTATTTTGTGTGGTCAACACATAAAGCTAACAAAAATACTTGATTTACTCTACCATTCTGTTCTGGACGTGCTCAATTAGATTTTGTATATTTTTTTTTGTTTTGGGTCAGAATGAAGGAGATATTGCCCATAACAAAACTATCACAATAACTAAAGGCGTAGTACAATTAGTGAGACTACATGCTCTACTTTTAAATCGTCAAAAATAATAAGCTTCTTGCGTAATTAACAAGTTACTTGCTACACATTAAAAATGATGTCTATGAACATTATAATAATGGAATTTATGTTCTTATCTCCGTCGGCTGCTTTGCTATTTTTTTCTGAAACAGATTATAACTGACCTGCTAAATTATAGATATGATGCAATAAAAACACCTATAGTATTAAACTCGCCCAGAAGAAAACATTTATAAAGTTTTTTTCTTTAAGTGCCAGTTTTGGAAAGAAAACAAACTAAACTCCTGCAAGAGACTAAAGACTGGTACTGAGTCCGTACATTGATAATGGCATTTGTCAGTTGTACGAATAAGTAACCCGACAAACATGGCGGTTGGGAGAATCCATTTATTCATCCGTCATTGAAGATTTTTGACGTCCATTTTGTTATAATGTAATAATGATTTATTTGCTTTGATTGGCTAAAGGCAGGCGCCGTACAGGTAGAATCTGTCTGTATATATCGCCGTCCAGGAACGGCGATAATAAGTGAAACATGACAGGTGTGGTAGACAGATGTAGGATATGGTGAATGCACATTGGAAAAACCCATGTCGAGAATATTCTGGATAGGATCAGATTTCTCAGATATCATCATAACCGCAAAAGAAGGTTTTGTTTTAATTTTGAAATGAAACAAGACTAATTGTATGTTTATGACTGTTACCCTCAAGTACACTTATAACTTGCAAGGTAAGATCGATAGTTGAGTTATTGTTCCGCGCCCACAGTACAAAACAGAAAATAAGCTTAAATCCGGTAATTGTTTTCTTACATTCGTATGTTCTACAGGAAATTACTAACTATTTGTAGTACACAGTGGATTATTTATGTATGTATTTTATTGCTAAACATGAATTCGAAAGCTAATAATAGATGACCTTAACATTGTGTAAGTCCGAAATCTATTTATAGAAGTAGTTTTAGTTTTTAGTCTGAAACTAAACGAAACGGTCATTCATGTCGCGCTATAGTAATAAATAACGAACTGGAGAATTTTGCAGGAAACGAAAAGCATTCTTTTTCACTGTTTATAAATTTGTCAGGCCATATTTTAACAAATTGTTATATCATAGTATTATCATTTTGAAATTGTCTTTTCAGGTAAATTTATAGCTACTTTCTTTTTACGGCGCTGGTTGTACTTCTGACATTTTTTTTACCGTGAGTATTTCAATCGACACTGATTTCCCGAATTTTTGCTGTAAGAATTTGATTATTCCCTGCGGTCTGGAGACCGCAGGATATTGGTACGCGTTTAACTTTTGAGGCATGGAGGAGCACGTGACCTGTTTTCGGTACATGGAGGAGCATGTGATCTGTAAACCGTACATGATTGGTTAATTGACCTTTTCGAAAACCTAGCTAAATACCGTTTGCCGGTACGTTACGGATTTACCTCCGAATTACACCTCATTAAGAACAGAAAAACTAATTAAGTGATGTTTCTAATTTTCTATAATTATTTACCGTTTAAGGTAGAGAAACTTTAATGATGTGTTTGAAAATTATCAATGTTTCTTCAATTTTTACAAACAATAAATTGTTTATACTGAAAATCTACAAGATTAAAATATACATAGTGGCATCTAATAAATAGAGATATTTTCTGCTTACTTTTCTTTTGCTAAAATGGTAGGCCTATTTAATAATTTTCTTAAAATAAATAATTGTTTTATGTTCGACCTTCTCTGGTCTTCAACGGTCACCAGTCACCAAAGACCTTCTTCTATATTGATCGATTATTGTCAACTATATTCATGATGCAAACGTTTTTTCCCCCCCCCCCCCCCCAAACAATGTTGAAAATAGTTACATGAAATATCTTTGTATCATTAAAAATGTTCCCCGCAGGAAACCATTTTACTTGTATTTTGTTTGAAGGCAATTGGTTTTATGGTGGTTTGTGCATGGAATGTTGATTTGCTGAATACTGTGACATTTTAACAACAGAAACTTTAGTCTGCAGTTTTAACGGGTTTATTGATAGGAATGTAAATACACTGGTGGCCAGTGGTGGGTCAGACGAGGAATTTGAACCAATTTAACAGAATAGTAGATTGATCTCCCAATAAATCAATGAACAATGGCTCTTTATTTATAACCAATGTCAAGTAGCCTTTATATCTTTGACTCGCATGATGTTAGTGAATTTCCTCGTACCTGTCTAAAATTCATGTAATAGTCTTTCATTATATTGATAAATAATGTTCCACCATATCAACATGCCATGAAAATTTATTCACGATTTTTAATGTACCATTATTTTTGTTTACGCGTATAACAAAAAAATAAAATGCCGAAATTGTTCTTTCTGAAATTCATCCCAAAATTTTCATTCTAGTGTGTGTTCTACTTTCAGTATTTGTCTTGCACTCAAAATATAATTACTGTATCATAAGTCCCTGATAAAAATAGAAACCATTTGTTTTTAATTTGGCATGCACAAAATGCATGTAATATCAATATATTAGTCCCTTTTGTTAATATTTTCACATACAGTTTTAAAATTTGATACACTTATAATAATAAAAAGCGACTTTGTTTATTTTGACTACTTTTTTAAAGAAAATACATTAAATATTCTAATCTCTAGCACGCCTACCAAAGTTCATGATGAACAATGTACGTCTTTCGTCCGCCCATTCATCTATGATATACAATTCTGGTAAAATCCAATTAACCATTGAAAAGAAAATCTGGTCATCAGATATCTACTAGGTCACCGTCACTTGCTGCATTTCTTGCTTAGACGCCCTAAAATCTGATGCTTTACATCAGTGCTTTTCTTGTTATAGCA